ATACTCAAGGGCAAAGCTCCTGTAATCACGATAGTGACTGCTCAGGATCTAAAGTTTGCTGTCCTGAAGGATGGCATCACAAGGAATGCGCCTATAGCTGTCTGTATAGACTTTGTAGTCAGGATACTGACTGTCGGGGATTACACTGTTGTAATAACCTCTGTCGCGCGAGTTGTGAGGGACGCAGTTGTTACCATCAATCAGACTGCGGTGGAAACACACACTGTTGCAATGATGGTATATGTGATGAGAATTGCTTAGGAAAATCTTGTTTTGGTCATTCAGACTGCTATGGTCACAACGAAATTTGTTGCAACTATGTTTGCCAGATAGGAACTTGTCAAGCACGAGGTCTCGTTGGTTGGACTGCTACTGCGATAGTGCTTTCAGTCTTTGGTTTTGTGGGAATCTTGATTGGTATTGTGTTATATGCCAAACATCGGAGATCTCCTAGTTTTGTAGTCGCTCCACTTCCGCTATCAACAGTGCCTGGAAGCCAGTCATTTACAACAGCTACTGCATTCGTTGATTCCGATGATGTCAACTGTCCTAACGAACCTCCACCAGCCTATCAACCACCACAACAACAAGTACTCCAACCTCCACAAGGTCTGCAGTCTGTATCTCAACCATCAGAATTCAGAAGCCGGAACCATTAAATCAACCGCCACTGACCATGGTACTGTTACGGTATGATGATAAATGGTGAATTGTAATATGGTGTGCGTCAAATAATATACAAAAATTAGGTACTTACTGACTCAAAATAATTTTGAAGTTATGAATTGATATGAAATAGCAAATTTCTAACACTAAAATTTGCAGGCTGCATTTTAAAAAATTTTGTCTGTTGAAAAAAATTTGTTAATGAGTTCAAGTTGGTGAAATGTTTATAACTGCTTTGTGTCAATGATTCATGGCAAAAAATGGTCTTCATGAAAAAGGACAATTGTATATAATTATTTTAACTGACTTTTTCATTTTTAAGGTAATTGCCTAGGGTCAGGGAGGAGGCATATTGGCAAGACAACTTATGCTAAAAAACAAATTACTCTTTGATTTCACTGCTTATAAATATAAATATTATACATCATAAAGTGGACAACGATGTCAATGAATAACGAAGTGCATCAGAGGTTTTGCGGCCTTCGTCGCAAGGGGCATACATTATTTATACACATATATTCATACATATACATATAACTATCTCGACCTTCTTGTAAAGAAATACTCTTTTTTACGAAAATTAAACAAATAACAAATCGCAAAGTTGAGATTTGGTTGAACACGAATCCCTAGAGACTAGACTAGAGTAAAAAAATCTTGTCTCTCTGCATAATGAGTACGTTTCTGATGCTAAGCACTTTTAACCCTCGTTTACATGACACGGCGAGCTTAATTTATGACACGACACGACTGAATTAGTGTCGTACTCATTTTTTCCAAGCTCAGGCTACCGATACAAAGCCCGGCAAGGCCGAACACGGATGAATTGGTATACGGTATATACCTATTGTAGCCGTATTGGTACGGACATGCACCCATTTTAGCCGTGCGATGCCAACAAATTGATTGTAGCATAACGGGACTTTATTAGCCCCGTTTACGCTTTACACTGCACTCAATTAGCTATTCTCACGATGACGTTTTTGCCGGGGTACTTTCCACTTTCTCAAATGTGTTTAAAAATTATAACAACATGAAAAGCAATTTTTTAGAATCAATAGACCATTTAAAGAGTAACTCCAGCCTAAAATTGAAGACAGTCGCCGTTACGAAGTCATACGCTCACGGTTTTGTTAAAAAGTACCCCCAAAATTGGCGGTATATTCGTCATCGGTCAACGTGAGAAGTCTGAGAAAGACTAATGTATCGGCATGGCACGGCTAAAATGGACACCCGTTCTTAAATGGGCACCCATAAACGCGTAGCCTTTTTAACGCACCCATTTTAAACGAAGCTATTGTGGTGTACGCGGCCGGTTTCTTTTGGGTAAATTTTGATGCATCACTTGAGCACTTCCATGCATTAACCTTTAACCGCAGCATTTTTGAGAAACTGCAGTTCAAAAGACCTTATTGCTTACTGCATTTCATAAAAATGGCAAAACACTTGTTAGGTTTTATATCATATCACTAAAGTTAAAAGCACAGGGACTGGTTCTTTAATCTGTATATAAAATCCTCCGTCTTGATGAGTGTGGTGCAATACTTGCCCCGGCTGATCTGTGACTTCCCGAAATAGTAATTTACATTTCAGTGATTTACATTTCCAAACGGTATATTGATTAGTATTCAGATTTTCAACCATTTCTTTCATTCGGCGCGTGCGCATGGACGTTTTTCCGCGGACCGCGGTGTTACTGATTTATGGTTTAACTCAGACCGGATCTGCGCATGCAAGTCTCATGTCATATGACTTTGAATGTTCTAACCACAAAGACACAACTGACACAGTGACACTGTCTGATTTACTTTCTAGAAGTTCTTCGACAATATACAAATATGCTTGCTCGTAGAGTTTTATTTTCTGTGACAGTTTTTGCCCTTTTGAACGGACAAGCTCAAGGGCAAAGCTCCTGCAATCATGATGATGACTGTTACGGAACTAAAGTGTGCTGTAAAACTAGATGGTATAGCAAGGAATGCGTCAAAAGCTGTCGTTACAATTCCTGTAGTCAGGACGCTGACTGTGGAGACAGGGAAGGATTACACTGCTGCGGTGAAAAATGTCGTATAAGTTGTGTAGGATACTCTTGTAATAGTCAATCAGACTGCGGTGAAGACGAATATTGTTGTAGTTCAACATGTCGTCGAAGTTGTGAGGGAAGCAGTTGTTACGATCAATCAGACTGCAGTGGAAACACACACTGTTGCGATGATGATAAATGTCACAAGAGTTGTTCAGGAGGATCTTGTTTGCGTCATTCAGACTGCAATGTCTACAACGAATATTGTTGCGACAAGGTCTGCCAGACAGGAACCTGTGGTTTGCCTAGTTGGGTTATTGCTGTGATCGTGCTTGCAGTTCTTGTTATTCTTGGAACCATCGTTGGTGTTGTGCTCTGTGTTTATTGTGGTAGACAACGCAGATCGCCCGGTTTGATGATCTCTGGCCATCAGTTCTCGCCAGGGTCAAGTGTCCAGGCAGGCCAGCCACTTACATCGGCTGGTGTGTTTGCTGATTCAAATGTTATAAACTATCCTCAAGAACCACCACCAGCCTATCAACCAGCAAAACCAGACGTGTTTCAACTACAATCAGGTCCACACTGATTCGATCAGCAGCAGCAAATAATTAAGGTGAAAATTTGGTCAATTAATAAAACATGCTAGTACAGTTTGTATCAAGGAAAATATTGCAGAGCTCGAAGTGAAATGGTCAGACGTTTTGACCGGTGGCTGTGTAGTTTCTTTTCAAACCCTCACGAGCCTTTAGTTATCCTGTAAAATTTTACTATTCTAGCAATTTCTAAATTGTTGAATTTGGAATCTTCAAATTTGTTGCCTACTTTAAAGGTCTGTTTACACGATCCATTTTGTCGGATCCACTTCACTTACTGATGGATGTTTTATAGTTTGTTGACTTGCAATGTCCATATATGGGCAGCAAATCAGCTTAAAGTTAACGCAGAACGGCATTATCAACAGCAGACTACACCCATACCTCAGAAATGAATTGGATCAGACAAAATTGGATCGTATGAACGCATATCTGCCTGACGAATATTTCGAACTCTGATATGGAAAGAATTCCATGTATCCATTGTATAAGCATTAGAAATTCAAATTAGTAATGTTTATAAACGATTCGATTGTTATCAACTGCATTCACTCCTTTCACTCAGCAGGGTGCTTCAAAGAAGTCTGGTCTTAAAAAATTCAAATTAGATAAAACCTATTGTACTAAAAAACTAATAATGTTGCTGCCAGTGAAGATAATTTGCATTAGACATGTGAATCGATACAATAGGGCTATGATTGTGTTAATGATTTTGTATTACAAAATAACTCCTGAAAACACATGCCGATCAAGAAACTCGAAATTAAAGAAAACAACTTTTTGCAACATTCCCGCTTGTTTGGATCCGGCAATCCACACACGGAAACCATCATCAAGTAACTGTTTAATGAAATCAGTCGAAACATTACTTTCGTCTTTTTTCGCTCATACTTTGGGTTTCAAAATGGTGATCTCCACCTGTTTTATGCCACGATTTTTTAATTATACAGACTATAGCTCTTGTTGCGTAGATTGCATTGGTGATATCTACCAGGGGTCGGTTGTATCAACCCCGTTTAGCTTAAACGGCGGATAAGTTTAAAATAGAAATCAAGTCTATCGTTATATTCAACAAGCGAACTAAATGTCTTTAACCTCAATACAAGGATGCTGTTTACAACTACATATTCAGTGCATAATATTCAAGTTGACTCGTTCAATAGCGATGTAAGAGTGTTATTTAATTTTGACTTATCCATCGTTTAAGCTAAACGGGCTTGATACAACCGACCCCAGGATTCACTCTTTATATTGAGACAATTCACGTCATTCATTTTCTTTCAGGTACGCTTTTATATAGTGAAGAAGCCAAGACAACTTGCGCTTAGCCTCATGCAAGTATAACGAATATTTTTAAACCATAAATAAGGGGATAAGCAATTCAGAATATAAATATAACGCCAGGGAAAAGAGACACCTATATGCGGTCAATATATAGACTATAGTACATATCATGCTAGGTAAATATACACATGTACGCAGTAGGCTTTACATCTAAGTCAATATTACCTCGCGCACGAATAAAAAATTAAATTCCTTAATTTCAAAGTTCGAAACGGACATTCAAAGGTAAGTATACTGCGCTAATATACTCTCGAATTGCACAAAATAGAAAAAGCGTTTTTAACCAAATTTTTTACATTAAACTGAATGTTTTATCACTGGGTGGTTAAATGCTATACCAGTTGTTATATATATATATACATTTGTGCACATGCAGGCGTCCAAAGAAGTAGAACAAAAATTGTTAAAAACAATTTACTTGTACTAGACCCAGATAATAACTGAATACTCTATGTAGTAATTTCAGCGTTAATATCTTTAATAAAATTGTCATCGCGTAGTACTGTTTTATTCTTATGAATCTTTGAGATCAGTGAAGATTATAAAGCCCGGATTCCACGGGCGAAATTTTTAAGCGAAATGCGAAATATTTCGCTTGCTTCTTTTGAATTATGAGCAATGAAGCAGAAGTGATTCTTTTAAGTGGTAGAAATTCAAAAGAAACAAGCGAAATATTTCGCATTTCGCCGAGAAAATGCGCCCGTGGAATCAGGGCCAAAGAGTTGAAGACTGAGAACTGAATATTGATTGTACAGATCGAAATATTCTTTCTTCTTTTATGATCCAAAATATTTATAACAAAGCAAGAAGGGTGAAGGTAAAAAATATAATTCAAGCCTCCTGCATGCTTTCCTGCATGCATGGTTAAGCCATTCTTTAAGCTAAAAAAAACTTTAATACTGATCAGCACGTTTCGGAAAGTTTAAAATCGTTATCTTGAATTTTTTTGAAATGGCAGAAAATGATTGGATCGGTAAGCCGGCCTTACATAAATATCCATGGTAAGATTACCGTTGACTGATTTTCATATCGCCGCATCACTATTAATAATGACAATGCTGCATGATGAAACGTTTAGTATATACGGGATTATGCGACGTACAACTTTCTGAAACGTTCATAAATGCATGCATGTTAGCTGCATGTTTTTAGGGTCGTAGCAAGAAATTTCATTTTGGGGGATTGAATATTCATATATTCGTCTTAGTCAAGCAGCAGTGATGTGACTGCACTGTTTCTGTACTTGCTCACTCCGGTCCATGGAGCATCACATAGCCAGAATCCGTATGTGTGCCTGTGATGTTTTTTTTTTATTTTGACTTCTTAAACTGTTTTTAGCTTCTTTAATTTTGGTTGAATGGTCTCTGCGGTAAGGTCTGTGTCCAATGGTTTAACACTCAATCCAGTTACCTATTAAAAAGGAAGAAAATATTGGTTGGAAACTTCGTAGAATTTATATTCCAGGAGGGGGAAACTCTAGGATTGCTTTTTTTCAGGGACTGTTAATTTTACTCGAGAAAATAGAAAGGGTCATACTCTTTGTCATTACCAAGCTCATTTACTTACCGAGGGTTCAACGAGGGAAATATTAACAAATCGATTTCTAGATGAGGATGTTTCCACTTTAATTTGAACTCGAACCTTAGAAAATACTCTGAAAGTGACGTCGTCAATCGTCAACGACGATTCCTGCAACAATACAATACAAAATAATTTGCACGTGTTCGTTGTCATTCGTTGTCATCCAACATTGTCAGGGTATAAAAGAATTCCTCTTTTCTTTCCAAAAAACGAAATAACAGAGACGGCGCTCTTTTTCAATCAAGCAAATAAACCCTAAGATAAAAAATTACGTTTTCTACTTAGTAAGTTCATCGTCCAACTTACTTCATCCTCAAATTTGCTTCGTTCTGTTAACTCGCGTAAAAATATATTCCCTTCAATCCCATATTTGGGGATCAAAACTTGCAACGCATTCTTTCTTATGAACAATATGTAAGCTTCTTCCTCCACAACGCGATCTTTGAAGAATAGCTTCAAAAAGTTTAAGAAATTGTTGGATTCATTGGTAATTATGCGATAATGTCGTGTTCAGTTTGCTGCAATCACTGGTAGTTTAGGGAAGTAACTATAAGGAGGATGTCCCCTTGTTCGCATTTTAAACAGCTTAAATGTGAGGGTATTCTTAATATTTGGGTATTTTACAAGGCAAAACGGACACTACATAAACTTCAAATGACTAAAACGATAGAATAAGCGGATTAACCTGTGTATGCAGCTCGACTGAAGCTCTAGCAGCTAGTTGTGCCATGTGATGTCGTTTATTTAACTGGTTACAAATATCCTACGGAAAAAATAAAGGTACATGAAACGATCAGATCCCGCATATATCAGTAATTTATAAAACTAGGATCCTTTTTGTAAATAATACTGCCCCCCCCCCCACTTCGTAATATTAAGTAGTAAATAGTAAACATACTACATACAGCACATACAACCAATCAGGCCCCATCAGTCAGACTGGACACAAACTATACTCGACCAGACCAGACATGTAACAGACCTACCTGTGTATTATGTTTGTTAAACATTTGAGGAAATGATGGCATTGCTCCAATAGCAACAGCCAAAAGTCGATGAACGAGGATATCAGAATATCTTGACATAAAAATAACAAAGAAACAGTATTTTACAACTGCCATATAAAGAATTTTACAGAAACACAAAATTTGGACATAAATTGTTAACATATTTTTGTATACCTGTCAACAGGTTTTAAATTCTATCTTCATGCAATCTTTATCGTGTCATGCGTGCATGGGCACTTGTATAAATGGGAAAAGAAGAATGTACCTTCGGATTGGGGATGTAAAGTGAGTGTAAATGGGCGTAGCAAGACCATAATGGAGGAACTCTTCTTCTGCTAACGTTCCAGAACAGAAATACACGGCTTGTAACATGCATCTTGTCGTCAATATACGAAGTAAAGTGTTCAAGAATGGAAATTCTGGTAAAGTAGCTTCCTCCAACGAGATAGCCAATGATTTCGCGGTGTCCACCACTATGTTCACATCCTAAAGTAAAATGCAACACCTTCTAGTAAGCGAGAAAGAAGCAGGCAATGATATCATCACGAAGGAAGAAATTCCCTTGGAGTATTATAATACAGCAAAAATACCAAAACGAACCATATATCAAAGCTGTGTGCAAAATACGTCTACACCTTGCTATGTGGCTCGAAGTGCTTGAGAATAACACACAGAGAATTCCAGAAGGCCCGACATGGGAACCGCTCGAGCAGAAGGCCCAGAACAGGAGGGAATGGCGTATACTATAGTGGACGAACTATGTTCCTGATTATGATGATAATGAATTCGAAAAGAATCTTAAAAATCGTCAGGCTATAAATGCCATCTCAAACGAACAATTGCTCGCTTGTTGCCACCACACGTGCACGACAGCTTAAAACGATCACCATGCATGAGGATATGATGGAATGGAATTCAGTCCTAATCTATCATACAATTGGTGGGTTTCACTAAGCGTTTTCATGGTGATTTGAGTGGGGGTCAACCTCGATTATCTGGACGCTTATGCTGCACAGGAGTGAGCAAATGATACGAAATTGCACATATATGCTACCAAGCGCAAAGCCAACATGCACATGCCATACAGTGAATAATTAACTCACTCTGATTACTGTGTCTCGTTTTCGAGCTGACCCCCACTGGAATTATGACGTAACATGAAACCCAAGAATAGCACGCTCCTTGGATGGTCAAGACGAAGAAATCTTACATAAAATTTTGTTCGAATCTGCGCGAATAATTGAGTAAATATTGATAGTTGATGTGCTGTGGCCAAGGTTTTGGTCACGCTACACGTACTGAACAGAACTCGCAAAACTTCTGCACCACAACACGTAGAACTAGACATGTTAGAGCTGCCCGTCTAGCCATCGGTTGTTTCAACTTCAAACAAATCAGTGTTTAATAGAGAAAGTGTTTAATAAATCTAGTGCTTCAATGTATTAGAGAATTCAAATGAATGTTTAAATAACAAACCTTGGACTTAGCAGCTCTAATTAGTGGTTCATAATTAGAGAGTGGAGGTGAGGGGTGTCTTCTGAGTACCGAATATTCTGGATAGTGGCTCAGAATTTTCTTTGCCACTGAAATATTTGCCAGCAACATGAATTCTTCAACGAGAGAATTTGTTTCTCTAAAATATGAAATACAATTACAGTATACCTATAGACCAGTTATTTATCAAGAATTAGAATAAACGCTTTAAATAGCTCATTAATTTATCACCGTCACTGTGAACGAAAATCATCATATTTCGCCTAAATTTATTGAAGGAAACCATGAAAGGTTTTCGCGCCAATTTAGTTCTTATATCGAACGGTTACAAATTCATTTCTTCGAAATTAAAATCCCTGAACATGTATGAACATCCTAAACAGCGATCCTCATTACCTCAGTTCCTTTGTTTCAACATCAATTGGATCATGTGTTTCACTATCCATGTGGAACCTTATTTCGGGTGAAGCCAAGGTCAATGCCCTATAAAAATATTTAAATATAACAAGGTTGTATATAAGTCGCCATGCATATTGGGCATATTATAACACTCGAAACTATACGATATACAAAACATAAAATTTAGAATTTAGCACTAGAGGTGTGTATGGGATCGTTCGAATCCAAATGATTATACTAAATCAGAATTCAATCCTATCCAAACTTAAACGGGCTACGTAGTACGCATAAATAACACATTGAATCAATATATTTTGAGAGATTATATATATTAAAGTATGACAGTGATGCAGAATAAAAAAAAATATGAGTTGAATATGTTGATTTTGTATCCATGTACCTTTGACTTGCCAGCCAAGATAAGGAAACTATTGCAACGACAAAAGACAATATTTCATATCCATTTTTCTTACCCTTTGTCTATTCTCTTTTGTTTAAGAATTTTCGCTAGAGCATTGAGATTCCTGAGACCTTTTGTAACGTCGTCGTTCTGTGCTTTGTCGTCAATTCGAAATTGAGCTTCAGCATAAGTGAATGAGAACTGCCAAACAAAATTAACAATTCATCCTGGACACATTTTCACAGACATTATTCGTTATGATTGAACAACGATTTGGTACGCTTTTGAAATTATTTAAAGTGAAGTCTAACTACGGTTGATAAAATAGGCAGTGAGTTCTTAGATCACAAAAATTGGAAGATGTAAACCTTAAAACCTTCAACGATCTGTCAACCTTGATAGTTATTACCTTTAGGCATGAGAAACAAATGGAAAAAATTATTAAGGTTCTGTTTCATTTTGAATAGTACAGATGCGCGTTTTTCTTTATAATATTATCTTTACAACCAAGCCTCGTTTTGGTGAATACATAAAGAAAATACTGCATTAAAGTGAAGCTTGGTGGTAAAGACAATAGTATATACACGTGTTATATTGGATTAGGGAGTATTGATGACTTACACTTCAATAATTCCATGACCTTAATTTATTTGGATAAAATTTCATTTTCTGCATGTTAAATGGTATGCATGTTTCCAATTGGTTAATTTACCACTAAAACGAAGAGACATTGGTCGCCTGATTTGAATACACAAAGAGTTACCGTACCTGTGAGCGGATTACACTTTTTGTAAAAGTCGTATCCACAATCTCGGCTTCGGGTGTCATTTCCCAAATGCATGAGAATGCAAGCCTGGAAAACGATAAAATTATAAAGCTATTTCATTGAGTTTATTGTTCACTAACAGTATACAACGAATGTGAATCGCAGTTTTAAGAATACGTTTTATCGGCATAAATCAAGAATCTATAAACGTCATTGTCTGCATATTAGCTAGTTTTCTTTGTCAGTGAGGATACAATAAGCATTAGGGTTTACAAATATTCAACTAAAATATTTCACGTTGAATGGGAATTATTAGTCTACGCGTAGACTCAACTTCTACGTTCAAGTTGAGTCTAAGTTAAGTCTACGCGTAGGGTAGGGAATTACAGATTTACAGTATATTAAGTATATGAAATAATAAACACAAATACCGGTCAACATTCGACTTCAACGAGCATAAGTTAGAGCTTAGTAAACCTGGAACCATGTCGATACGTCTATCTGATAGATATACTGTTGTTCCACGATTAAGTGCCTCTTGATCTATGGCAGTTCCCGGATGAATAAAGTGAGTTACGTCAGCGATGTGCACACCAACCTAGGAACAATGAATACACATGCAGTCAACGTAGAAACAAAAAACACAATCCTTCTTTCTTGTAACATGCATGCAGCAACTACTAAAAGCTCAAGCTAAGTAAAACCTCAAGATTCGAAAACAAGTTCCCAATCTTTAGAACTTCTTCCTTTAGAATTCGCACTAGGCTGCCGAGTCCATGTTTATTGTAAAAGTAGAGTTTGGGAAACCCTGTATGTACTTAATAAACGTCACCTCGTAATTTCCATTTGGCAGTTGTCTCCAGTGAAGAGCATCGTCAATATCAGTACAGCCGGGTGGATCAACACTGCAGATGGGTAAATTTCGAAGATCTTTACGTAGCTCTATCTCCTGTGAACATATTAGATGATTTTAGGTTTGATCCCTCCTAGAATAGTCATATTGATCATTAACTAACTTTAATGTTAGAGGTTCTAAGGGTCTTAATTTCGAGTGGAATTATACACACTTCAAATTCAATTTGTATATAATTCAGTTTGTATATAAGTGTGTATAATTCCACTCGAAAGTTAGACCCTTTGAACCTCTAGAATTTACCAACATCGCATGAAGTGCCAAAAATCAATAACTTTAATGTTAGTTTAATTCTTCTATTGTAAAGGATGGAACGTTTTCAACTCTTAATTATAAAAATATTTGGACAACGACGCTTACTAAATTTCAGTCTTTATTAGAGAGAAATTCACGCAATGTATAATCTTTGGATGTAGTTAGAGAAATTTCTGGAAGTGTCTATATTACGTCAATATAAGGATGAAGATAAACAGACAAGCTTTACCTCCTCACTAATGGACCACGTTTCTTTTGGAAGATCATTTAAAACTGCTGTCGAAAACGGCAAATGTGGAATCTCATGTTCCAAAAGTAAAACTTCGTTTTCTGTCTCCTTATCGCCGATGGTGCCAAGTTTTTTGACGAAATGACCCTGAATATAAATACAAACACATGCATTTAAAGTGGGTTTTCTGCTTGTGGTAACCTAGCCAAATCATTGAACTTATTGTCAAAGCACTGAACATTAGTCAAAATGATAGCTGTCATACGGATGGTCATATCATAATTACCGATTTCTATTTGGGCCGCAATTGAGGGCCTTCGCCTGAAATATTTACCATGCATGCAACAGCATACAGCCACAGACGCTCCGTGCACTGATATCAACAGACTCGTGGAAATTTTTGCAAAGCATTCTTGAGATGAAAAACATACTCACTTCCCACATTGCATAGATTTTGATAAAATAAAAGGATTACCCACAGGTACTCATATGGGAGTACGTGTAAGAAAAAAAGCACTCGACCTCAAGGTGCAAAACACTGTTGAACTCCTGGGAAAAGGTCGTTCATTTAGCATTCTAATTTAATTTTATAACATATATACAACAGAGTATTACTATATAGGTGTGTACTCGGCTTTGGTCTCATCGAAATAAAGCTCTTCGAAATAAGTCCTTTGCTCTTGGAGATACGTTCCTAACTGTGCGAAATGTCTCTTCGCCTAGACCTTCAAAAAATGTTTCTTGCCTCTCGAGATAAATTTCATGGACTCTTTGGCCTTGTTCTTGGTCATCGACGCATGTTACGTGTCTTTCGAGAAACGATTCTTGTTTTTCGAAGTTACTCTCTTGTGCTTCGAGATAAATCTCTTGGTCTCCTAAACTAGTCTCTTGCTCTTTAAGATAAGCCTTTAGATCTTTAAGAGAATTCTCTTGATCCCCGAGATAAGCATCTCGATCTCCGAGATAAGCATCTTGACCTCCGAGATATGTCCGTTGATTTCCGAGATAAGTCCGTTGATTTCCGGGATAAGTCTCTTGCTCTCTAAAATAAGCTTCTAGATCACCATGAAAAGTCTCTTGATCCCTGAGATTAGTCCCTTGGTCCCCGAGATAAGTATCTTGATGTCCAAGGAAAGTCCCTTGTTCTCCAGGAAAAGTCGCTTGGTCTTCGAGATAAGTGCCTTGTTCATCAATACAAATCGCTTGTCCTTCGAGATTATTTCCGCGATCTTTAAGACGCGCTTCTTGTCGATCGATACGATTAACTCTCTCTCCACTAAGACAATCTATTTGCTCTTCTTGTCTGCCACCATTTTCTGCCAATGAATTTTTAATCTCCACTACGAAGGCCGATGCACCTTTACCATCCTTATCTTGATTTTCCGTTGAAAGATGTTCTTCTTTGGAACCATCTCCTAGTTCTGTCGGTTGTTCATCCGAATATATACCTGGTTCAAGAGAGAAAGTGTTTTCTTCTGCGACTAAAGTCAGTTCTGTGTCCAAAGGAATGTCTTGTCCTGGGCTTAACTGGTCTTGCTCAGCGATCAATGTAAGCTCTTCTTCAATATCAACCTCTCGTCCTTCGACAAAAGACCGTACGTTATCCGCGTAAATCTCTTGCTCCACAGCTTCATCTTCTAACTTTTTAACCAAAGTCAACACTGCATTTTGATGGAAGCGTTCCTTTCCAATCGTGCTGTCCGGCTCCACAATGAAAATCGATTCCTCATTTCTTTTTGGCAACAACATTGGCTCGTGTACTTTTCTTAAGCTCGGTTTTTTCATACAGCGTTTTTGCCATATCGATTTCGTTGCTCCTTCGTCACAAAAATCGTAGCCAAAAAATGAGGAACTACTTCCTGCGATCGCCGCCCCAGAATGTTCAAGGCTTATCATTTGTTCTTCGGGATGACACTCTTCTCTTTCTGATGGAATACGATGTATTGGATGTTCACTGTTTTTCTGTTGCACCTCGACAGTAATTTCGTCTTCCTGAGACAAACTATCATGGTCAAAGATAGAGATATCTTCTCTGTCGGAAGAATCGAAGTTCTCCTTTAATCGACCAGCTCGTGTTAGTAGATTCAACAAAAATACGGCAAAACGTGAACGATATCGATGCAAGAAACCCAATGGATTGATGAATGAGTGGTTTGATTCAAAAGATAGCACTTCCGTGGAACTGAAGACTCTCGAGCAACTATTTCCATTATTCGGCTGATAAAAACGTGCTCTTTCTGAACGCGTTTTGGTGAAATTAGAATCTGTTCGAATGTTTGTACTTTTGCACACAAGAGCACCTTCACGACGTCCCGGCCTGGAGTATTGTGGTTGATAATGAAACGAAAAGAAGTTTTTTAAATCCTCGTTCTTTTCTAAATTAGAAACTTTGCCGTTTTCAACACTCGGGTCTTGGACGTTGTATGTATTGCTAGGGGTGGGAATGCGCCTTCGCTCGACAGGATTATCTTCAGAATCTCTTTCAAGGTTTTCCACCACGTCATGTAAGGCTAGCCTTGAAAATAACGATGCAAGATCTTGAACCGAGCGGCTGTCAGGAAGGTTTTCACATGACGTTTGCTCTTTTGCTTCATGTTGTCCTGTGGTTTCACCAGGTTCTTCATCTTCGTATAAACAGCCATCGTGATTCAAAATCGTGCATTCTTTAGAACGCCAAGACATGAGATTATCGCGAGGAGTGAACACTACAGCGCTTGCTTCACTTGATCTGGAATATTTTAACTCGTTGTCCATATAAATTATATGTCTCTGTCGCAAATTATTTTTTTCGGAAAATAGTTAAGAAATAAATGCATAGCCTGTGGCCACAGAAAACAAAAAGATATCTAATGTTTACTCTGTGCTGTGGCATAGCTAATTAACCGTTAAAATTTAAACAAGGCTGACGTAGGCAAACGTCAGCGCGCGCACAATTCGTGCGAAACACAGAGTAGAAAATGAATACAGATACAGAGATGGAACACTGACCTATATTAGAGATGTATATATCTAGTATAGGTCAGTGGATAGAACAAGCGTGTCGATAGTCTCTTGCGCGTGGTAGGTCTGGCCTAAACTCTGCACCAAGAAATACTTACAACTGGATACTTGGAATTCTTTGGCCACGAATCGATACTGACAATGATTTTTTGTCCTTTCAAAATATCCGCTTGTCTCGTCTCAATTCGTATTCGAGGAATCCTCTTCTCAGCAGCAACAAAAAGATGCCTGGTTGCCTAAAATTCATAAATGGTAAACGTCATGATTAAGGATCAATTTTCTGAAGTTATAGATATAGATGACTGATCTTATTAACGAGTAGAACTGTAAATTTTCCATTAAAATTGAGGAAATATACATCTTCAATGTTTGTAAACTTTCAACATATTATATTATGGAAGGTCAAAATGACAATTTTCCCGCCAAAAGTTGTTATTTTCTCGCATGCTTATAATACAAATATATACAAAAATAATGGTTTCGTTAAACTACGTATATTTTTCACATTTTTCGCAACTAAACTTTATTTTCTACAGTTTTAATCATTTTAAGGTGCATTTCTTACAGCTTTGGTTTTAGATTTGGATGTTCGTGGTGCTTGAATTGAAATTGAGCCTATAGCAGGAATTACACGTCAGGTGGTATTTACCTGCGGATTAGGAGAGGGGGATAAGACGCCACAGTATGGTCTCCAATTCCTTCTAATTATCCCAACAACCTTTTGAAGAAGCAAAGAAAACTACAGTTTGAAACATCAAAGAAAATCCAACCAAATGTACTGCTCATTACAATCGTTTTACAAGATTGTTTTACCTGCTCTCAAAGATTCTAGCAGGCATGCACACATCTCTCTCCATGAACTAAGTACTGTAATAACCCCCCCCCCCCTAGCATCAGGTGCATGGGTGGGAATTATTGTCCACCGCAACCATTACCATGTTAATTTCGCATTAGGATATATTTCTATTTAACATAGGAGCAACGTCAGCGGTCGGCATTGGGACCAAAGGTGCCCAAATATTCTGAACAACATGAACACATGTAACTACCGCAAGAATATCTCTCGGCCCTCAAAACAGTTAGTTTTCTCGTCAAATTTACTGTTTTCAAATTGTTAATAGGTAATCGGTAGCCGAGACTTACTCTTCCTGATTTTTGCTTTCTCTTGCTTCTTTGATTATTCTGCAGAAGAGGAAAATACACAATATTATTGGTGCCGCAGAATTAAAATACTAAGTAGGTCCAGGATGTGCGGACCTTTAGGGAAGTCTAAAGTTTTCTAAACCTGCACTGAAGTATGTTGGATTGTTATCTCATGCCAGGAAAAAGTGTCCGGGAGGTCCTACACGCATGATTGTGGAAAATAATAGTGTATAATTTCATTTTAGTCGAACATATAGCTACAACGCAAACAAACATAGGTTCGAACTTCGAATTGAAGCCAAAAATAAACTCGAAACTGCTTCCACATTTTTAGAAGAAAAATTGCTACAGATTCTGTATATTGCCAATTTATAAATTTTGCTGAACAACTTTCGGCGGTTATCTTGAAAATCCTGCATTCGGACGGATCTTGTCTGCTTGAAACCGATCACAGAGCCACCTTTAGCAATTAAGGCAAGAGATAAGAAAAAATGAAATTCCGAACCTGTTTAGCGGTGCTTTCTTCCGCTTCTTCCTCTTTACTTTCTTCATCAATAACGATTGACGAAGGACATGACCACTCCTTCTCAGGCAGAACTTCAACGCAAACAATGTCTTCATTCACGGCCCGATTAAGGTTTTCCAAGCCCTGGATAAATATCTTACAAAGAAAGACGAAAAGCCCGTGTTGGTTCGATACAAATATTGACTTGAACAAAATCTTTGCATACGAATACATATATTGTATATAGAATATATATAGTGTTGATAACGAATGCATAACACGTTCACAGAACTTCTGTGGAAAGGATGAGACGGTTTTCACTTATAGAATTCTTTACTTATATCAAACTGCTTTCGAAAAAAAAACTAGCCAAGCTGGAGTGACTCTTTCAAACTTCGCCGAAAAAAAATTACATATAGAACAAATTATTCAGTATTACCAGTATTATATATTCCCTAGTATATAGACTATACTGTTTACTATTATTATTACTTATTTGTGAAAAAAGATATACGCAGACATATTTCGATTTTCAGGTAATCTGAAGGTAATAAGCTTGCTAACCTGTTCGTTTTGCTCGTAAACAGAAACACTTGCTTCCAAGTAGTTGTCTCTGTACAATAAATTTGAAAATTAGGTAAAAGTTGTGCACCACAATTATATATGTTATACAATATTATATTATTTATATTATGTCACTTTCATGTGCATATGCAATAAAATTATGTGTACAACACAATTTCATGGGATTCATTAATTCCTCTTTCTTACCTGCTTGCGAAAAATTTTCCCTGTGCAAAAGACAAAGGCAGCGTTAGTTAGCTCACGTGTGAATCTCGCGGAAGTTATATGGCATCGAACTGTGTTCCGTTTGATTAGTGGGAATGAGATAAATTTAAAACGATCAACATAAGAGTTAATCGTAACTTGTACATATGATGCAGATTAGTATACGTCTCTGATACCAACCTGAAAATATTTCCCAGACTTCACACCGGATTGCAGTTTGCTTAGCGGTAAATGTTCAGGATATAAAATTTGCTTTGATTTTCCGTCAACTGACTGAAAAAATAACACAAACATTTCACAATTTCAACACTGTTCACGGAGTATTTCTGTAATATTATTTCTGCAACAACTCCCTTACACGGAGTTTGCCAAATGCAATCGGGAAAAGACACTGGGCACGAGGTGGTAGTTGGCCAAGGCAAACATGTTTGAAAGTTGTTTGAAAGTTAAAGAAAATTTAGAGACACGTGCATCAATTCATTTACCGGATAAGAAACTAGCAATTTCATATCTTCCATGACAGCTAGGGTACCTTATAGAGGCGTTGACTAACCGCAACCGCAGTGTTAAGTTATTTCTGGACAGTACTGTATGTAGGTACCTGACTGCCAGAATTGCTGTCTTCCCACGCCAACTTGTCTAGCAGTTCACCATTGTCCTTGAGTGATTTGACATAGTCTTGAACTAGAAAAGCCTATTCCGTTATGGCATGTGACTGTATTTATCATAATCACACATTTGCTGCTTCAATTTGTCAGGATATTAGTAATTTTCCCAATACATTTATGAAATATTTTATACTGATCTGCAGGCCCGTCGGGATAAGATTTTATATTGTGGGCAGGCAAGGAATGGAGAGGAGAGGGAAGAAGAGGAGGGCTGCAGGCTGTGAAGAATAGAACATGCGAGGCTGGGATAGATAGCATATGTAGCATAGGCATTCTCCTCAGACTGAAAATTTTCAAATCTAGATTCGCCACTTCCACCATCCAGGAGGCAATTAAAATAGCCTCCTTTAAGCCTGTTGTCGATTTTATACGTTCGATTTTCTTCTTTTGATAAATGTGAAAGAGTAGATGGATGAGTGATGGATGTGCAGATGAGAGCGCAGATGATAGATACAAACAGGTGGAGAGTAATTGGTGTGCAGATAAGAGTGCCTCATAAAAAAGCCCAACTTTTTCATACATCTTCAGTACTGTGAGATATAGCAAAATTTAATAACTAACCTGAGCAAGACTGTACATTTTCATTCAATGCTTTCTCTCTGTTTGCAGCATCGTTTGTCAATAACACAATCCTTGTCATTTCATTTTGATCATCTCCATTAAAATTATCTTCAATATGTTTGTTGTACCATCTGCATACATTTGAAACATGCAAAACAAACCCAAAATGAAAATAAGCATACTGTACATGGTATGGTTATCAATGTGGGGCAAATGTTATGTTGTTGCACCCCATGAAAATTGAAAGACTAGAACAGACCTACAGGTAACGCGTATTGCTCTGTCATTCCGATCATTAGCAGACTCATCTCTTTCACGTTCAACATATGTTTCCCTATATTTGGATATAATAATTAACGGTCACTATGCTTTCTATTGGATTGAACAGCCTGGCAGGTCTTTTAAACTTACCATATATAATAACATGATATATAATGTGTTAACAGTAAAATTAAAAGTAAAGTTGATAATCGATAACTTTGAACCACCTTTAATTGGTTTTGTCCAATGTTTGAAACAATAAACTGACAAAGTATCAACAAATCACACTCACTTGCAAAATTCATTTGAGAATACATAGAAACGTTTCTGAGACAATGGTATTATATCACGAATTCTCTTATATATAGACGCATTCAAATGCTTAACCTACAAAGCACACAATTTACTCTTTCAACATTACGGTAGCACAGGTAGCACCTTTGTGCTCTCACTGCTATGACAATATAGTTCAAGTCATTTGACTAGTACCTCATCTAGTACTGTTTGTAATAAAATGATATTTCTGATTCCAAAATCTTCCAAAAAATCAATCTATTTAAGAAAATGCAATTTGAGGAGATACAGCGATGTTTTTGAAATGATTAATAAAATCATTTAACATGATAAGATAGAAAACTTATTAAAACCTGACAATACTGTGCACAACTACTGCACGTCTACATGCTCAAAAAACATATACAGTATATTGGATATTTATTCATGTTAAATTGAGAGTTTCTCCAAGCTTGGGCATGCACAATCTCACCAGCACCCACACATGCCTAGGTGAATTTGGGTGGATTTTTTGCACATGCAAAATATGCCAGGCATGTTATTAAAATGACCACGTCTCTTCTCTTGTCAGGGTTCAAATCAGAGGTTGAGTTACTTTAGTAGGGGGGTGGTCAACTTGGTCACTGAACTTGACATATTTTGAAAATACTTAGTTCTTTACCAAAAACTCACCTGGTGAAGAGCGATATTTGTGTCTGGAACAACAAAGTGTGGATATTTAAAAAGTGACGAATTACTTTCAGGTTTAACTTCCAGTACTGTCTCATTGATACTTTGAGAACATTGTGAGCAATCCTTAACCCCACACCATACATCATCACGAAGATATTGCTCTCGAACGATTTTCATGACACCCCCTTTACGGGTCTTCTTTACAAATGTTTTTGTCTTGAGCATTTTCGGTTTTATCTCATTGAATCAAATCTAATGTATTGCAGGCTAAAATTGATGAGTAAGATACATAAAATACATACCTTCATGTCGTGAAATAAATAATAAATATATCATCTAGTACTGCGGTGAATATATCCGCATACCAAAGTTTATGTAATTCGCGGGCGCTGAAGTCTTCTGGAATCGCTAAAATAAAATCGCAAAAACTTTTAGTAATAACTCGTATTAGTTTTAACAAATAACAATATCCCTGATATTCAGTATATCACAATATAGTTCAATGTTATTGACAAAGACAAAGTGTTAACAATTTATGCAGCGCAACATTGTTCCAATCTGTTAAATCGCGAGCTCAGAGTTTTTAAACGTGTAGATGGGGACATGGGATGGGTTATCTTCTTCCTGTACTACATATAGCATGTGCGGCACCGGTTTACTTTTCGACCAATCACGTTCGTTCTAGAGGCACTAGAATGGGACTAGAATGTGAAACTAGAGACACGCGGATGTGAAACTGCATTCCCAAATATGAAACTTGAGTGAATTTAACTGAAGAATTTAACGTAGTGCACACAAACTGAAAGCATTGCTCTTGCGTTACTCCAAATGAGATGAGATTGCTAAAAATTCGTTTTCGTATACTTGCTGCATTCTCAGTACTAGTACTAGTGATTACAACTCTTGTAGCATTGCAATTGTTGCGAAGACCTCGGCGAAGACACTGGATATGCCATTTTGCATATAATACTGGAAAGTCCTATGAGGAAGCAACTTCCAGGGTCAGTGCCTCAGTGTATGTATTAGCCTTACTATTTAACCAATTCTCTCGCATATCTACCGTCGGTGTCTTCAAGGCATCGCGAGGCTAAACTAAAGCCTGGTTCTCATTATTAAATCACAGATAATTCAGGACTGGAAAAATACTTTGCTTCCTGGTAGCAAAATCGAAAAACTTGAAATTGTCTTCCAAATTTATTACAAAATTTCCTGCGGGAGTTTTTTAATTCCTGCAACAGTTTTTCAACTTTATATATAACTAAAAGAACAAGCACTAATGTTACAATAACATATAGCTACTTTTAACTCGACAGGCACATCAATGCACTACGAGTCTAACATCATTTAAAATTCGAAATAACATTTTTTTAAAATCTAAAATTCTAAATTTTAAAAATTCTTATTATTCTCCTTCCTAAATATTATCATTGTCATATTGTCTAAAATATATTCTTCAATGAATGTGTCGAACCTAAAATAACTTGCGAACAGAAAAGGTTCCTGCGAAATGCGAAAATATTTCCTGGGAGTGATATTTATGAAAAATTTCCTGGCCAAAAATGAACCAATAAACCCTTAAACCCTGCACCTAATGACCACTGTTGTTGAACCTTGTTAAATCGTCAAATTTGATGCAATGTTGAATGTTCAACAAGTAGCAACAGTATTGATGGTTCAATAAGGTTCAACAATGTTGTTAACAGTACTGTCCACTGTCCACAGGGTGCAGCAATGAACATTAGGCGATATAAAAAATTGTATTGCATGTCTTTGTGTAATTGTAAAACAAATTGCAACCAGACAATAAACAGACGCCGGCCACCGGTTCGGTATAGAAACTCTCAATACTTGGTTTAGTATAGATAATTGTCTTCAAGTAGCCTGCGGTGCAGACCCGCTGATCAGTGTGCACAACAAATGTGAAACTGGAGCAATCCAGCTGACGGTTGTGAACCCTTATTTGGAATTCCCATTTGGAGCCTTGGAAGAATTAAAATTAAATGTACTGAAAACTGAAAACAACAACCCTTATTCCAAATGAGGTTGCGATCGTTCAGAATTCGCTTTTGTGCTGCATTGTCCGTACTGATTGCGATCACAACTCTTACAACAATGTATTTGCTTCGAGGACGGATATGCCGCCGCCAGGCAACTTACACGGTCAGTATATTTACTAACTTTCCCGCTACACGGGCGATTTTTGACGGCGTTACTATATAACGAACGCTAGAAAGTAAAATCGGGGACAAAAATCGTCTGTCTAGTTTATTTATATTAAATAAAGCATCGGCTTAAGTATGCATATATATTCACGGAATATTAGCTTAAACCAAATCTGCGACGCGAACGTGAAGTAATACTACCGTGATTGGCACAGTTGCACCACAGAGATAAAAATTACACACGATCCTTTTGGCAAATGAAACTGGTTCTTGATGGCAACGGCGGTTTTATATCACGTCCGTATATCTTAATTCTTAAATTTCCAACTCAGACCGGATGTGTTTGACAAAGTGACGCTATCTTCTGGCGTTCGAAATTCCGCTTTGGAAATCAAATTTATCGGTTTCTAAAGCCTGTTCACACGTTCCAACTTTGTCGGACCAATTCACTTCTGACGTATGGAAAGTAGTTTGTTTTTGATAAAGCAGTACTGCACTGGCTTTAGTTTCATGATTTGCTGTCCAGATCTTGACGGACAGAATTGGAACGCGTGTTAAGACAAACAATTTGCTTACTTTGGCATCACTGACATCACAGTAACCACGTGGTCGTGGTGTAACTTTATCCATGTGTACTACAACTATTACCCTATTCTGGCTATTCATAAAACACACTTGCTGTAATCTAGCATCAAATGTGGTATAACAACTGCCTAAAATAGACAAAACACTTAGTTCTGCATACTAAATTCCTGACGAAACCCTCGGGAAGTGTTTTGTCTATTTTAGGCAGTTGTTATACCACATTTGATGTTAAGTTGTTTGAAGACGCTGCCACGCTGCTACCTGGTTATATTGCTGTAATCTATTTTATTCTCTACCTCAAAGGCTATTTATATGGAATATAGATTATAGACATGAGTAGATATTTTTTGTTTGTGCATCAATAGACTGCACTGTATATGTAGCTTCGTATGACTACCAATGTATTCCTATCATAAATGGCAGAAAATCGTTAAGGTGGGGGCTAATATTCATATATTCACGTTTAGTATTATAATAAGGTCCGTTTCAGACGTCGAACTCAGTTTTCATGTACCGAACCTAACGTTAACAAGTTAAAAGTCTTTGTTTAAGTTCATGCATTTGCATTCGATTCGGTACATGAAAAGCTCGACGTCTGAAACGTGTTACTACTTTCTTCTTCCCCTTCTTACAACAGAACGATACCGGCGGTTTTTGTGTCGTACTCAAGGTCGCTGCATGTGTGTTATAAAAGTATAGTGTGTTTGTCTCCGCACAGTTATTAGAATATGTGGTCTCAGTTAAGCACTTTGTCTTTGAAAACAAAGACTTTGTCTGTTGTTCGTTATATCGTCATGAACTTCGATCCCTCACTAAGAAACATGAGAATGGATGCATGGTAGGAACCTGACATCAACAGAGCCGATCTGATCTTTAGGGTGTATAAAAAACCCGCAAAATATTCATGAATAATTGCTTTCTATTCGATCACAAAAGATCAAAGTATTCATGCATGAATATTTAAGTGCGGGGTTTTTTATACACCCTCTAGATGTTGAAATTTTGTTTTTAATAAGACAAAAAATGCCAGAACGGAAATAAACAGCAGCAAAGTTCACTCGCGTAAAATGCAAAAAATAAAATTTATTGTGTTCAAAATTAGCATAAAATCACAATTTGTATACTGACCCCGTTTATACACAACACTGGATAACTCTGTTCCCAGAACTTTGAGGAAAAGCTGATGTCGTGACTATGCCAAGAAGTTTTGGTTTTCATTGTCTGTGAAAACAATAAATTTTTAAAAACAAATAATCATAATAACTCGAAATTTACATTTAAAACTGTCGGGAACTGAAAGATATATAAGATTATTATAAAGACAAATGTTTCCTTTGCTTAATTATATTCTAGTTATGTAACAGTGATTGATAGGATGAAGGTGTATGTGGTGTGGTCACGTGAGCGAGAGAGTTAGTTGGACTGAGACATTCAGTGAGTGAGGAACTATAGTGACCGAGAGAGAGTAATGTATAGCCCGTGTGGTATCTGACGGTGTGAGTGGTGAGATTCGTTTGGGAAGTTATAATAGACATTTGGAATTCTTTACTTGGTTAAAATATAAATATACTATGAAAACTATGTGACTTGTTGAGGATCACATTTGGAGGCAAGTTCTCGACACAGCGGGACAATAGCGACCTTAAGCATGCAGGACGCAAACGTGACGACGACGGCTATCAATACAATGGGTCATTGAAAAGAAATGAATAATTAAAGACCCATGATGGGTTTTAGAAGTCGTCTTCGTTCTGTTCAAAAGGGGAAAACGTGTTTTTTTACGTCTTGCCTAGAACGGGTGCATTTCAGGACCCAGGGAGCCCTACCTCGAATTAGGCTCTTTAGAATTGTCCTTAAACATAAACACAATATTCTTAACGCCTTATACTCACTAAATCGGTACAATTTATAATATACAACAAGAGCTTTGCCATAGCATTTATTTAAAGCAGAATTTCAGCCGCGTCGTCGTCGTGTTGCCGTCCAACATGCTTAAGGTCCCTATCGCCAGGCTGACTACGCCACCAATGCGAAACAGCCCATAGGCCTATAATTATCTAATCATCTTAGGTACCATCAGCAGGTGTCCCTAAAGATGTCGAAAAGTCAGTCGGTCCGGATGAATGGATAAGGAGGAATATAATTGATTTAAAGGTACACTGTTGTAACATAATGTAGACGTTTTACTAAGCCGAGATTAAACGAAGCGTAAGATGACTTTGGTGGATTGAAGTGAGCATATAACATGATCCTGGCAGGTGAATAGTCATCCTGACAATAGCATGTGCTTGTTTGGTTTTTTTCGGGTAATTCTGTTATTTGTAAGGTCATTGAGACTGTTCTGAATGATACTATCAATACTTCCATTATCATTAATAGTTCACATTTATTAGTTTTCACAGAAAATTTTCAGCATTTGACCCAGGTTCCCAGAACGTGTTTCTATTCATGGCTACAAGGGCGCTGTCGACATTCTTATTTTTGCATATAGCGAGAGTGCCCGACGTCGCTCGAATCAGAACAGAAAAGATCAGACCTCGCATGCAAAATACCAGACATCGATCCATTCCATCCATCAATAATGAAATTACTTCGTGACGTGTCTATGCCCAGATGCTGGAAGTATAAATCATATGGAAAATTAACAGACGGAAAAATTCATTTCTTAGGTTAGCATCTTAATCGTAATATCCGTCAGCCTGTCAATTACTGCATGTCGTAGGCTAAGAGAGCATTGCATTAAATTTGTATTTTCGCGCCAAGATTAGGAAGCGAACAATATCGTGAGTACTTTAAACGACCCCTATCACAATGATCGTTATCCATATTCCAGCTTCGTACCCATGCAGGCGCTATAAAATATAGGTACACTACAGGCAAAAACTGTTCTATAATTACATGCATTATTGTGCATTGTTCATTGTGCAATGTGCATACTGTCATCATTTCCGTTTGGCAACCCTGTGCAGCTCTAACCTCCCTTCGTGCATAATATAATTAAACATTTTCCGTCCATAACAGTAGTTTGATCGGTTAAATTTCAGCTGTACCAATTGCCTCTGGCCTCTAAACAGTGCAACTACTGAACTACAGTAAATATCTACTAATATACTATTCTAGCACTTCCGTGTCAGTTATCATTGCCGCTCCTTTGATTGGTTCTTTCGATTTGTAGTTATTTCAATTAGAAATTTTCCCTCTAAAGGCGGTTTTCCATTTGGCGCAATTTTTCGATCGAACGAAATTTTTCGTTCGATTTTCTTTCAATTTTGACCGGTCGGTGAAGAGATTCTGAAAATTCAAAAGAATATCGGACGAAAAATTTCGTTCGGTCAAAAAATTCCGCTAGTGGAAAACCGGCCCGGCTAAGAGTTCTCCCTTGACTTCATTTCTACTTACATTATGATTTCATTCACCCTTTTTTAATATCCCATAGATCCGAAGGTAACTGCAGCAAAATATCGTCGGATCGTTCGAGATGGAGATTTTAAGTACATTCTCGGCACAAGCACTCCTGTACCAGCATTGAATACAACAGAGAAGATTACGGATGAATTTATTGAAGTTGAATATCTACTTGGTAACCAAACTGATGATGTCCATAAGGAGATTTTTATCCAGCCAGTACCACATGAACATTTATTAAAACGCAGAGCCGAAAAGCAACCTGGAATACCCTTGAATATTTTAATCATTGGCATAGATTCACTCTCTCATGCAAATGCGAAACGATCGCTACCAAAAGCATATAAATATCTAAAAGATGAACTTGGTTCGTTCATTTTTAACGGGCTTTCTATAGTAGGAGACGGCACCACAGAACAACTGACCGCTATGTTAACCGGATTAGGAGAACTGGAGCAATATGAATCAAGACGCCATCATAGTAACCCCAAGCCCGTAGATGGATGGAGATGGATACATAAACAACTTAAAGGTAAGTCAACAAGTTAAAGTGGACGTCAAGCCGTTCAGCGCATCGGTTTTGTAACGCAATATAAGAGGCATCGCCCTCAAAGGTTTACTGAACAACAAGCTAACCTAATCTGCTGTTTTACTGTCCTTTGTACTTTCTTTCCATTTCATCTTCCCACTATAAATATCCTAGATAAATATTCTATTTAACAGCATATTCGTCTGTTGTTGTCGCTAAACGTGTATTTTGTATTTTAGAACGAGGTTATTTGACTGGTTATTCCGCCGACAATCCAGCTCTTGGTACATGGCAGTACAGACTGATGGGCTTCAAAGATCCACCCACTGATTTCTATCCCAGACCGTTCTATACCAGGGCTTCAGGACTTTTAAAAGGAGATATGTGCCTGGGTTCCAAAACCATATCAAAAGTTCAGTTTGATTATATTCGAGAAGTGTTTGCAATGTTTAAAAACCAGTCCAAGTTCTTTTTCTCATACAACGGTAAGACTGCTAAGACATGCAGTTGCGTAATAAACTCACATTTCATTTATCATTCATCAAAACACATCAGATTGCAACAACAACAAAAGAGTAGTGGTCAACATCGTTCGGTTTTGATTAGAGGACTAATTTCACCTTGGAGGTGATGCTAGTCAGTGGCGTGGTCAGTTGTTTGTTACGGGGTATTTGTTAAGAAGAGCAATGTGATCAGTTGTTTGTTAAGGATGGGCTGTGTAATGATATATTTGTTAAGAAGGGCAGTGTGGTATTTTCTTAAAGAAGGGGAGTGTAGACTGTAGTTTGCTAAAAAGGGACTGTGTAGTCAGCTGTTTGTTAAGCAGGGACTGTGTGGTGAATGCTTTTTGAGTTTTTGTGGTACGTAAGAAAGAGTAAAATCCCGTCCACCCGTGTTTCCCTATACCTAAAATATTTAACATTGATTCCTTGGGTCAATAAATGCTTGCTTCCCTGGTTAGTTTCTGTGTAATATCCCACGATTGTGATCATCTGAGTACATTGTGCTACAAAAATGCCGCGTGCATGCACTGCATGGAAAAGATGTTTGAAGGGTAATCCCCTATTCTTTCCTGGATTCTGACTGTATTCGTATACCCCTTTAATTTCTGATAGTTATTTTTTTTCCTCCAGACCGTTACTCCCACAATGCTAACAGTGAAGCTGCAAAAATCGAACCAGATCTGTTGTCGCTGCTACAAGACTTAAAACAAAGCAATACTCTAAATAATACGTTACTCATAATCATGGGAGATCACGGTGCTCGCTATGGCTCAGCTCGTGCTTTGATGCAGGGGAAACTCGAAGAAAGACTTCCACTTTTTTCAATGTCGTTTCCGCCATGGGTTTTAGAAAAGTACCCAGAAATTTCGAAGAATCTAAAAACCAACACTGACCGCTTGACGTCATGGTTTGACGTATACGCCACGTTTCGCCACATGCTCAGTTACCCAGAAGTACCTGCCAACCTAAAACATGGTCAGAGTTTATTCGTTGAAGTTCCTATATCACGCACATGCCCCCAGGCTAGTGTTAAAAAGCATTGGTGTCCATGTTTGGAATGGGTGAATGTAGATAAAAAACACAGCCACGCAATGAATTCTGCACTTTCAGCAGTGGACTTCATCAACAATGCCATCCTAGAACACGAAAAAAGCGCTAAAAACTGCCGTAATTTAACCATAAAAAATATAAACTACGCCATGCTGGAACGACCAAATGATAAACTACTGTCATTTCAGCAGACAAATGATTTATTACCGGCATTTAGCGACGGGTCAAAACCAAGTCATAAGGACTTTTGTCGCTATCAAATACAATTCACAACTTATCCAAACAATGCGATATACGAAGCAACTGTGCGCTATCATAAAAAATGGTTTATTGTAAGCAAGGATATTAGCAGAGTGAACGAGTACGGAAATCAGCCAGACTGCATTGCGAGAGATCTACCACATCTAAGGAAATTTTGCATGTGTGCGAATATCCCCGTCAATGAATTGGAAAATAGTCTTGAAACTCAAATGTTATGTGATTAGCTAGGTCTAGGATTGTTCCTTCAGTAATCAGGAAAAGCCTGTCGGCATCGAGCGCCGAACGAAGAATATCAGCAAGAGGAGAGATTTCATAAATTACAAACAATTACATAGGAAGTTAATGAGTTCACGGCAACCAGGTACAGCCTCGTTCCCAGGCGCTTTAAATAAAATGAATATAGGTTCCATTTCTCCGTCGCGTCCTCCCCAAAACTCCTTGCGCGCTCGCTTGTGTTCCTATATTCATTTTATTTAAAGCGCCTGGGAACGAGGCTGAACCAGGTATATAATCCGTCGTAATTGGTTTTATTCATTATTTTCATCACTTCCATTTATTTAAACCAGAGTAGCGATAATTACGATGAATTACATAGGAAGTAAGTAAATTCTCTTGGTTAATACAGAAAATACAGCTATCATACTCTTTCGCAACTTGATAATCAGTCGATGCCAGTCAGTCGGGAATATTATTTGCATTGCACGTTTTTTAATGACGTGGCCTGGATACTATCAGAGGCCATTCATTGTTTATAAGAGTTGAGTTTTTGTGACTTACTGCGAACAAGGTTGGTATGAATTTACTTACTTTGTAACTTACTGCGAAGAGTTAGTATGAACTCTCCTGACGAAGGCCCTCAGGTCGATACGTCGAGAAGTGCTTTGTCTATTTTAGGCAGTTGTTATACTACATTTGAATTTTGATGCTAAGCTGTTTGCCTGATGCCACGCTGCTCCATGGTTATATTGAAAGATATATATTACATGTATTTGCTCAAAAGGGCTGACAATGCTACGTGTTAAAGAAATATCTGCATTAACTTGATATAGAAATTCGAAAAGCGCCGTATCGTTCATTTGAACATTGAAGGTCTCACCGTTAACTCGCACATTCCAAGGTACCCGAAGGGCGGCTAAACTCCCTGATATTTCTGATGATGGGGCTACCCTATTGAGTATTAGGGATATTTTTAGAAAGACCGTTGCTATTGTTAACGAACTGCAGTAAGTCACAACTAGAAATGGTCCATTCAGAATCGCCGTATAAATGGACACGAAATTTGTAACTGCTCAATTCAATACAACAATTCAACAGAATTCCACTCGCGGCTCGCCCGTCGTAATTTTCTTTTACATGCAAATTGAATTAGTCCCCGCAATATAAAACATCTTTCGCACCCACTGGACTCTCCTTGAATTCTGGGCGCCAGGTCGTCCACGCAACGACAAGACCTGCAGTGAGTCACAAACTTTTAATCTATCTTGAAACTGTGAAGACTGTCAAAGTGCCTGTGTTCACAGCTATCGGCTCTTCCGCAGCCCCTTTTCCGGGCAAATAGGGCGGGCGCCGGGTAGTGTTCACAGTTGAAAATTTGCATTGGTAAATGTAAAACGCAGCGAGTATCACGATGAATTACTGAGTAACGAAGTGTTACCCCCTGTTTTAGTTCCTTCGAATATTTTTACACCAAATACTTCGAAACTTAGGATTTGCTATTTGAAAATGCCAACTCTGATCACAGAAGCCTGCATACGTTGTAACCACCAAAGGAACTAATCTAAAAATTGTGGGATTATAAAAATTAAGCTAGATTTCCGCCACCGGAAATAATAAAATTTACCATCCAAACGCGCTCACAATCATTCGTATATTTGTCGCGAGTCCAACCGCCTCTACAAAAACAGTATGAGTCGACCATTTCGGATCCCAAGAGAGGTGTCGAAAGTGCATGAAAGATGAAAAGCAAGGTGTGTTGCATGGGGTATTATTTTTTTATAAATTCGCACACATGCAAAATTTCCTTAGATGTGGTAGATCTCTCGCAATGCAGTCTGGCTGATTTCCGTACTCGTTCACTCTGCTAATATCCTTGCTTACAATAAACCATTTTTTATGATAGCGCACAGTTGCTTCGTATATCGCATTGTTTGGAGAAGTTGTGAATTGTATTTGATAGCGACAAAAGTCCTTATGACTTGGTCTTGACCCGTCGCTAAATGCCGGTAATAAATCATTTGTCTGCTGAAATGACAATAGTTTATCATTTGGTCGTTCCAGCATGGCGTAGTTTATATTTTTTATGGTTAAATTGCGGCAGTTTTTAGCGCTTTTTTCGTGTTCTAGGATGGCATTGTTGATGAAGTCCACTGCTGAAAGTGCTGAATTCCTAGCATGGCTGTGTTTTTTATCTACATTCACCCATTCCAAACATGGACACCAATGCTTTTTAACACTAGCCTGGGGGCATGTGCGTGATATAGGAACTTCTACGAATAAACTCTGACCATGTTTTAGGTTGGCAGGTACTTCTGGGTAACTGAGCATGTGGCGAAACGTGGCGTATACGTCAAACCATGACGTCAAGCGGTCGGTGTTGGTTTTTAGATTCTTCGAAATTTCTGGGTACTTTTCTAAAACCCATGGTGGAAACGACATTGAAAAAAATGGAAGTCTTTCTTCGAGTTTCCCCTGCATCAAAGCACGTGCTGAGCCATAGCGAGCACCGTGATCTCCCATGATTATGAGTAACGTATTACTTAGAGTATTGCTTTGTTTTAAGTCTTGTAGCAGCGACAACAGATCTGGTTCGATTTTTGCAGTATTACTGTTGGCATTGTGGGAATAACGGTCTGGATGGAAGAGAAATAATCAAAAATTTAATTAGATGCGGTAGTTGGAGGGGGTTTATATTGATATATTCATGCAAGCAATCGCTTTCAAAGAAAACGCATTAAACTTGTTCCCGTATGGCAGCATTTGAAAACAGTTTAGAGCGTTGTTTAAACATTTGTTTTCATCTGCACGTATTATGCACAGTTTTTCGAATAACCGTTGTTGCATGACGTAATCATATATTGTATTGAATTTTCACTTAGTCGCCTGGTGATCGCTTTGCTTTTATAGCTTAGCGTGAAACACCGTGTAGCGACGGCTTTATTTTGAGATTAAAGAATTATAATATTATATTATTAATATTAATAATAATATTAATATTATGATTATTATACATATATATATGATAAGCTGTTCCATTGCGTTAAAACAAATTATGAAAGAATTACACTGATCCAAAAAACTTAATCAGCAAATGCCTAGTTATGGACCGCAACGGTTCCTTTTTAACCAACAACATTTGACTACATGCCCTCCACCGGAAGGAATAAGTAGTTACCAAGTTTTGAACAAATTCATCAACTTTCCTTTTAAAAGACAATTAAAATGCCAGTTATCAGTTGCGCAAATGTCTTACCGTTATATGAGAAAAAAAACTTGAATTTGTTTTTGAACATTGCAAACACTTCTCGAATATAATCAAACTGAACTTTTGATATGGTTTTGGAACCCAGGCACATGTCTCCTTTTAATAATCCTGAAGCCATGGTATAGAACGGTCTGGGATAGAAATCAGTGGGTGGATCTTTGAAGCCCATCAGTCTGTATTGCCATGTACCAAGAGATGGAGTGTCGGCGGAATAACCAGTCAAATAACCTCGTTCTGAAATTCAAAATACGTAGCGAAAACTTGGTTATAATATAGTGATCACACAACAGCAATTTTATCTGACTTCTATCTGATATATATTTTATTTTGTTGAAAAAGCTAGGAAGTCATGTCGCACTCGTGAGAATTTTATAACAATTAGTATGGACACTGCTTCTTTGATTTACTAGTTTTCGACTTTCACTGAAATATACTATAGTGCCTTTGTCACTATAGTATATTATCACTTTGTCACTATAGTATATTGTCACTATATTTAACTAGAATTTCCAGAAGGATTGACATGCATCTTCGATCGATCAGATTACTTTAAATATCGATGACTTTCTCATGTTTGATAAGCCTTATTATTCTCTCCAGAAACTGAAAAGTAAAAATTCATATTTGTGTACATAAACTGAAACTGGTAGAGATAATTAATTGTTAAAATATAGGCTGTTATTCATTTTCCATTCCCAACCCCGACATGCAGGTTCTACTATATTTTCTACTTACTGCAGCATTTAGCAACAGATTGGTAGAATCCAATTCCTGCACCATCAACTTAATTGTTGACTTTAATTGTTGATATATCAAATTAAGTAAATTAGCTTGAAGATACACCACGAAAGTACAGCCTCGTTCCCAGGCGCTTTAAATAAAATTTTAAATATAGGAACACTACAGGCTTTTACATAGATCAGTGGCTAAGCTGAGCGAGCGCGCAATGTGAAAGCCTATAGTCTAGTGTTCCTATATTCATTTTATTTAAAGCGCCTGGGAACGAGGCTGACGAAAGTATTTAATATTGCAATGCTTTCGGTCCGTTAAACCGGGTCTTCATCATGCAGTGCAACAGAACGAAACAAAACAGTGCAACAGACAGTTGCACTGACGTTGAAGGCCCAGGTTTACGGACCGAAAGCTTTGCAGTATTAAATACTTACGTGGTGTACCTACAAACTAATTTACTTATTTCATGTCATGCACCATGCAAAATTAAATGATGATGAAGTCACCAGAAAAATAACAAGAACCTTTAAGTTGTTTATATATCCATGTCCATCCATCTACGGGCTTGGGGTTACTATGATGGCGTCTTGATTCATATTGCTCCAGTTCTCCTAATCCGGTTAACATAGCGGTCAGTTGTTCTGTGGTGCCGTCTCCTACTATAGAAAGCCCGTTAAAAATGAACGAACCAAGTTCATCTTTTAGATATTTATACGCTTTTGCAAGCGTTCGTTTCGCATTTGCATGAGAGAGTGAATCTATGCCAATGATCAAAATATTCAAGGGTATCCCAGGTTGCTTTTCGGCCCTGCGTTTTAATAAATGTTCATGTGGTACTGGCTGGATAAAAATCTCCTTATGGGCACCATCAGTTTTGTGGTCAAGTACATATTCTACTTCGATAAATTCATCCGTAATCTTCTCTGTTGTATTCAATGCTGGTACAGGAACGCTTGTGCCAAGAATGTACTTAAAATCTCCATCTCGAACGATCCGACGATATTTCGCTGCAGTTACCTTCGGATCTAAACGCGAGAAAAGAGGTAAATGACCTCATATTGTTAGTTTCTGCCCGACTGGCGTCGATATTATAAAAAGTAAAAGATCACACACCTAAAAAATGGATTTTTCCGTTTACTAATTTTCCATATGATTTATGCTTCCAGCATCTGGGCATAGACACGTCACGAAGTAATTTAATTATTGATGGATGGAATGGATCGATGTCTGGAATTTTGCATGCGAGTTCTGATCTTTTCTGTTCTGATTCGAGCGACGTCGGGCACTCTCGCTATATGCAAAAATAAGAATGTCGATTGTTTACTGCAGGATTTTTGATATATTAAACGTGTTACTGATGTTGCACCAACAGCACACAGCTTGCCAAAATTCAGCGTTACACTCGCAATGTGTAGAAAATATGCTTACTGCATTAAATAGAAAATTTTTAATGCAGTTGTGAGTTGTACTATACGCCCACAACATCGATAACCCTAATTTCGTGAAAGTTTCTGCGATGATTTTAAAGGTATACCAAAAAGCCATATGCACCTTCACTTTAGGAATAAGGATGATTTTTTAGGCCACTTTATAAAATATTCAGTAGCTTTTAGCTGCTCGACATCAGATTGTAAGCAGTTTTTTAAAGTGTGATTGTTGCATGGTTAATTTTATCATAGAAAACCAACAACGCTCTAACTATTATATATATATATATATATATATATATATATATATATATATATATATATATACCCGTTTGCAAAAACGTTGGCCGCAGATAGATATATAGATAGATACCCGAAATCTAATTAGAATTGCATATGTTGTGTAATATGATTGAAATCCCATGCAAATGTAATCATGCATATGCAATTCTAATTAGACTTCGAGTATCTATCTATCTATCTATCTATCTGTGGCCAACGTTTTTGCAAATGGGTGTATATATATATATATATATATATATATATATATATATATATATATATATATATATATATATATATATTATATGAACACTTCACGTCATTAAATATAGCAGGTACGCGACGTACGAGGTGACTTTCGTAAATGGACTTTTATAAGGTGAACGTCAGTTTTAAAAAAATGTATATATGAGAATCTTGTATTTTACTTTAATTGTTTTATAATTACCTATTTCAGTTCTAAAATTGGCGCGCGATAAACCAGGAGTAAATACAGACAGTGCATGAGTGGAAAATACCTGTGCTTCAGTACGGCTTCTGCTGATCCATTCGTCGAGACCAACTGACTTTTCCACATCTTTAGGCACATTTAATGATGGCATCTGAAATTGTTAAGGTTAAAGGTTTAAATGTTTTCCGAAATTGGATTTTTCTCATATAGAATGAAGCGAAAATCAGTTTCAGTAGTCTTCAGTGCATGCGTGCTGAACCTGATTATCGTTATATAAAGTATATATTTCCTGCTTTAAATTTCGTTGACTTTTGTAAATCGACTTTTATATATAGTTTGATATTTGCGGTGAACGTCAATCTTAAAAGAATTATATCAGTGTCTTTCTTGTATTTTACTTTAAATGTTTTATAATTCCCTATAAAATATTCTCTAAAATTGGTGCGTGGAAAGTGGAAAATACCTGTGCTTCAGTTCTGTTTCTGCTGAACCATTCGTCATGACCAACTGACTTTTCCACATCTTTAGGAATCTGAAATTGCAATTTGCAAGGTTAAAGTTTTTAAATCGCATTTTCAAGGTTAAAGTTTGGAAAACATTTAAAAATGTTTTCCAGAATTGGATTTTTCTCATAGAACAAAGCGAAAATTTTAGTCTTTTCAGTGCATGAAATCTGTTTGTCGTTAAAAAGATTTATCAGTAAAAGATGGTATTTAAAATATTTTGTTAAATTAAGAGGTTGACGTGAAGAACTGGAAATATATTAATTTATCCGCGCATGCACTCAGCTGTGACAACACTTTGAAAAAACGAATTTGAGTAAAAAAAAAGTTTAAAAAAATGGAGCACGTCGATCAAAAACGTAATAATAAATGTGAATCGAATCAGTTGCAACAGCAATATACTACAATAGACCTTCAAGCAGTCAGTTGAGTCCAGGTTGGTTGACCCACAATGTTTGACACTTCATGTAGGAATGACGCTTCATGAAGGTTCATGTAGCAATCTCATGACACACTCGTTTTTTTCCACCGATAATTTCTCATGAGAAGGTGCATGACCTTCTCCTAAACTGCATGCTACTCCTTCTATATACTAATTCTCTTTTACTATAAACTCGGTCTCGGGCAAAATTCTTCAAAAATCGTCAACATATATCAATATATCAGACACAGAATTTGCGTACAGACGTTTAATTTTGATCGTGCAGAATATGCGTGCAGTCGTTTAGCTTCGATTAAGTTCACAGAATATGCTTCCAGTCGTTTAGTTTTGATCGAGTACACAAAATATGCGTGCAGTGCCATTTAGCTTGGATCGAGTACACAGAATATGCGTGTAGTGTGGCTTAGGGTACAAACACAAAATACCTGGGTGCGCATCTGAAATACCTGGGTGCGTATATATTAAAACGAAAACGTACTATCATTACAACACTTTTTGCTTACGTAACGTGTCGTATGCCAGAAAACAGTCCAAGTTGAATGAGCCACTGAACCGCCAAAAATATGTCACATGCGACCACGATTCATTTTGATTAACCAAAATTAAAATTGGCCGCATGGCCAAAGACTTGTGCGAAAAAACCCCCGACCGAATTTATTTAAAAAGCTCACTCGCACTCACACTCATTGAGTGTGACATAAATATTTTGTTAATGCTGGTCAATGTCAATGAGAAAGTTCTTTCTGAATAGGTGGAAAGATTTAAGGTAAAACACTGGAAATCAAGCCCCTATACGACTGGAAATAACGTCATGGAAACGTTATGAGAAGTTTAAGACCTCCCACTCAATGAGTTTGAGTGTGAGTGAGCTTTTAGAATACAGGCGTTAGACTATCCTAAGAACAATGGCTATAATCAACGCCGGCAAAGTTTAATGACCTGCACAAATTATAGTAAGTAATATTAAAGCGTTGCCACCTGCCTGTCAACGAACTCAAACTGGCAAACGTGAAATCCGACCGGAATCCTCATTCTGGATAGCAGCTAGACATGGGGGGCGGACCCATTTGGAAAATTGGGGGGGGGGTACTAACAAAAAAGGGCACTTTTTCATATATAGTAATAATATTTACCGAAATTTACTAAATACTACCATACACACGTGAAGACAGAGACAGTAAAATAATTTTGTTTTATAGCTCCTTATTTTGAGGCTTGCAAATATACTCCTGCATGGGGCTGATTGTTCTATATTTTCTAAAGTTTTGAAAACGAGCGGAAGCACATAAATCAGTTAAAACGCTGGATTCAAATTTAACCAAGAGTTAGCGTTAACCTGCTTTGAATAACTGGTACCTGCATGTTTCGGTTTACAATAATTATAAGGCACAATTAAGTGCTTTCCTAAGAAGGAAACATTTATTGATTTAAAGACGGTTGAAAGTGTTTATCCCGCGTCACTTGCAGTTGGATGACTATATATATACATGCATGGAAACAATTTATCAATAAAAATGGTTTCTCTGTAAATATTAGTTTTCCGTTTTAGATAAAGCTTGACAGCATGTAAATTTCCTAAGATTTTAAATATTTATGGCATTCATGCTGAAATAGAAACTATACCGTTGCTTCAGTTTGCGGCAATTGATTTTTCTTGCGACAATTTTCGGCTCTAACTTGCTCAATTAAATATCTTCATTCCTGTTCTAGAAAGAACTCCATTCCTACAGTCTTTGAAGATCAAAGACAAGGTTTTCCCTCATTATTAATAATTTATCGTATTTTCTCACATTGCTTGCCTGACGTTCATGCAATTAAGTTCGATTATATGAACGCAAAAGCAAGGACTAAGTTTAAAGTTTAAACCCCCTGCTCTCGTTAAATCGTAACTTTCGCGCAGCTTATCAGTTAAACTACCGAGTTCTCAGGTTTCCTATTGACTTATTCCGTCGTCTCTGTCGATTAGTATAAACAGAATAATACAGGCGGCTGGCTTATATGTATTGCATGATCTGCATGATCACATGCAGTAAGCATGAGCCGTACCACGAGCATGAATAATAAATCAATTTTAACTATCCATGCCACGAGAGCATTTAGTTATTAATCCTGCCAAAAATGTAGCCTTATATAACCTCCTCGCGGAGTACTATTACATTTGCCGACAGCGATAGTAAAATATATACAATGGCGATAATATTGATACCATTAATTAATAAACTTTTATCATTCATGCATGCATCCGAATACGAGATACCGGAGACCAACAGAATGCTCCCAGCGTAAAGCCCGTTTTTCACAGAAACCGTGAAGTGCACAAAAGTTAGCATCAAATGGGGTATATTAAACAACTGCCTAATTATAAATTAGACAAAACAATCTAACTCTCCTGACGAAGCCGAAGGCCCTCAGGTCGAAACGTCGAGAGTGTTTTGTCTAACAATACCATGCACATTTGATGCTAAGTTGTTTGAAGACGCTGCCACGCGCTGCTCCCTGGTTATATTGGAACTTACCTGTGTATAAAAGCTCGTTTTAATAACAACATTTATATCTATAAGAATCTTTTCTCCACATTTAACTGAATAACACTACAAAAATGATCATATAGTATAAACCTAGAGCGAACGCCAACCAGTTGTATTTATATTTATAGGATATAATTATTTATTATTCTTACATGCATGCATACAAGTATATCAGCATTCATGTATGAGATGTTTCTGATAGACGCATTCCGTATGCATGGTTTTGAAGTGTGGAGTGCGGGAACATCGCAATAAGTAAGGTACTAACCTTCGTTACATGTTCATGTTTCATATCGGATCCCTCTTTCTGAAGAAAATACATTGCTACAAAAGTTGTTGTCGCTACCAGCATTGCGAATGGAACCAGAAAGCGAATTTTTGACAATATCTTAATCCGCATATTTATTATTGTATGGCATGCAGCTGTTGTTGTCGTGTAACTTCCACCAAATTTTCCGTTCTGTGTTTTGCATATGCCCTTTGCATTATAATAAAGAGCACTTCTGTATGACAATATAATTTTTGCTACGACGCTGATTACTTAGCAACGGCGCTAGTTGCGCAGACGTTTACCGCGTTTTACATAAGCATTTGCTTGGTATTTGCCCAAACAAGCAAACTAATTGAATTTGGTGGTGTAGGGGTCAATCTTGCAAAACAAAGAAACACCACACGCGAGACAATATAAGTTGCATTAAATCCCCGCGGGCTAATATTCGTGAACACGTCATTATTAACAATGATTGATTTCAATAGTTTTCGGTTTTTTTGAGACACCCTGTATAGGACGCCTTCAAACGAGGCATTTTCACGGACATGCATGAAAGCAGCGGCAATTAACGTGATAGCTTATATTGGCTATATTAAACTGCAATATCGATCAGCTAGAACATCGGAGGTTCTTAGCACGATTCAAACGTTTGTTTAGTTATTACAAAGTCCTGGCAGCATAATTAATTTCCTGTAGCTTATTTCTAGCAAAATAATTGACAAGCGTTGTCGAGCTAACCGCGTCGTTAGATCTTAAACGGTCTATGTCAAATTTATGCCATAAGATCGCGGTGTTTATAATATATATAGTTTCCTCTATCAATACTTATAATTACAATTTAGCTAAATACTTGTTTGCAATTAAAAATTTTGTCGTTTATTTCAAATGCTTTAAATTATACATGCACTCTTGTGCTATTCAGATCATACTTTAATAAAAGGCGCGTTCACATGCACGATTCAATTTTGCGGATCCAATTCATTTCTGACATATCATTATGGAGTGTATTTTATTATGGAGTGTATTTTTTTTTATATTTTGCCCATATATATCATAACATTTATTATACCTAGATCTATTTACAATATAATTCCTAGAAAAATGGCTAGAGGCCTACAAGAAACCTTTAAGAGGTTTTTATTTAAGGTGCCTAGTTGTACAAATACTAAAAATAAAGTTCTCAGTGGCGTAGGAAGGGGGGGCACTGGGGGCACGTGCCCCCCAAAGTTTTTTCAAGGGACCAAAAGTGCCCTTTTTGTGAAAAAATGCCTTTTTGGGAAACGAAAAGAAAGAAAAAAGTATCTACTATTTCCCAATAATCCTTAAATTGAGAGGGATTTGTGGCCATTTCAGAGGCCTATATCTCAAAATTTTCTCGGGGGAGCATGCCCCCGGACCCCCCTAGCAGTACGAAGCCCAAGAAATACGAAAAATGTTCTGCGGTCGGCGGTCCCTGAATCAAGCCGTCCCTATAGATATAATTTTATTAACCATTTTAACCGTCATTTTTATTAACCAAAAGTGCCCTTAGACTGAAGCTGTTGCCCCCCCAACCTCTGGATGCTTCCTATGCCCTTGAAACTTCTATCAGTATACAGTCAACTAAATTTTAGGACTAGTTGTCTATAAGTGTATTTAAGTTAGGAATATATAAAGAGAGAGGAAAATAACAAAACATAACAAAGCAAAACAAAACTATTTACAGTGCAATATTGTGCTAGTATTGGAGATCTCCAATACTAGCACAGTTTGAAGTGTTTTTTTTGCCATACTTTTACTTTTTGCCATAGTTTGTTATTGGTAAAGAAGTACTGGCTGTACCGCGTTAGTTTTAGTCGTAAGTCAACAAACTTCTAGCTTACATTGCAGTTACTGTATATATATAAGCTGTAAAACATACAGCTATCACTTTGCTGCAATCATGTCCTCCAGAAGCTGTGGAATTGCCTCATTTGAAGGCGTCGTGAGTATGGCAACGCTGTTCTGGGACCACAACTACTACAAGTTATACATAGGTATAGCTATTGTCTCACGTGTTGTGTTTCTTTGTTTTGCAAGTGCGTCTTCGAGCTGGCCGCGTCGTGAATCTTAATCCCTAGCTAGTATCGCTATTTGAAAACCGACTTTATGCCTGTTTTCCACTAGCGATATTTTTCGCGCGAAGCGAATTTTTTCCTTTGTATTTGAGCAATTCGTTCCAGATGGTTGCAGTTGAGAGTTGAAAGTAAAATGTTACTTCGCGCGAAAATTATCGCTAGTGGAAAACCGGGTTAAGATGGCTGGGAGGAAGCGTCGGGAGTGATTTTTAAAGACCGCCTGTTACGCAATCGTCGACTTAATGATTTAATAGTACTTAGAATACAGTGGAAATAAGAGATAAAACCAACATGTATATTAAATAATTATAGCTACAACGCATTCTATTATAAATCATGCACATATAAATAGTGTATAAAATATCTCTTAATACAAAGTATACACACATTTTAGAAGTTGCTCAGTTGTAATTCATATAACATGTAATGTACAGATCATTCATATCTTGTCATGTATTTTCATGTTTCCCCTGCTTTTACAGCTTTTTTGTTCTTTCCAGAAAGTTTTGACATCGTTTTGGCGCATTCTCGATCAGCCTTGGTTATTTTGGAAAAATCCAGTTTTTCGAGCTGCGGTATTTTGTTGATGATGTAATCTCTATAACCCTTGGTGTCCTCCACTGGATTACCATGTACAGTTAGGGACCGTAGGTTACTTAATGATGCAAGTTTATCGATTTCTGCCATCCTTTCAATGCCGTTACCATGTAAGTTCAGAACCTTTAACTCGGGATAGCCCAGTATCACCTTGAACAAGATATACATTGAAGTCCGAATCAACTCAACTACATATTATCTTAATTTATCTAATTGTTTCAGCCAACCAGAATGTAGCATTTGGATTGGTACTCGAGTAAGATTTTTACTAAATATAAGGGAGGATTCAGGATTTCACAATTTCAATTTTACAATTTCAATTCAAAATTGACTCTTCAAGTTTCTTGCTCTTCAAACAAAATGGCATGATTTTTAGCCGACTATAGTGACAATTTATTTTCATTTTATCTTAACAGCAATTGAAACTATATATATCCGTCACCTGTAAAACAAACAAGCACACGTCAGTAATTTGAAGACTGTTTTGGCGGCTTCGCCCTCGCAGTCTCTAAATATTTACTCGGAACACCTGTGCCTGTAATTTAGAGCAAGACGTCGCAGAGAAATTTAACAGCCATATATTGTCTAACTGATACAATCTCGATAAAGGTTAGCCATGCACGCCACTCGCCACTCGGTAAAATCAAAATGCACTGCGGGTTTGCAATCCAAATTAACATTTTATTCTTGTTTCATCATCAAAAGACAAAACCTTGTTTCCTATAAAGATTTACTGACCTTATCAATTGCTGTGAGATAGTTGAATGATAAATCCAGCCACGAAAGTTGAGACGGACTTTCAAGAAGGTTTTGCATCGTTTCCTCGAATCCATTGAAGTTTGTTAACGCATTGTTGTTCAAGCGCAGAGCATTCGTTTTATATTTGTTAGTGTCCTCTTGTTTCTAAAAAGGAGCAACAATTTATTTCTAACTTGAATTTTAGTTTACATGCATGCAGCAACCCTCGCTATTTCAACCAAAGAAAGTAATTTCCTGAACTAGCCAAACCTATGTTATATATATTATGAAATGACTCAAAGTCAAATGGGTCGAAATATTTCTATTATTTAAGCAGGCATTTTATGTTTTCTTAGGGTTAAAAATTCAACCTTCAAAACATCAAAATAGTACAAAATCAAAAAAGGACAACACGTCTTAGAAGGGTTACTTGAGTCTGAACCTTGATTGGAGTCGCGCATGTCGCATTATGCATGTATTCCTCCATCTTCCTAGTCAGTTAATGACATTTTTGGCAAATAAACACGCTGTACTGGGTGCCTTGCTAACCAACAATAATCTACTACAGTCGGTTTCATCCGTACACTACACAGGAATCATCAACTGTAGACAAAAAACGAAAAGAGTGGTCCAAATAATGCGTGCAATCCTAAAAACTGATTCTCATATGCCACCGACAGTCGGCGATGGCTATTGTCGGTGATTACTGATGAATAAAGTGCTTTGTTATTTTGAATAAATTTTCGGCTATACGGATGAAACAAACTGTACCTAGTGGATGGATTTGAACAAGCACTCTCTAGTACTTCGTAAACAGAACAACATAATCTCATATATACAAGATCATATATGTATATTCGTATATTCAGATCATATATGTATATTATGTATATTCAGTTTTAGATACCCAGTGTGACGTCATTTGTGATAAGAACGAAAAAAGTGGCCAAGAGTGGCCGGGGTGAGTCACTTTTTGTTGACTGTCGATCTATTTGTTTTAAATAACAAAATCGAAAACATTTCTAAATTAAACAGGAAAACAGTTCGTTTTGTTTTCCCCAACACTTGAATGATTAACATATATACATATATATATATATATATATTATATAATTATATATATATATATATATATATACAGTAGGAGGCAAAAGTTTGAGTCCAGTCGTTGTAGAATTCCAGTATTAAATCCTGGCAGCGTATTGGAGTTAAGACATGCGTGCTAGTGTTTCAGTACTGTAAACTATATTAATTGCACACTGTTTTGGTCCTAATGATCTAAATTATAACAAAATAAAGTTCTCATTCCTTTACACTGCCCAAGATGGGTAGGAAAAAGGGCAAAGTGATGGTGCACAAGGACAAATAGTTCCATTAAGTATTGAAGGATTCTTTCCTCGTAAGATCGCAGAAGAAGTGAGAATTTAAAAAGGTGGTATGCAACTAACCTTGGAGAGGTTCGAAGAAACTAAATCCTACTCAAGCAAACTTTTAGCTGCTTTGGTCATGCTCGGTTTGGCAATATTGAAAGATATAATAGGATCCTAATTAAAGAAAAGTATCATCCAATTCTTCAAGGACATGGAATTTCATCTGGTACAAAGATGATCGCACGTCTAACTACATGATAATCACCCTAAGCACATGCACATCTTCTATGTGCCAGAAATCGTTTAGAAGCAAACTCATTCTGGTGATCTCGTTGTCATGGCTTTCCACCTCATATTCCAGATCTAAAACCTATGGAGCACTTGTAGAACCGTTTTAACCGGAAGAGGGCGAGGCACAGACCCGCCAGCCAGGCTGACTTGAGGCAAGTGGTCAACGAATGCTGGCAAGGTATTGAACGTGTGACATTAAAAAACCTATGGAATCTATGCGAGCAAGAATAAAGGTCATTTCAAGAGCAAAAAAGAGGGAACTAAGCAATGACATGTAAATGCATGTTTGCACATTAAAATACGTAAAAATGAATATCATAACATCTCATAGTTGTTGTACAGCATGTATTTTTCTGTTTACTTGTTTACTTTTTTCTAGTTCACTTATCGGTAAGGTTTTCTGTAGAATATTAATATATGCTGCTGAAACAAAGAAATACAGTCACTGGACTCAAACTTTTGCCTCCTACTGTATATATATGTATATAGGCAAAAGTTTGAGTCCAGTGACTGTATTTCTTTGTTTCAGCAGCATATATTAATATTCTACAGAAAACCTTACCGATAAGTGAACTAGAAAAAAGTAAACAAGTAAACAGAAAAATACATGCTGTACAACAACTATGAGATGTTATGATATTCATTTTTACGTATTTTAATGTGCAAACATGCATTTACATGTCATTGCTTAGTTCCCTCTTTTTTGCTCTTGAAATGACCTTTATTCTTGCTCGCATAGATTCCATAGGTTTTTTAATGTCACACGTTCAATACCTTGCCAGCATTCGTTGACCACTTGCCTCAAGTCAGCCTGGCTGGCGGGTCTGTGCCTCGCCCTCTTCCGGTTAAAACGGTTCTACAAGTGCTCCATAGGTTTTAGATCTGGAATATGAGGTGGAAAGCCATGACAACGAGATCACCAGAATGAGTTTGCTTCTAAACGATTTCTGGCACATAGAAGATGTGCATGTGCTTAGGGTGATTATCATGTAGTTAGACGTGCGATCATCTTTGTACCAGATGAAATTCCATGTCCTTGAAGAATTGGATGATACTTTTCTTTAATTAGGATCCTATTATATCTTTCAATATTGCCAAACCGAGCATGACCAAAGCAGCTAAAAGTTTGCTTGAGTATGATTTAGTTTCTTCGAACCTCTCCAAGGTTAGTTGCATACCACCTTTTTAAATTCTCACTTCTTCTGCGATCTTACGAGGAAAGAATCCTTCAATACTTAATGGAACTATTTGTCCTTGTGCACCATCACTTTGCCCTTTTTCCTACCCATCTTGGGCAGTGTAAAGGAATGAGAACTTTATTTTGTTATAATTTAAATCATTAGGACCAAAACAGTGTGCAATTAATATAGTTTACAGTACTGAAACACTAGCACGCATGTCTTAACTCCAATACGCTGCCAGGATTTAATACTGGAATTCTACAACGACTGGACTCAAACTTTTGCCTCCTACTGTATATATATATATGGTCATTCTGAACAAAAAATTGCAATAATATTCTTGTATGTTTGCATGGTGACAGTCAAGTATTTAATACTGCATAAGTATTTAATACTGCAAAGTTTTTGGTCGGCTAACCTGGGCCTTGCAATATTAAATGCTTATTGCACTTATAAGCTAAATTACTTAAAAAATTGCAAATCAGCAAGCCATCAAGAAGCTACCCTTTATATACTAGTTTGATGATATAGTATAGATATATGCAGTGTATCTTATTCTTACACTCAAGAGAGACTACAAAAAGGAGGCAGGGGGTTAGGAGTCAATAGCAATTTTCAATAAGATAATTAAAATTATAACTTCAATGACCCATTGTTATTTGGGAGTATATAATAAAGCTATATACTGAATTACTGATACAATAAACTTGGATAATTATAATCACTGTGGTGTAAGTATCTTCCACTAAGAGTACTGTATCATCTGTCTTTGTGTTAAAGGATCAAATGCATTTAAATTGTGCTTAAATTAAATGTCATTTAATACATTACTTATAAGAAATTGCTTACAAAACAGAATAACAGCTTAAATCAAATGGGTTTGTTTTGTAGATAGCAAAGAGAGTTAGAGATAAGGTAATTTCGACAATAAGAGACAAGTCATGTCAATACAGAGAAGTCTGTGAAGTGAAAGTATGTGTTAGACTGTTAGCTAATAACAAAAATTTGCTTGTCTTAAAAGGTATAAAGCAAACTATTTTTTTCACTGTCAGTTTTTTATTCTCACAAGTCAGGCCCCCAAAGCTTGATTGAGCAGAGCTATGTAAAAAAACTTATCAATATTAAACTACAGGAAACACCAAGATACCTGCAGTGCACATCATGTACTGCAACCATTGTTACATTTCTGTTTTACTGAGAACAAAACATTAAAAAAACGAAAAAGGCAAAAGGTTGAATATATTTTTCTAACTTTTATTCGAGTTCAAAATGTTTTAAAAAAGAACGCAATTAAGAAGAAATCATATTGCAAACGTCAGCAGATATAGTGCGCGAAAACCAGCGGGAACCGATTGTAAACAAACACGCACGATGCGCAAAAATCATACCAAAAAGTAGAGTGAAACTTTTTAATTCTTATTTTTACCTACCAACAAACTTCGCAAACATGGCCTTGGTTCTTCGTCGAGCACATCTAAATTGAAATTAAAAGAATGCAGCTTTCCTATATAGATTAACGCTAGTCATCTTTCGGTTTCAATTTGTATATTTTTGTAAACAGTATTAAACATACTTTATTAAAGACGATAAAAATTAAACTAGTAAAAGAAAGTATCGTAACCGCGCACGCACATGCTAAGTCTTAACGAATAGGAAATATAGAAGAGTTGCCAGAAAATATTAAGCAAACGACAGAAGCTTATACCTGCAAAAGCCGCCAGAGATCGAAAAGAATAATCCAGCGGTGGTGCCGAATTGTTTATCGTATCAATGGCATGCGATGTTGAACTTATTCTGCTTTTAGACATCATGATCACTTTTAATTGGGAAAGCTTGCATAGTTGATGTTATTCTTCGTCCTCGTATAAAACTTTGTTGGACCGTGCACCACCAAAGACAACAATTTCTGAAGAAGCTTCGTAGCAATTCTTCGTATCTATCTGGAGACCACCGACGGCGTTGTCATGGCGACGTCAGGATATGGCGTGGTTTCTAAGCAAGGAATTACGGTCAACTCGGCCCACTAACTAACTCGGCCCAACCAACTCGGCCCACTGTCGAGACTAAGTCGGCCCACTGCCGAGGCCAAGTCGGCCCACTACCGAGACCAACTCGGCCCAACATCGGACAATGTTATTCAATGTATAAATGTGTTAAATATTTTAAAATTGGAAAGGAAAAGGTACTCTAGAAGTTGTTACTGCAATATCGTACTGTATGATCGCTTTTTATCCAAGGTAAGTCAAGTCAAAATTTCAATATTGGCATACTAAGATTTGAAAATCGCAAGTACAGGCAAGTGAATTCATTGCTGAGAGTTGATTACTTGTATAAATATATGACATTCGAAGTTTACAGTAGTCAAACACATGTGATTTTGGTTTTTTTAATGCCGTGAAAGCTATTTGCCAAGAAATGACTTTTAGACAAGACATATAAACATACAATATACAAATATACGTAATAGAATAGTTAATAATTATTTACATTATTTACATCGATATATACAGTGTATCCTATTAAATACCCCGCCACCATCACAGTTCACTGGGTGCAAGGGCCATTGACATGGGCACAAGCATGCAACAGTTGTTTGCTGGTCATTTCACCAGCAATGAATTTGTCCCAATGTTCAAATATTCTGCCTTGTAGTTTTCTGTATTTGCGCCGTTGTTGACGTTTCAATTTGTTGTCAGAAACTAGACGAACCTGTACGGACACCAGACGAGATTCGCGATGTAACAGGTCAACCAGCAAGTAGAAGGGCAGGGATCCACGCCTTGCGTTGTGGTTTAAACGATGGTGCCAACCCTCAACATCATTGTTGGTTCTAACACTTTTTTTGAATATGCTCCAATTCTCCGGAGACCAAACTGTGGAATTGATCCAGGTATCACTGATGTACGCGACCAGGGCTTGGAGGACAGGTGTGGTTGCCAAAGCCTTCAGCTGCTCAAACATCTGGCTAATGTGCTCGTGGGGCAAAAATGGCAAGGCCATCAACCGTCTAATGTATTTATGGGTTGAGTCGTCCTCGTTGTATGCTGTGGTCAGGCCCAACCCTTGTACTTTCCGCCAAATTGCTTGGGTCCAATGGAACACACAGCCTTGAACTGATGCACCTGGGAACACCTTTGCCACTGCCTGCCATAACGCATGCTCGAAGTCGATGACAACGCCTTTCAAGCAGAGACCATCAGCAAGGAGGTTCTTGATGGCCTTCAACACGTGCTTGTAGTCTCGCCTTTTTTTGCCAGACATTAAGATAAATGCCAACGGTATCTGTTAATATGAAAAAATAAAATACAGCAATTTAATTTGGATCTAAAAATGAGGACTTAGTTGAATGTATTAAATATATATATTATATATATATATATATATTTACCTGCTTCACGTCACTGTTTTGTCTCACAAAGGCATGAATTGAGAATAGCTGCTTGAATGGATCTTTCACAACTTTGAAAGTGGCATCCATGTACCAAACCTTTGCTTGCTTTAGTAGGGCGATCATTTCTGGGGTGCTGAATATGAGGTGGCGCCGACCTCCAACCTTCACGTCTGCCTGCAGGAAATCATCTGGTATGTGGCGTTCGTCAACCTCAAACTCCAGATCAGTGGGCTCCTGTGGTCTTGTCTTCTGTCTTTTCCGGTTTGCTTGCCTAGCGAGATTACAAACCTTAGGAACAGCAGCGCACGGGGCATCTGTGAAATGGGCAACCAGAACTTCATCGGCGATAGCTCCTGCAGATCGAAAGAAGTCTTCCATGGCTTTGGCTTTCACCTCACTGATTATCTATACAAAGCAGAGATGATCAAGAAGACAAATGTTATGACATGTAGATATAAGGTGTTGACTTTTAAATATGAACATGCGAAATGACTACATGTGTTTCACCTTTGCTGCTGTACCTATGCCACTGGACGGTTGATGTGAATGGACCTGCACACCTGGACTAAAGTCTGTGCCATGCTGCCTCACAGTGGCCAGACAATTCGTTGTCTTGTTGCGGACAGTACAACGCCAGACAATGTTGTCCTCGCCATACTTGCGTTTAACCGTGTACGAATGTCCAAGGTTGTCCACCAACTTACATTTACCGCGTTGCGTAGAGGACTCGATTTTCTCATACTCGATGACACGGATGGTGTCCTCAGGAACAATGTTGCCTGGAGCGCCATCTCTAATTGACTCTTCCTGAACTGTGGGTGGAATTTCGTAACTGCCAAAATCTTCATTTTGTGCCGAACTTTCGCGTGAGGATGGTGGAGTTGAGGAATCATTGCCCAAGTTCACTATCAGGTCAACCATTTCACTATCAACGAGTTCACTATCTGTATGAAAAAATAAATAAATCTTGGTTGGTTGCATGGAATAAATAAAAAAATAGTGTTTCAGTTATGAAGGGAATAATAATTTTATAGCATATTTCACATACCAACAGTTGAAGAAGGTATGATGGTAGGTTGAATAGAAGCTTGAGAAGCACCAACGCCTACCACTGTACTACCTAAAGATTGAAAAGTTCATATGATTAAAATATTGCAGTTTTATCACAGTGTTTCTTTCTATATAAACAATAATTATTCCAATGCTTATATATGAGCATTTTTCTAATAGTTACCATGGGGAATTCTCGAGCTTTCGGCAAGTGGCAAAAGAAATCCAGCGCTCATGTTGAGGCAATCATCACAACGCCAGTCGATCCTGTCCATTCCTGACAGCGCTCCTGTACCGCTGTTGGGATATCCCGGTGTCGCACGTTCTGTGCTGCCATCGGTCACATCCATCGCATTGAATGCCTTCTTGTCTTGCTCGGACGGAGTTCTTGCAGCGAATGCAAAGATCTTGATCGGCCATCGTTAAAAAGAGTCTTGAAGTGTTGTAAACTGTGGTGTCGCGAACGAGAAGTGAAAGAAAATGCTTTGAATCATCACACCTTTTTATAAACTATTACTATGATGACTCATCGGCCTCATGAATGTTTGTTGTCTCTGTGAAAACAATAACAGTGGCAAAACAACAGCATTAACGAAGGGTTATTAACAGTTACTAATTACTACCACTATGCAGATGAAACTCTGATACATTTCTGTCTTATGGATTTCCTATATCAATACGTTTCATTCATTCGTTGTTTCTCAATATGAAATGTAGCATAAGCAACATGCGGCGAAGAAGCAATTGTATCAAACTAGCAACCGTATCTTGGTCACGATTCTATGGTTAAAAAATCTTGACCAAAATGATTATCAATCGTGACTAATTACCCGACGAGGAAATTAGTCACGATTGATAATCATTTTGGTCAAGATTTTTTAACCATAGAATCGTGACCAAGATACGGTTGCTAGTTTGATACAATTGCTTCTTCGCCGCATGTTGCTTATGCTACATTTCATATTGAGAAACAACGAATGAATGAAACGTATTGATATAGGAAATCCATAAGACAGAAATGTATCAGAGTTTCATCTGCATAGTGGTAGTAATTAGTAACTGTTAATAACCGTTAATGCTGTTGTTTTGCCACTGTTATTGTTTTCACAGAGACAACAAACATTCATGAGGCCGATGAGTCATCATAGTAATAGTTTATAAAAAGGTGTGATGATTCAAAGCATTTTCTTTCACTTCTCGTTCGCGACACCACAGTTTACAACACTTCAAGACTCTTTTTAACGATGGCCGATCAAGATCTTTGCATTCGCTGCAAGAACTCCGTCCGAGCAAGACAAGAAGGCATTCAATGCGATGGATGTGACCGATGGCAGCACAGAACGTGCGACACCGGGATATCCCAACAGCGGTACAGGAGCGCTGTCAGGAATGGACAGGATATCGACTGGCGTTGTGATGATTGCCTCAACATGAGCGCTGGATTTCTTTTGCCACTTGCCGAAAGCTCGAGAATTCCCCATGGTAACTATTAGAAAAATGCTCATATATAAGCATTGGAATAATTATTGTTTATATAGAAAGAAACACTGTGATAAAACTGCAATATTTTAATCATATGAACTTTTCAATCTTTAGGTAGTACAGTGGTAGGCGTTGGTGCTTCTCAAGCTTCTATTCAACCTACCATCATACCTTCTTCAACTGTTGGTATGTGAAATATGCTATAAAATTATTATTCCCTTCATAACTGAAACACTATTTTTTTATTTATTCCATGCAACCAACCAAGATTTATTTATTTTTTCATACAGATAGTGAACTCGTTGATAGTGAAATGGTTGACCTGATAGTGAACTTGGGCAATGATTCCTCAACTCCACCATCCTCACGCGAAAGTTCGGCACAAAATGAAGATTTTGGCAGTTACGAAATTCCACCCACAGTTCAGGAAGAGTCAATTAGAGATGGCGCTCCAGGCAACATTGTTCCTGAGGACACCATCCGTGTCATCGAGTATGAGAAAATCGAGTCCTCTACGCAACGCGGTAAATGTAAGTTGGTGGACAACCTTGGACATTCGTACACGGTTAAACGCAAGTATGGCGAGGACAACATTGTCTGGCGTTGTACTGTCCGCAACAAGACAACGAATTGTCTGGCCACTGTGAGGCAGCATGGCACAGACTTTAGTCCAGGTGTGCAGGTCCATTCACATCAACCGTCCAGTGGCATAGGTACAGCAGCAAAGGTGAAACACATGTAGTCATTTCGCATGTTCATATTTAAAAGTCAACACCTTATATCTACATGTCATAACATTTGTCTTCTTGATCATCTCTGCTTTGTATAGATAATCAGTGAGGTGAAAGCCAAAGCCATGGAAGACTTCTTTCGATCTGCAGGAGCTATCGCCGATGAAGTTCTGGTTGCCCATTTCACAGAAGCCCCGTGCGCTGCTGTTCCTAAGGTTTGTAATCTCGCTAGGCAAGCAAACCGGAAAAGACAGAAGACAAGACCACAGGAGCCCACTGATCTGGAGTTTGAGGTTGACGAACGCCACATACCAGATGATTTCCTGCAGGCAGACGTGAAGGTTGGAGGTCGGCGCCACCTCATTCAGCACCCCAGAAATGATCGCCCTACTAAAGCAAGCAAAGGTTTGGTACATGGATGCCACTTTCAAAGTTGTGAAAGATCCATTCAAGCAGCTATTCTCAATTCATGCCTTTGTGAGACAAAACAGTGACGTGAAGCAGGTAAATATATATATATATATATATTAATATATTTAATACATTCAACTAAGTCCTCATTTTTAGATCCAAATTAATTGCTGTATTTTATTTTTTCATATTAACAGATACCGTTGGCATTTATCTTAATGTCTGGCAAAAAAAGGCGAGACTACAAGCACGTGTTGAAGGCCATCAAGAACCTCCTTGCTGATGGTCTCTGCTTGAAAGGCGTTGTCATCGACTTCGAGCATGCGTTATGGCAGGCAGTGGCAAAGGTGTTCCCAGGTGCATCAGTTCAAGGCTGTGTGTTCCATTGGACCAAGCAATTTGGCGGAAAGTACAAGGGTTGGGCCTGACCACAGCATACAACGAGGACGACTCAACCCATAAATACATTAGACGGTTGATGGCCTTGCCATTTTTGCCCCACGAGCACATTAGCCAGATGTTTGAGCAGCTGAAGGCTTTGGCAACCCACCTGTCCTCCAAGCCCTGGTCGCGTACATCAGTGATACCTGGATCAATTCCACAGTTTGGTTCCGGAGAATTGGAGCATATTCAAAAAAGTGTTAGAACCAACAATGATGTTGAGGTTGGCACCATCGTTTAAACCACAACGCAAGGCGTGGATCCCTGCCCTTCTACTTGCTGGTTGACCTGTTACATCGCGAATCTCGTCTGGTGTCCGTACAGGTTCGTCTAGTTTCTGACAACAAATTGAAACGTCAACAACGGCGCAAATACAGAAAACTACAAGGCAGAATATTTGAACATTGGGACAAATTCATTGCTGGTGAAATGACCAGCAAACAACTGTTGCATGCTTGTGCCCATGTCAATGGCCCTTGCACCCAGTGAACTGTGATGGTGGCGGGGTATTTAATAGGATACACTGTATATATCGATGTAAATAATGTAAATAATTATTAACTATTCTATTACGTATATTGTATATTGTATGTTTATATGTCTTGTCTAAAAGTCATTTCTTGGCAAATAGCTTTCACGGCATTAAAAAAACCAAAATCACATGTGTTTGACTACTGTAAACTTCGAATGTCATATATTTATACAAGTAATCAACTCTCAGCAATGAATTCACTTGCCTGTACTTGCGATTTTCAAATCTTAGTATGCCAATATTGAAATTTTGACTTGACTTACCTTGGATAAAAAGCGATCATACAGTACGATATTGCAGTAACAACTTCTAGAGTACCTTTTCCTTTCCAATTTTAAAATATTTAACACATTTATACATTGAATAACATTGTCCGATGTTGGGCCGAGTTGGTCTCGGTAGTGGGCCGACTTGGCCTCGGCAGTGGGCCGACTTAGTCTCGACAGTGGGCCGAGTTGGTTGGGCCGAGTTAGTTAGTGGGCCGAGTTGACCTGACACCCTAAGCAAGATGGCGGCTCAAACGCAAGCTGTGAATCGAGGTGGTGTGCACGTTTTCAGTCTAAAGATTCTAAACTCGGGCTTATTGTTTCCATATTTTAATATTTCACAAGCTATAAAAAATTTAGCGACGTTTTTTCATATTATTACCTTTCTGTTATAAAATGAATAGCTATGCCTTAGGCTCTACTCTGGGCAACCTATAAAAAGTGTGTTATTGGACTTATTGCCCCACAAAATTTGCTGCAGAGATGAAGATCATTCACTATACAATCATCTGTGCACGAAATCCAACGAATAATTTGATGCCACTCAAATAAATGAATTATTATATATGTACAACACTCATATACAACATAGTGACCACTGGAGTTTGGAATACAGTGTAATTTTTTTTATTTCTACTTTCTAGGAAAAGCTGTTGTTGATGTATCTTTATTGTTTGTATGACTAATGACCTTAAGTACTCTTTAGTCTAGTGATGTTTTGCAGAGGGAACGACGTTCGTAAAGACTGTCAGAGAAGTTGTTATATACTTATAATATCAATTGCTGTTCATCATGCCATGCACATTAGGCTTGATGCTATTGATATCCTTTTATTAAATACAATCCTTAATATTTATATTCCCTAACTTCCTATCAGTTGTCATCTTTGCCTTTACAAGTTTTGTTGCATTTGAATGTTTGGTATTTCATTGTCTTTTGGATTGCTGAATTATTGATATATGCATACAAAGGTTAGTATTTTAGGAAAACTACTGTTTGACTGCATGCATAATCAACTTGTTTTAATTAAAGTCACATGTAAAGTGATCAGATCATAGTCATGAGAGTTGTTATTATTATCCTGAGTCGTTCACATATGCATAAGAGTTTTCACTTTGACATAATTGTAAAATTCCAGTATCTCACCTTTCGAAAATTGTTCTTATTTCCAGGTGTTATTCTACCTTTTCCAAATGAAGGTTCAACACTTGCTTTGGAAATCATATTAATGTTTCTTTTCGCTTTCATTGAAGCTGTTCGATTATTCTTTGGTAAGACTTGTTCAGTTTTAGACTTTTGTCAATGGGCAAAAGTCAACATTTATTTGAATACACTCTGCTAGTCTTTGTCGTTTTGTTAATAGTAAAAAACTGGAGCAGGTTGTATAAACTCTAACTAAAATATGTGCCATTGAACTACCCTGCATAGCATTGTTAAATTGTTGTAAACTTTTACACAATGTTATTTATTTTGAAGTTCTATTACTGTTTGAAGTACTATTCCAACAGTTATAGATATGGGAATATTTTTGTTCAGGTTATAGGAATGTTTTTTATGGGAATATTTTTGTTCAGGTTATAAAGGAAATTTGGCTGAAAGGAAGTTAGCTTTGATCTTTTCCATTGTACTCACCATTCCTGTTTTGTTTCTTGCATTGTTTTTAATGCTCTGGCAAACCTATGTGTAAGTATAGCAATTATAGCATAATGCTTGTTGGTCACACGTTTTTAATAAGTGTTGACTGCTGTAGGTGCTAAAAGTTAGCAATGACTCCCTGATAATGATGGAAGGTGTTTCAATACCAAGAACAATTGTGATGTCAAACTAATATGATGTGTTTATATTTTAGATTGAGAATAGAGTTTATTTTATGCTCTATTCTACTTGTATTTTGTGGCCTTGAATTTTTCATCAGCTTGGCAACATTCTTTGTTTTTCAAAGGTTTGCCTTTATATTTTTTATTCTAAACATTTTTACATTCCTCGTTCCATCATCGGATCGTCCCTTTGTGCATACCGTGGACCCAACATCCACATGGGTCTCAGTGATAAAAATCAGTGCAGTTAACCCGGGTGTTTTATTTTTGCAGACATGAATCATTCGTAGCCAGATAGCAACATCGAAAAATTTGGCACTGTAGTAACACTACCGTTAGTACTGTAGGGGGACGTTCACATCGGGAATATATCGTCATGCTTCGTGTTTCAGCAAGATTACATCGTCGCTATTGCTAATCGATAATCTCATGGATTTAAACTGTCAAACAAAGATATAATGGTATAACAACACCATTATTAGAACGTACTTTCTTCTCACCAGTTTTAACACCTTTATACCATCTATGATCAATACAATACAAAGAAGCCACGGATCTCCACCACCGGCACCGTCTAAGCACCCCCTAATCCTTCGACATGTCCGGCCAAGGTGTTAGCCAGGATTTCGAAAGTGGCCGTCCAAACTAATTTTGTGGGTGTGGTAACATGTTTTTGGGGATTGACATTGTTTTACACAAAAACAGTTTAACTAAGCTGTGTTGCCAAATGTACACAGTAATTTCCTAACAGGCAAGATCGTAACGCCTCATACTTAAGTGTATTTGTACATAGTTTTAGTATTTGTGCCATAAAATAATTTATTATTGTAACATATTTCATGCGTTCGCAATAATATACTCAACTACCCTTTCTATTACTACCTAACTACTCTATTTCATACCCCGCTGTAATGTGCCAAGGTGGGCCAATAATCCGAGCCAGTAAATATCTGAGACCAGTTGTACGAAAGCTCAAAATTCCACCCGAATGCAGAGTTGCAAAAAGAGTTCAACCTTCTTGCGGTAGGATTTCAAGTTTTGAAAACCTTCCTCAACGGACGTTATGTCACTGAGTCAAGTGGCAACCAGCTAGCATGAAGAAATATTTAGTTTTTTGGTACATGCATGTGATCAATTAGAGTGTTCAACTTTGAACCTTCCTCACAAACCTCATTCAAAGCAAATCCTCCTCCGGGTGGTACCCGCGTACCCGCATCTTTTTTGCAACTCTGCCCGGATGGTGATTTTTTGCCCTAAAACTACCCATAGTTTGGTATCACTCGGAATTTGCGCTATATTTTTAAGGTGGCGTTACTTTTTATTATTAATCTTTTTTTAATTGCTTTTCCAGCATTTTTGTGACAAATCATTATCGGTTGATAGCGCCATCCAGGCCTGGCACCGGTTTTAACAAAGAGGTTTTTTCCACAATTTTCACACATTTGCTCAGTATTTGCGTTTTTCGGGTCATATTTTAAACGTTTTATTACGTAACGTAATTGGTCATAATTTATAATTAGAATAACTCCCGTTGCTGATACTGAAAATGTCACAACGTCTTGTCACGGCAAAATGTCCCTACAGATGTTCAAGGAAAATTTATGGCGCTCTAGATTTGATAGAAAAAAACAGAATGAAACATTTCCCAGGTAATGATCGATACAGTGCGAAGAAAAGCCGTGGGAAGAAAGGTCTTCGATCTTCAAAAGGTTCAGAACACCGCTCTATGAATGTTGTTTCCAGCGGCAATTTATGCAAGGCGTCAGAAATAGATGAACGAGAAAAGACGAAATTATCACAGTTACTAACAGTTTATGGGGAACAAAACAGTCCAGCCTACAGGCAAGGATTTGATATCAAGAACTACAGACCTCATCGACCACATTTACCTGATCTATCAACGCCAGCAATACCACGAACGTCATCACGTTCAAGTGACGGCCAGGAGAGGCCGCCGTCATTGACAAAACAACAAACATTGACATTGCCAGATATTAACAAAAAAACATCAGTTTAAAAAAATATGTCGTACCTCAATGTAAGTTTGCATAATTGCCATAAAACAAGATTATTAATATCAGTATTTGAATACAACATGATTATAAACAAAAAAGGATCCTGGATAGCCCATTCAAATTTCAATGGGATAGCCGAATGAAATTTTTTCGACCTGACGCATGCGCATATGATACATCTACACAATATGTTTTGATCAGTGCAGTGCTTTTGACTCATTTCCCCCTTGTCATTTCACATTTTCACTGAAACATTCCGTTGCAAGTTGAAACCAAACCAACAAAGTATTTATAAACGTTGGAAGCGAAGCGTAGTAAATTTTAATTGAGCGAAAGTTAAGTGAGAAGTACAGCAAAGGCGCATCGTTTTTGTATATTAAAATAATATGGCAGCGCAGGTTATTGGTGCGAAAGTGCGGTTAGCAGTTGGCAACAACGAAGGATCTTACGAAGGATACGTACATAACATCGACGAGAAGACAAAAAAGCTAACACTTGTGAAAGGTTAGTTTTCCAGTTTCAATTGATAGTCCATTCCAGTCATCTGCTATGTCACTGGAATATTTTATATTGTTTCGGGATGACCTATGAAGATGACCTTATCCTTTTATATTCCAGAACACAAGATGTACCAAAAGTCCGTGTTATGGATATTTATTTGTGTTTACCATTGCTCACTTTGTCAAATTGACACAACATTAATTACTAGTAGCCAGTATTGTGGCACATATATTTGAGGTTCCCTATATCTCAATTGCCATGATAATTTACAGTGGACAGGCTAAGCCCATTAAAATTGTGGCTATGATTGAAATGGTTATTATAAATATTTTTTTGTTGTAAGAACCAAATTAAAAGTGAAAACCCATGATTGCATTTTTTAGTTGTCTCTTGCAAGACAGGATCAAGAATACATGGTTTCCACCACTTTTTCCCAAATGAAATCACAGATTGTAAGTGGTTTAACCTATTTAAGTAATGTGTAATCTTGGGTAATACCAGGGCGGTTATATATATCTTATAACCGCCCTGGTAATACCTGCAGCTATTATTGTTAATTGGCAAATGTACATGAGTCATAATCATATAATACACAGTGATTGGGGGCCGCAATACTTTATTCTAGATCAAATTTTGCAGCGTTATATAAGGAAATTGCTGAAATTTCCATATGTTGAGAATGATGTTTTCATCTAATAACATTTGTGTTTGCTGCAGTACATGATGAGGCTGCAAGGAATGAATCTTCTTTGATGAACAGATTTAATTGATCAACATATTTGTATGTAGTGGATAAGAAAACAATTTTTTTTTCTTAGTAACTGTTTTAGAAGAGAAAAAGAGAGATGACAGAAACACTGTAAACAAAGTTCAAAAGTAAGGATCTGTTATGTAAAATGACAATTTCATTTACTTTTCTTTTTAACATTCAATCCTAATTACGGTAAGTGAGACAATATTTAAATATTAATTAACATTACTAAAACTTTAAACTACCAAGCCACAACCAGGAGCCTCGTTTTCAAGTAATGGCTTATTTCCACACTTGTTTGTGGATATGAAGAGTTCTTTTTCATGCTTTTGTTGAAGAAAGGTGTTTTGCATCTTTGCACGTGTGAGAGCAAAACTTGAAATCAATCTCATTTAATTTAAGGTGGTTCTAAATATGAAGTACTGTAACAACTGCAGATTTCGTTAACTATTCTATGTTTTTCCACCATTGTTTTACTTTTGACACTTTTGCCTTTACAGAACAGGAGATGCAGAAGTTTCAAATGCCCCATCTCTACCTTTCCCTACTGAACAAGTCATGAATGAGTTACCACAACTGAAATGGCAAGAGCCAAAGAAAGGAGGTTCTCCTTATAAACATAAGGAATTTTTTTCAAAGAGGCGTTTTGAAAGAGACCAATCCAGGCGTGATCCCAGCGATGAAGGTTCTAGAATGCTCCAAGAAAAGCCTGGGGTTGTAAATTGTAAGTTACGTACTGTTTATAATACTCCTCATCCTGTCTGCATGATTGTAACAAATCTGAATTTATCAGAGAGATACTATTTGGTGTCTTTTTTGTTGTGACCATATTTTATATTTTTGCAGGTAACTCAGACCTCTTTGTTGAGACTTCAACAGATCAAGAAAATTTTTTAATCAATCCTCCTGATATTGTCCTTATTGACTCGTTCGGAGAAGCATTTGAAAAAGCAGTAAGTGCTGTGTTTTAGTTTGTTTTAGTACTTCCCTAGTGTGTAAAGATGTACCATTCGAGCAACAAAATGAAAACACTCACCCTGTCATTCAGTATATGTTATGTACCGTCTTAGAGAATTTACCATTCTCTTGTAGATTGGGTACATTTTACGTCAACGAGTGGTGGGTGTTGCATGGGAAGGTGTAAATGTTGGTCGTTTTGGCCATCTTTGCCTTGTACAGGTAAAACAAATTCTTAAGATTATTCAGTTTACTCAGATATCCAAGTTAAAAACTTTCATCAGGTTATGGTTAGTGATTATATTTACTAATTAATTTTACATTCACTTTAAAACCCCATCTCCACTTTAAAACCAAACATCCAATTGCTGCAAACAAAATATAACAAAACTTTTTCATCTCTTTCATCATAACTATCCTTGCCTATACTACAGGTATCCTATGTACTAATTTTGAGCAAAGATGTTCATGAGAATAAGCCAAATGTTTCGTAGCCTTGTAATATCAGGGTCTAGCTAATTATGGTAAATTACCAGAAAAACCTTTTCAGAAAACTTACATTTCAATAATTTGAATAAACATTTGATTTAACATTCACTGTGCTTTCCATGTAGGTCGGTTGTAACAAGTGTGTTTACCTTTTTGATATTGTTGTCCTTGGTCGACAAGCCTTTGATTCTGGCTTGGCAGACATCATGGATTCTGCAGACATTTTAAAGGTATGTATTACCTTGGCAAAACGAAGGGGACATAACTCTCAAAGAAACTCAATGCTAACATTTAATCATTCTCTAAGTTTAAAAACAACAGCAACAAGTTTTTTCAATGTCTTGTGTTTTTCATATCTTGCTTGTTCCTGTAATTATATTTTTTTGTCAAAAGAGATGAATTGCATCCCCATTTTGAATTGCACCCCCATTTTGAATTGCACCCCCATTTTGAATTGCATGACGTTAAGCCTGGTTTTCACCACTCGCAGATAGACGCCGATGCTCGGCGATGCTGACTTGGCAGCAATCGGCGAGTATCGCAGAAAGGCGGTTTTCATCATCGCAGTTTGTCGGTTCCTTGGCGCGGCAAATCCAAATTGAGGCGCCAATCGCCAAAGTGCATACAAAATGGCGGACGCTCTTGACGATATGCTTGTAATACAGGCCAATTTATTACTGGTCATAACACTTTTGCGAAGAAAAAAACAACTTTTACAACGGAAACCATACAAGAAGAAGCGTTTTTGGGTGCGGCAAATATTCGAACGGCGCAAAACACTCGGGCAGTACAACACTCTCGTACAAGAGCTCAGATTTCACGATCGCGAATATTTCTTCAGGTATTAAACTGGTGTAATTTACTAAATTTAGGTGAGCAGAGTCCAAAGAGGTAATTGAGTGTGAGTGAAAAGGTGAAGTGCAGTGCTAAATTGTGCATGAACTGAATTAGGTTTTATCTTCAACACATGTTTTTCCTTCAGATTCCTGAGAATGAGCCCTGATCGATTTGAAAATTTACTTCAGCTTATTGCACCCCACATAACAAAGAGCTGTAGGGGTCGTGAACCGATCTCAGCCTCTGAAAGACTAACGATAACGCTTCGTTACCTGGCAAGCGGAGAGTCTCAACAGTCTTTGTCCTTTAACTTTCGAGTTGGAAGGACCACTGTCAATAACATTATTAAAGAAACATGTGAAGCGATTTGGTGTGCTTTAAATGACATATATCTCAAAGCCCCTCAAAACCAACAGGATTGGATGAAAATTGGTGAAGGATTTTTCAAAGAATGGGATTTTCCAAATTGCCTTGGGGCCCTTGATGGTAAGCACATCGCCATTGAATGCCCAGGTTATAGTGGATCGGAGTACTTCAATTATAAAGGTTTTTTCAGCATTGTTCTGATGGCCATGTGCGATGCAAAGTATTGTTTCACACTAGTGGACGTTGGGAATTATGGAAAAGATAATGACGCCCAAATATTCAACAACTCTGAAATGGGACGAGCTTTCATAAATAATGAAATAGACATCCCACCTGCCAAATCAACACATGGCCATGTTCTTCCACATGTAATAATTGCAGATGAAATATTTGGTTTGAAAAAATGGCTAATGAAACCATTTCCTGGAAAAGGTTTAACTGAAACACAGGCAATCTTTAACTACAGGCTCAGCAGAGCTAGAAGGACAATAGAGAATGCTTTTGGCATTTTATCAGCAAGATGGCGCATTTTCCTCAAACCCATTAAAGCTAATCCTACCTTGGTAGACAACATAGTAAAAGCTTGTCTTTGTCTTCATAACTACCTAAGACTTACAGACAATGCTCGGTATATTCCGACTGGGTTTGTAGATTCAGAGGATAGTTCCGGTAAGATCATACAAGGTGATTGGCGGTCATTGGTGGTTAATGAAGGAGCATTACTCCCAACAGCAACAGGCCGTGCATTTAACAGTCCTCTGCAGGTGCAAAACAGACTCAAGATTTATTTAAAAAGTACTTTAACAGCCAAGAAGGGTCATTGAGTTGGCAGCAAGCTTATGTTAATAGTTTTTGACAATTATAAACAGATAATTTACTAATATAATTTTCAAAAGGATGTCCCACAAAACCCCACAAAGCTATTAAAGTCACTTGTTGTTAAAATTTGAATGACTTGTTTGAAAATTTTTGCCTGTGGAGATTAAAACAACTTATAAAATGCAAAATACAAAACATTTTAAATTTGCTAGAGAAGAGGGGCATGTTGTGGGTTATCATGTTTGAGTTAAAAAATTAAATGTTGCTATTCATATTTGTGAAGTGTAAATGTTTGGTAATAAAATTCATTTGTGGATACAAAAAATGTTTACTGTTATCATGCATAAGAATGTCAAACACTTATACACTTGAGGGTCCCAACAGGGTCTAGCTATTATATTGTTATGGGATATTACAATAGTTTTGGTCACCATATATAGTTTATATCTTTTATAAATATATTAGTATACTATGTTTAAGACAAACAACATGAATAATAAAGGTCACAACCAAATGATTTTTAATTTTCATCAGCAAAAATTGTAACAAAATGCATAAGTGCAATAATAAATTGACAATATACATGCCAACAAATAATGTTAATTTAAATACATGAAAAAACAAGACCAATGTCAAAGTTAGTTGAAGATGAAAACTTTCTTTACATTATTTTAACCCAACTGTTCATCCAAGTCCAAATAAATTTCAAGAGCTTGAACTTGAAGCATTCAAGTTTGCACCAGACCAATACATGGTTTGGGTGTCTAGTCCTTGAGGGGGAAATTGCATATAATTTCCCAGTTGAGGTTGTTGGGGTGTACTGCAACATCCAAGCTCAGCATCAAGGAACACCTTTTCAATGGAACTTCTCACTATTGCTTTCTGCCTTCGATCAAGGTTCCTTAGGCGATTGGCTAAACTCAATAGATAATACTCATCTTCATCCATCTTCTTTTCTTTTGCAGACCTTTTGTGCAAAGTAATTGTCTCACTAAGATTAGTCATTGCTTTATTCAGCTGGGCATCTGTTTTCTCAAGCTGTCTCTTTCTGCTTTCTTTTTTCATCCATGGTTTTACTGGCTTGTCATTGGATGATGCTTCAGCAACTGACTGATCCATTGTCTTATGATCAGGATTCAATATATTCAGGTAATCTTCATCTTCCTCATCTTTCTCTGATGACGGTGTAGGATGATCAGTGCTTTCATCATTTGAATCCTCAGAAAAAGTGTCGTCAATTGTCACAGGTGTCACAGGTGTAACAGCTCTGAAGTTTCCTGAACTTGCTCTGTTTACGATATAGTTACTCAGCCATCGCAAATGCTCATATTTTGGATCTAATGGTATTATATCACCACTGCCACATCCTGATCTTCCTTTTCTAGATTTCAAATACTTTCCAAATTGTGTTCGTATGGTTTCATACCTGCGCTTGACCTGATCTATTGGTTGACCAACTTTTTCTGCGATTGCTTTCCAGCAATTGGACTTTTTATTTCTATCTTTAAATTCTTTCAAACGTCGATTATAAACTGTAGGAAACTTTTGTACAAGTTCCATAAACTTGACATCGTCGTCAAAAACATTTTCTGAAGGTTCCGCCATTTTGGACAAGAAGGCGGGGCAAATTGGAACACTAGGTTCGAAATTAGGATGATTAGCATTTTACGATTGTCGCCGAGGTCCGCAGATGCGGTTTTCATGGTTTTATCAGTCGCAGCCGATCTGCGACAAACGCCGATCGTCGTAACAAAACAATTTTTTTTGTTTTGCTACGATCGTCGGGGACTGTCGCAGATTGTCGCAGATGTATTACGATGAGCGGTTTTCACCAATTACGATGCTCGGCATCTGTCGTAATTTTGATATCGGCGTGCATCGCCGACTATCTGCGAGTGATGAAAACCAGGCTTTAGGCTTAGCTGTGAAGTCACGCGCGTTTCTCAGTTAACAAAATTAACACATGAAACTTTCTGGCTAAGGTTTTTAGCTAAACTTTCTAAATTAATGAAAATATTTCAAACAATTTTTTATTCTTTCTATTGTATTTTACTCTGTGATACTCCATATTAACGGAACAATTTCCTATTGGATTGTAGTTTGAATTCGACTGTTCGTATATATTCTTTTGCAGGTGATTCACAATTGTCGTCACTTCAGTGACGCACTATATCATCAGTATGGAGTCAGCCTTGTAAATATTTTTGACACCCAAGTAAGAATGGTTAATTTACTTTATCTTCTGACCGTAATCGTATGTCTACTTTAACAATATTTGCTAATAGATCCATACACCTTACACATCTAGAGCGATTTTTAGTTAAGTTCTTCTTTTGAAAAATTCTAAAAAGTGATGCATTTTTTGCTTTTTAAAATTCGTGTTGCGAATTGCGATATACACCTGTGTAGCCCTATTGCGTCCCTTTTTGATACGTAGTTTATTTGCTGATTTCAGGTAGCAGACGCCATTATTTATAGGAATGAAGTTCCGGATAGAAAACTTCCAAGGTAATAGAGTATCTAAGCCCTACGAGTTGCCCAAAAGCAAGGCTAGTCAGATTTTCCGATTTCGAATTTCCGATCATTTAATTGTTTTACTTTTTCACTCGACTTGTTTCGAGCTGAAGGTAACGAAATTTCTTTCGGTTAAGATTTAGGAATAAACAAATAATTTTTAAATATTAGCAGCAGAAAACCTCAACTAGCCTCGTTTTCGCTAGAGACTCGCTTTCTTTTTAATCTTGATGACTGGGTATCCGGTATAACAATATTTAGAACAAAATAGATAGAACAAAATTTTCACGCTTAACCAAATTTTAGACAAACAAGCAAACTTATATCATGTATGTATGAATACCTTCATCTTTCTCCTGATGAATACCATTTTCATAAAACTCGTCTCAAGCACACCAAGGTTTGTTTATATTCTTTTTACCATTATTATTATACCGATATATCGAGGCGAAATCAACAAGGGTTCAAATTTTTTATCCACTGTACAGGGTGTATCAAAAAAAAGGTAATCCAACTTTGGTGCGCTATTGTACGTGAACTACTTGTTCTATTAACGAATTTTTTTCACATTCCGAAAGGTTATGCTTTTAACTATCGAATGACATGTTTTTGATACCAAATGGTGAAAAAATGAGCAAATAGGAGGCTGATAAAAAGTGTTAGTCGAAATCGCATATTTTCACCTCTGAGAGTTGGGACTAAAACCATTGAAAATTAACTCTCTTTAGGACTTAATTGAAGAATTTTGCTTTTGAATAAACTACCCGCATATGCATATTAAGTAGGAATAAGGAGAACATTCCAAGCAATGCGGCATAAAACCAGTGCAAGCTGTGACATGTTCATGATTAATTGTTTTTTTCTTTTGTTATGCACTGCTTTAATTAGGCTCAAAGGTGAAAATATGCGATTGCGACTAACATTTTTTATCAGCCTCGTATGTGCTCACTTTTTCACCATTTGGTATTAAAAACATGTCATCCGATAGTTAAAAGCCTGATCTTTCTGAATGTGAAAACAATTCGCTCATAGACTGAGTAGTTCACGTACAATAGCTTGTTGAAGTTGGATTACCTTTTTTTTGATACACCCTGTATACTAGGATTAACCTACGGTATATCTGAGATAACATTCGAGCAGGTGCACAATCTCGCAGGCAACACTAAATGTTGTATCATTTATAGTAATATAACATAGTGATGTTCTATACCACAGAATGATGAGATGGTATGGAAGAATCGTCCCATTGGACGGGATTTGATCGACGTTGCTGCAAAGGTTTGTCGACTATCTTTGATTCTCATGGAATGTAAAAACGGGAGAGTTTATGCAATAATCAATATTCGCATAATTAGAATATAGGAAATAACTTACATATATAATCTGGATACGCTTCCTAGTATTTTATCATGTTACTCTATAACATTTAATTATGTAGTGCTTTTAACATCTCCTAATATTGTAATTAAATTATGTTTGTAAGGCAATAGAAAACTCCAACTTTGACGGTGTAAACCGGAATTAACTGTGTTTAGTATTTTTGCACAAGTGAATATAGCAAATCCTACTTTAACAAATCTGATTTGTCAAATTTGACGTACTATGCTGTTAGAATAATACAAACAATTTTCAAAATGGCGGCTAGCCGTTTTGTGGACGTTTCCTACAAAGAGATAAGCGAACAAATGCAGTTCTTGTGTCAATTCACTTGTGCAAAAATATTAAAAAACAATTATTCGCCTTGGCTCGGTGATTATCGGGGAATATTCACTGAGACGAACATCGGCGTATAATTGTTTACGTGTTTGTCTTTTACAGACCGTTATGTATCTTCGAGAACTACGCTTGGCTCAGATGGAACGTATGATGGAAGAGTTTCTCCACGGCGTTGATATCTATCTGTCTTGTGTTAGGGACGCTCCTGATGATGTCGTTAAAAAGAAGGTATGTTGTTAAATGTTTGACGATTAATGAATTTGACCAGATAATTAATATCGAATCTACGACAGTGAAACAAAAAAGCAAACTTTTAAATATAAGCAAAACCCAAGCCCCGGAAAAACCATTCAGCAGGATTAATATTTCCTAGACATTTTTTTTCAAACGTTCATTTTAAGACGTGGCTGTACATGCGGGCAAGAAAATAGCGGAACTTTCAACAGAATATTTTTTCAATGAATGTTATGCAGTATTTAAAAAATGTTGAGACCAACCATGAAAACAGTTCCAAACGGTTTGACATGCAATAGAGTAGGTTCGGTTGGTTCAAGATGTGTTTCAGTTCCTTTATAGCAAGCAACGTTTAGTTTTACCCACTGGTTTTACCAAGCAAATTGGTATATGCAGTTTACTTATCAATGCACTGAATGACTATTTATTTTCGCAACAGTCATCCACTGGTCTGCCTGAAAGGTTCTATGAACTTAAACATCGTGAAAGAACTCGCCACAGACAAGTTGAACTTGAGATGGATAACAGCAACGAGGTGGAAGAACAGCGTCTCGCTTGGGAGGAGGGACACCATTTCATGATGAAATACGAACAATATGGTATGCGTGTGCGAGAACACAAATACCCGCCACTTGCCGCGAGACCCGGAGGAAATTCACAAGTCACCGACAGCCATAGTACAACCGGGGATCCCTCTAGTGATGTAACAACAGGAATTGACCGGCTGCATGTCCAAAGCGGAGCTCCAGGGACACAACCAGAACTAAGGAATTGTATGGTGAATGACAGTGGTTCACGTTTGTCTGGTCTCGACAGTCGAAGACCTGGGATATTCTCGCAAGACGATTTTCCTCAACTCAGTTCAGACTCGGACAGCAGTGGCCAGTCTCCGCGCGCCTCATCTGGTTGGCAACACACGAGGCCGTCACGTGAACCAAAATTCGGTCGTGGCCGTGCAGCGTCGCTAATGCGCAATGCGAAACTACCAGGGGCACGTAAACCGAAAGAAAAAGCCTACGGAACATCATCATCATCATACGCTGATACCACTTATCATCAGGACTTGCCATATAATGACAAGTTGCAATTCCCGTCTGATCAGGAACTCTTAACTTCTTCAGAAGTGGTTTCAGCACCCGGCTTGTACAAGATACCCAGTGGACCGCGTGTTCGCGTTAGCCATCGGCCTTAATCCGGAAGAGGGAAGGTGACTGCCTAGATCACGTGTATTAACTATTACATCAATCGGGAAGGAGAAGATGACTCTGTTTTTATTATTCTTATTGTGTTTTACTACTTACCTAATACTTTTATAAGTGCTAGATATTGTTCTACTAGCAAGTGCATTTAGATTTTTACCTATTTGAGATATTTAAAGTTGATGTACATAGGGTTAATGAAATGCTGATGCTTAGCACATACAGACATCTTCGATGAGATGAAACGAACGAGCCTTATTATATATGAAGTGAAATTTGGCAGTCACTTCTTCCCGGACTACAATAGTTGAAGAATTTTTACGTAAGCATTGGAGATTCAAACACACATACAACACTTCGCCGCGTTGATTTACTGCAGGAGACATGGAAATTGACGACATTGCTGCAGTGAGCTAGGAAGCTGCCATTTTGAAATTCGGTATCTACTTAAGGGCGAACAGACTAAAGACGCAGTTGAAAAAAACAGTTAACCTTGTATCGATTCGCGTTGTTTGACCATGGTGTGAGTTTCTAGGATATACGAATAGATTGCTTTGTCTAATCTCTGGTCAGAAGGCAGAAAAGTGTTGTTCTTCGTTAAACATTGCGTTGGGGGTAAATGGCTATGATGTTGTTTGTGTAAATCCCGGACCCTGCAAATGATGGTATAAAGATCCAGTGAGATCTCGTTGACGTTTGAAAGAACAGTTGTCAAAGTTCGTATTGAAAAGAATGAACGTGGAGACCACTTTGCTCGTACAAGAGATCGCATGGTTTAGTTAATTAGCCAGACGCGACTATGCTTTTTGCACGTTTGCATTCACGTTAAAGTTGACACTTTGCCTTGGTCCGTTGGACTGCGATGACCAATGTACTTCAAGTTTTAAAAAACATCCCTCAAAACGTGACGTCACTGAGTCAAGTGGCAACCAGAATAAAGAAATATTTGGTTTTTATGGTACATGCATGTGGTCAATTAGAACCTTCCTCACAAACCTCATTCAAAGCAAACCTTTTTTGCAATTCTGTTAGTATTATGATGTGATTATGTGTTTGCTGTACAAATATGTGTGTTTTTATGGGATTACGCAGATTAAATTGTATAAATATGCCGGTTAAAGTTACCATTGCAGTGTTCAAACCGCTATGATGACTAATCTAGCAGGCTTAAAGGGGCGTTTACGCTTTACACACGGCTACTAATTTAGCCGACTCGGATTCTCCTTATATGAATTTGAAATTACTTTAAATCTTTAAATAAACTTCCAAATCTTTGTGGGTTTAATACCGTTCCCTTACCGCATTAATGACTAGTGTTAGGGTCAAGCTTGCGAGGTTATTTTGGGTTATAGTTTATTAAGGATTTTTGGTTCAATATTTCTGTATTTCCGATTTGGAGTTATCAGATCCCGTTACCAAAAAAATTGACTGTGATGCACATGGTTTGAAACCAACTCCAATCGAACGTTGCTCGACAAACCATTAAGGTTACAACCAGCATTGCCATTGTAGCGTGATTTCAGTTTAAATTGCCTAAGCCCGATCATGGAGCCTGATTGACAGGACGTTTCCATTAATCAACCCTTTTCTTGTACGCAGTTGTCATTAGCAGAAGTTATACTGTATATCATGGGGATGTGTCTAAAACATGAAAAAAATATGTTTGGTTTTTATTCAGCGAGACTTGGGAGTAGACAGAATAGTCTACGGCAATTGATGGCATGGTTGGCACGTTATGGCAGCTAACTAGGAGGTAAATGAGAAAGACGATTAATCTTGCTGATGGTTCTAAATGGCGTGGGCAAGGCAGCATTGTCTACCATTTCCGGGAGGCAGATTGCAAGCCAAAAATGGCCAAAAATTCCAAGCTGTTGTAGCTCCCAAGCCGAGAAGTGTGAATGTACAGTCAAAAACGCCTGGGTGGGAACCCAATACAACGAATTAATCGTATAAGTGGATCGCAATGATCATGGATGTAAATAGAGAAAACAGATAAAAGAAATTAACGGTATACGTATTTTCAATTTCAACCAAAATGGCCCCGGGTACGACGTATGCTAAAGCCATTTCAAAGATACCAATGCGCATCGAAATGCGGACGCGTTTTGCGCAAAACACATTCGAGTTACTGTTTATTCGTGCATTCACTTCATTGATCATGATTTGTGTTCGACTGTATACAGTAGATACAATAGTTCCGTTTAGCTGCGTGAACTTTCCGATCCGTCCCAATTCGTCGTATTTCGTAAATCAGGAAGTCTTGATTTGTTGAAGTTGTAGTTGTAATTCAGTTTTAAATTCCATATGTCGGATTACATGCACAAAACGTATTGAATAATGACCAATTATGGCATACGCCGATTGAAAGATGAAATAATTCGATATACATGTGTAAGATACCCCATCACAGCTGTAATTCAACATGACTCACATTTTTCCGACTTAGAACACGTCATTGGGATGCGCAATAACAATTCCGAACTGACTGATAGGATTTCCATCCAAACATGGAGAGAAAAATTCATAGAAACAAGATGAGTTTTTCACATGTAAAAAGTTTTTGACGTAAAAACCTCCTTTTCGGCCTCATACATAAATTTTATCAACCGCATGTTCCTTCTTTGTTTAGTGATACATAGAAATAGTATAGGAATGCATTAGAGGTGCCGACTATTTAATTTTTGTAAGAATGTAAATCTGTAAATGAATACAAAAATCCTAGAAAACATAATTATTTCCATGTTGTGAAAATCACTTAAATCAGTGATATCGGTCATTTGAGAGGATTGATTTGGCGTTTATTTGCTACTTAAGCTCAACAGAATCGTATTATCTAGCGGGCTATGCATGGTTATATATAAACTAATTCTTTGATAAAATAACAAGAATGCAAATTTGTCGGTCAGAAGCTTTATTACCACCACTGTGACATTGTCCTATTTGAGAGAACATCATGCTAAAACTGAATCCCAATTATGTGAAAGTAGAAAAATACGCGGAAATTACTCGCAGAATTTTAAAGTTTGAAATAAAATAATTTTAGAAACAGTTGCAGACTTGCAGTCATTCAGTCACTGGTCTCAGTAGCATTTCTGTGCCTTGCAGTGAGCGTGTAGTTACAGTGGGAGGGATTCAGTAACAAGCTGAGAATAAGATTATGTTTGAAAATAGACTATTGTCCCATTGACGTAAGAAATTAATAGTGTAAAGATTGAAAGCAGGTTGACTTCACCAAAGGAACATAACGAACATTCTAGAAACGCTTCGAGGAATTTCGTCCGATAATGCACACGCATGATGCAGTTATTGTATGCAATTTGATTATCACTATCATGAGTGATACGGCCGGTAAAAATTGTCTGTTTTTTATAAGGAGTTAGAAAATTTGTTTTCATTACTCTTGTAACGTTATTAATTAAAAATGTTAATCGTTACAAATTTGTAACAATCAGATAAGACGAAGCGGTAACTTCACGAGAACATTCTATTTTATCACGTATGACTCGTATTCAGTGGTTAATACTGTAAATTATACATAATAAGATACATAGATAGTGTAGTATTGCTGGGTTTCAAATTCATACGTCGATTACGTCTTAACAAGGCAAGGAGCTTTCAGTGACGTAATTATCGGAAGGGAAACTGATTCTGATATATCTGTTTTATAATCTGTTTAATTAATCGCCGGAACTTTTTTAAAAATCCAGCCTAGGTGATTTGACAAAAAGACCGTCATTTGACCACGATTAGATTAATTTAATATTCTCCTATAAATAGTTTCAACGCATTAAAGCTGTGGCTTAGTAGTCTGCCGGCTTCAACGCAAACTTGCGTCCTCTGAAAACAGTCCAGATTTACAAGGAGAGAGGTGTTAGTACAATCTGAATAAACCACTTATTCTAACGGTACGTTTATGTGCTTGAATCTTAAGGACACGGACGTAGGTGAACATCAAGTAACGCTCTGGGATTGACATTCGGTATGAATTGATGAAAGCTGCAGCATTGCTGAGATTTTTCTTGTGTGTTTGTACTCCGAAACGTCTGTTTGAAGTTGTAAAACAAATATCTAACGACGAAATACGTTGCTTATATAGTTTGCTTGAACATGCAGGTGATATTGAAACACAACACTGTTAAAATTGAACTCTATTTGGTTTGCGGTCTTTGAACATGGGTATTATACGTTTCATAGCTGGAGGCATTCTAGGCTGACGTCAATTTTGCGGCAGCGTCAGAGTTATCTGCCGGAGAATAGGTATCATTAAGAATAGTTTCAATCGTAAATGCCTTTCTTTTGATTAGAATGGAGAACTAAGCTAATTTATCTCTCAATGGGTAAGCAATTTATGCACCTCAGGTCGCAGCAACTCTGCAGAAACGATTAACATTTTAAACCCCACACTTAAGCCGCCTAGACACGTTGACGTCACTCAATGACGTCAATGAAGCTTGTTTTAATATAACTTCAACGATCGAGCAAAATGTTTAAATATTTATTGCGCATATTTATTGCATATTGTTAGTGAGGTTTGTACAGGCTGTTTGATGCCGTGACCACTTGCGTTTAGTTTCAATTTGTGGCAAGTAGGCGGCCTGTTACGGAACACGATCTAGTAAATGACAGTGTTACGCCGTCGGTCTTGTACGTCAAAACGAAAAAACTTCACCGTGTTTGAATCAAAAGCGAAAATATCGGGAATAAGGAATCAGTCCTCGAGATATTGACAACCGTACATCTTCTGAAGTGCTCTAAGCAGCCACATGCGAATTTGTCAGGTAACAGACAAATATGTCAAGATGTCAAATGCATGAGGTTCCTTAAACGAACTGCCTGATTGAGCCTGATGCGTGCATACCACGCTGCATGCGGAGTAATGACGACGGACTGGAGACAGAAAATTGCATGACATTACTGTTGTCATAGGGAAACTCATGCCTGTTTTCAATAGCATTATTGTGGAGGGCCATTGCGAAAGGAATGTTTACTTATAAGTGCAAATGGCGGATGTAGAATCTTCCCTTTCTTCCTAAACGTAGCTCAGTTAGGAACACTTCTGTTATGTTATATTTTCAATCTGTGGTACACACGTCAATATAAAAACACTCGACGTTCGCTACTGCATAAAACATGATTGATATGTAGCGTCTTGACGTCAAGCTTATGCAACCGCGTAATAACGAGGGATTGGGAATAAGGTTGATCCGTACCACTGTTTCGAAGGCCATTCGATTTTGTATTTTAATTCAAAACGTCTTTTGTGTTTGCTCTTATTTTGTTTGTTTCAGATTGTTATAAGGAAGAGAGTACTACGGACAATTTGCTTTGATTCATTTTCGTCCAATCAGCTATTAAAGGATTTAATGGTGATTACTTATTCATCAGCTTTATGATCAGGTCTTGTTATTTTGTGCCATTTCGAACGATAATGACAAGCCTTGAATATTTGAGACCGTTTGTTGCTCACATTAATTATTAGGTGATGATGCCTGGAAATCACATTTAACTTTAAACTGGGTAACGGCAAAGCTTGGTTGGCCATGTCGAGTACAAAGAATGACAGTGAGAATGAATATTCTGCAGAGGAAGTAGAGAAATGGCTGGATGATCATCCTGAATTTGTGCATTCGTACTTCTCACGTAAAGCTAGTAGAAGTTTGTTTTCTCGTACGAGACCTAGGACACAATCTAGGGATGCTAGTACTCCGCCAACATCAGGAACATCTACTCCAGTACGGAAGATTTCTGCCTCTGATTTAGATACGAGCATGAGAGGCGTGCTAAAACCAATTCTTAATGTTGTGGATGGCCAAACTAGCTTCCTTAGTCCAGATCGTGAATATTATACGAAGTTAAAGAGGGCATCGTATAGAAAATCTAGAGAGGAACTAAGTCGTTTAGATGAGACCGAATTGATGATGGAATTAGTAAAAGACATTGCAGAGGATTTAGAATTACGAAGTCTGTGTCATAAAATATTACAGAATGTTAGCATTTTAGTGAATGGCGATCGTTGTTCAATGTTCCTAGTCCAAGGCTCGGTGGATGGTCCTAGATGCCTTGTGTCGACGGTATTTGATGTAAATGCCGAGTCTAAAGTTGAAGACTTAGATGATTTAGAAGAAATACGAGTGCCAATAGGCACAGGTGTTGTAGGGTACGTGGCTGAGAAAGGAGAAACAGTAAACATTGCTAATGCATATGAGGTATGTTTATAAATTAAAATAGTTTATCTACTCTGTTCTTGTTGACATTTTTCATCGCAATGTCCCACAGAGATACGTTATTACTTTAACCTTTCCAAAGCGACAACACATAATTCCTACTTTGGAATATATTGTTAGCTATATGCAATTTACGGGTTTTGTAACTGATGAATTGCAGAAATTCTATTTTCTTATCTAAGGACGTTGCTATTCTGAATTGTCTTCGGTTGCCGGCTGCCCCCGGCTTTTGTGAAGTTTGCCCTCTGCAATTACGCAAAATCATCCAGTGCAAACGCAGGCAAATCGTTCAAAAAAAATTTGTCAACATGACACATAAACACCCGCTTTTGGAACGACGTTACATTGTTTTATTTCCGGTAAATAAATCTTCCCATTTGGCAGCGGAAAACAGACATGGTATTTCTGAGAAATTTTTTGCCCACTAAAATGTTATAACATTCTACAAAAATCTGTTGAAAAGTTTGAATTTACAATCTTTTTTCTTTTCATGTGTTCATTTCCCCAGCTGCTTGTCATAATAATCAATACAAGCAATGAATTAATTTGCCTTTAATGAGGCCTTAGGCAAAGTAGAAAATGTTGAGATTTGGGAACATTGAGATTTGGGGTGTTTTGGACATATTTCATGCTTCCCAAGTGTGATTACTATTGCAGAAACAGTGTTCCCTTTTATTTTTTCGTATTGTACCCTGTTGTTTCCAGTTTTTGATTTTTAGTTCAAATAAGATAAGCACTTGCCTAAATGGTTCAAATAAGAAAAGGTTCCCAGACTGAAAGCATTCATGAATACAAAAATAGTTTAATGTGTCAATGTGTCTTATTGATGTTTACTTGTGTTTGTTTGTTTTGGAAAACATGACAAAACATTAGCAGGAAACAATGTTATATAGTTTTTCCAAAGCTTCAATCTCCCTGAGGGTTTAGTACTGTGATGACACTCTAGAATAACCCAAAAACTGCTATATGTACCACTGCACTTATAATAGTACTTACACAATGCAAGTATACTAGCGTCCTATTGTAATATTTTTCACTACCATGAATATTTCGCTACTATGGGTGTTGTGGCTTGTCTGCTTCAGTGATTGCATTGATACAAAGTATTGGGTAGGGTTTGTCCACTAGCTGATAATACAATTTTCCACTCTGGAAGGAAATTTCCAGATCAAAATATCCTTGCATGACCAAAGCTTTTGACTCAAGTTAACACTTGTATAAAGGATTTTTTACTATTTCAGTATAGAATTGATGTGCAAATAGATGCATAGTTTCAACTGTGTGGCATAGACATGATCGGCAACATAATATGTTTTAAAGCTGCATTATAGATACTTAATGATATGCATCATTTAGCAGCTAGCTTTTGGCAGAAATAACAAAATCTGCTTTTGCAAAATTAGAACCTCTATCTTAAACTATATTTAAAGTTAGGCTCTTGGCAATGTGTAAGAGAACAGTTGGTTGTTTAATGTGGCATAATCTGTCAGAACTGATTGATATGTACTTTATCAACTGCATAAATAAACAGGAAGGGTTCTTTACAAGAAAACTTTTTGAATGATTTTTTTTATGTAAAGAACGTCCAGGTAATGCATGATTGTTTGCTGTATTTTCTTTTCAGGATGAAAGATTCAATCAGGAAATTGATAAGAAAACTGGTTATAAAACAAGAAGCATCTTATGTATGCCAGTAAGGAATAGTTTTGGAGAGGTATGTGCAAAACGTATTCTGTTCTCGTTTTTCGTAATGACAAAATGTTGGTAGCGTTACTCCTCTAGCTTCGGTAGATTTTATGGAAGCTGATGGCAGACATTTCTTTACTTCTTCGATTTTTACCGCTCCCTAAACAATGAACTCTCCACATTAGCTACTATAACGGTAAGATGAATTTTTAGTTCTAAGATGAACAATCTTGCCTTCCACAGGTTATCGCAGTATCACAAGTTATAAATAAACATGGGATTGGAAAAATTAACCATACCTTCACTGCGGAAGACGAAAAGGTATTGGGATGAAATCTCGAAACAAAGCATACTTGCATACTTGTAAAATTTTCAACCTAACGTGTTGTTGGTATTCTTAAAGATTTTCAGCCGCTTTCTCACGTTTTGTGGTATTGCTATTCACAATGCAGAACTCTATGAAACCTCGCAAAAAGAAATAAAACGAAATCAGGTATTTTTTATCTCGATACTACGAGTATGTTACTTGATGTAATCGGTGGTCCCCAAAGGAATATCGGACAGAACAAACTGAACAAGCACAACGGGATCGTCTTTTCTTGTTCCGCATCAGGTTTTACTGGATCTTGCAAAAACGATCTTTGAAGAGCAATGTTCGCTAGAAAATATAGTTCACAAGATCATGATGATTACACAGTCGTTGCTGCAGTGTGAACGTTGCTCCGTTCTTTTAGTGGATCAGAATTCCAAGGTAAGGCGTCTAATTGAATTTTAGTATACGTCATGTTATTGATCATAATGACTTACACACGGGTATCTTTAAAATGTTGTAGAATTTATTTTCCCGAGCTTTTGACCTGGAAGCGAAGGACGTTATGTTTAATGAAGACAACAGTACGGCTGTAAGGACGAGAAAAAGGTGGAAAGCTACTTCTAGAACTTAATTTGCTTTTTTAAATCCTTAAAATAACTTGAGTTGCGTTCATTTACAGCAGTAGGGCTGAAGTACGGTTTCCAGTCAACATTGGTATCACTGGCCACGTGGCAACTACAGGACAGGTGATGATTTTACTTTAATGCTAGCTAGATTGAGGTCATTGACTTGAAACGGTGAACGGTGCCATGACTATTGGAAGAAAATAATGTGGACAAAATGAAGAACATAAAAGCCAGGAAATGTTCACCAAAATCCGTGCGTCATATGTAGTACGTTTTAGTACGAAACCATCTTTAACTTGCAACTTGCACATGAAATCTTAGGAGATTCTTCAGTAGAAGGAACAGCCCAATCTCTCCCCATGTTTTTAGGTGAAGAGCCTGGTAATAAGGACAGATACTGTGCGATCTATGTTAGACGTATCACAAATCGCTTGTGTTTAAAACATATGAGCTAATGTAGGGATGTCCTTTTTCGACTGTTTTGATAACAGCGAGTTTCTCCTTCATATATAGAGCCTATGAATTTCCTTATGAATTGAATTGGCTGGTGCCCGTTTTCAATTCTATCAGATCCTCGCTAACCACATTTTTCCAAATTGTCAAGTGGTTATTTTGAAAATTCATGGCAACTTATTAAAAACTGACATTGATTCTAACATGAATGATTCCATAACTAACATTACTCGAAATTCTAATCCAATTGTTTAAGTCTGAATTTGATTTATTAACTCATTTTTTAATCACGAGTTTTATTGCTTTGAACCTTTGAACAATGTTTGATTGGAATTCATCAATCACTATCATAAAACGCAACCGTTAGCTGTTCATAGAAATTTATCAAAATATACACTCCTTTTCGGCATAAACAAGGCAAATTCGGTGGGACCATCACATCAAAGATCCCGACACCGAGTGTGATTTCTGGTTCTAGTCTATTCTGTCAAAGCACGGTCAAAGTTTAGATTTAGATTGCCAAATAGTTGGACGCTAACAGATGTTGACGTTGTTTCTTGTTCATACCTACTTAGCGATCATTGTTGTCTCACACGAATTTAAGCCTACTTTGGGAAAGGTTTTGTGTTCTGTCATTGTTCCACCTTATAGTCAATAGAACTGCAGTATACACAGGAGTCCGTTTTAATTAGTTACGTCCAAATATGGCACAACACAAAACGTTGCCCTAAGTAGGCATACCTTCATGTGGGACAACATATCCCGCTAAATGAATATGCGTATAAGACAAGTATTGAGACATCACAGGTGTAAAACTACTTTCTTTTGTCTCTTCCATGCGGGAAAGACACAAGATGTGTGCTAATATTATTTATCTTCACTCCCAAGAACATAATGAGACTATATAAATCATTAATTGCGACATAATTGTATTATCACTTTCCTTAACAAATTGTCCATTTTTAGACCTTGAACATTCCGGATGCGTATGCAGACCCACGCTTTGATCCAATCGTAAGTGTATGTTGTTAGTGTTGGTAATTTTGTAAACAACGAAAATTGGCTGTTTTGCATTTTGTAACCCGCCTTTTTATCGTCATATGGAGTCCCAATTTTCAATCACTAAATGGGCACGTTGATTAACGTCGTGTCGTGATGTCAATGACATTAATATTGAATGTCGGCATGCCGCTTGTATATGTATAATTGTGGTTAACAACAGCGAGATACGAAAATATATACAATAAACAATGAGTCTTAAGAAGGTCTCAAATTTAAGATTTTCAACGTGAAATATTAGTAACGATGGCGGTTACATTCCACACAAATGTCTGTTTTTACATATTTACTCTAATTCATTTCTAAGCACTAGAATGTAAAAAATATTTTTCAACAAGTTTTTTTATTTAAACGTTATGAATTTATAATGGCACTCTATCTCTCTAGACTTGCCTGTTCCACAGTAATAATCGTAATTTCTGTTTTGTTTTCAAATATTTTCGCAAACAGAGAAGAGTTGTTTAACTGTAATGGAATGATTGTTTTTATCCTAATGCGTTACATCTAGTCTGCGAGCAGGCTACGTTACATCCTATGCATTCAGAAACTGAATACCAATTGCCTGTTATCAATCATCGCATTAGCTCGATGGTCGAAATTAGCCGTGTGCGCGTCAATAAATGCTTCGTAAGATGTTTCGTCACATTAGTCAATATGACTCGAGTAGACATTGCACTGCTTGGCCAGTAAAGTTTATCCGTGTTTTATCGAAAAGCATAGTGCGAAATTTTATAAGAATTTTACTTTATTTTACCCAAAGCGCGAAGATTTCAGTTCCTTAGAAATTTTAAAGAGCTTCTAATTGACGTTTTTTGCATAAGAGCATGTTAAATTGCTAGTGTCGTAACATTCATACGGCAAATGCATTTTCAAATGCACTACCGAGTCTTTACATATGCACTACAGTGCTTGACATCCAGTTATGCTCGTTAAATATAATTAGTAAGTGTTTAAAAATTCCGGGAAACTAAATTATTCAGTGCTTTCAAAACAATGTGAGTTACTTAGGAAAATACGAAGTTGCGTTGTTTACACGCTGTTAATAAAGGGATATTCGTTCCTATAAGTTCTTGAGCATAATTTTTTTAGAATCATTAAGCCGAGCATAATTTATTTCAGAGTTCATTAAGCCAAGCATAATTTATTTCACAGTTCATTAACCCAATGGAAATCTTGCTTTTCTGTCCAGGTTGACGAAACCTCAGGATTTAAAACGAAGACCATACTTTGTATGCCTATTCATAACAGCAGTGGGGAGATATTGGGAGTTGTTCAGCTATTAAATAAAGTCGACAACACGCCGTTTAACGCCAATGATGAAAACCTGTTTGAGGTGAATACAAAATGGACCGTTGGTGCATGTTTATAGCTGGAATTCTTTTGAAAAATATTTGACGTATGATGATTGTCAGGAGCCTATATATTGTATTGCTTTCTTAAGGTCTGTTCACACGAACCAATTTGGTCGGATCTAATTCACTCCTGATAGGTGTTTAATAGTCTGTTGACTTGCAATGGATATGGGCAGCAAATACACTGAAGCCAATTCAGTATTGCTTTATCGATAATACACTATATACGTCAGAAGTGAATTGGATCCAACAAAATTGGATCGTGTGAACAGACCTGTAAGTCGAAAGGGCCGTTTGACATAGTTTGGACTGTAATTCGTGTTTCACATGACGTCATGATCTTTTTAATACAGCGCCCATCTTGGTCGATTTCAACCTCGCAGGCCAGGCTCTTCTACCTCCTGGCCTGCGAGGTTGGTCGATTTTAGAAACTTTGCTTTCATGCGTTTTGAAGGTTTTTTACTGTTTACTTTACCTGTAATTATTTGTAAACATTTTTCATAAGGCGTTTGCTATATTTTGTGGAATGGCGATACATAACACTTCTATTTATGAAGACGTCCAGAAGGCAATGGCGAAGCAAAGAGTTGCCTTTGAGGTAAGGGTTACAATTTATTCAATTTTAAACATCTTAATCCTAAATTGTTTCCAGTACTATTTATTTCCATGTTACGTGAAACTGCATGGTTTGACATGCTTGTTATTTGAACCCAGATTTTTTGTTCAGCGCAAGCTCGGCATATATCCTTATTAATCCACAATTTATATTTTCTTTGAGTTCTATGGAGTTGGTATTGTATTTTTAGATATTGTCTTACCATGCAACAGCGTCGCCAGAAGAAGTGACGAAACTAAAGGTGAATGATATAGAACAGTAACTTGTTTACTGCATGAAAGCACCTATTATATATACCCAATAAAAAGAATATCGATCGGCGTTGGGCAGAGTGAATGGCCTATTTTCAGTGCATTGTCGACGTTTCTGCATTTTATGTCGTATGATTTACCTCGAGAGAACTCCGTCGTCTTTGCCACTTGGCAAGATGGCGTCTTGGCAAGATTGGTATACCGAGTTCAAATGAAGGATAACAGAAGGGGTTACATTATAAATATATATATATCACTTTTTCCTTGTAGAAAATGGAAGATTCTCCAGCAATCTCAAGAAGTTTGTTAGATTTTGGTTTTGACGACGATACCCTCGATGAAATGAACACGTGTTACGCAACCCTAAATATGTTTTATGAACTCGGCCTACATTTACGTTTTGGTATCGAAAAAGATGTGAGTTCTTTCAATGAAATGAAAACCTACAATTATAAGCAGACGTTTTTCAAATAAATGGCTTTGAGTTTCGGTACTCGAGTGTTATATGACACTCTCAGGCAGGATTCTCATTAGCTAATTTGGTCTGACGCCAACGGTGGTGAAAAGTTAATGCAACTGGCTTCTTATGTAGAGTGAAATTTGTTTTGCGGTGAAAGCTGTAACGATTTTCTATTCACTGTTCATAGGTACTTTGTCGTTGGATAATGTCCGTAAAGAAAAACTATCGTCACGTTACATACCATAACTGGCGTCATGCTTTTAATGTAGGACAAACGATGTTTGCTATCATAAAGGTAAGCAAGTCAGAATTCGCATATTTTATTCAAGATAATTCTAGGGGTTTAAAGGTTCTTAATTTCGAGTGGAATTATGCACACTTCAAATTCAAGCCAGGAACATACAGTTGATGGAAAAATGAGTCAACAACTATGGGTCCTCCGGCAGGAATCGAACCTACGCTTTTGCGATGCAATGCTCTTGTCACTGAGCTACAGAGGTAGCTGACAAGAGCAAGCGTGGTTAATGTGTATATGATGGTAATGCCAGAAATACGTGAGGGTAAATCAATTGTGATTTTTGGCACTTCACTCGATGCATGTAAATTCTAGGGGCTTAAAGAGTGCATAATTTATTCAAGATAGTTAAAAATATGGCCTGGCTATAGTGCTGCAATTGAAAAATTTGTATTAGAATCAAAACAAATTAATTGGTACCAACTCGTAGAAAAAGAAAATGACTGCCATGTTGCCATCTTGATGTGGTCCTTTTTTTCCTTACAGAGCAGCACTGTTTGTAATTATCTTTCCGAAATTGAAAGATTGGCGCTGTTAGTCGCTTGTCTTTGCCACGATTTGGACCATCGTGGAACTAATAATTCATTTCAAGTCAAGTAAGTGTGCATATAAAGTTCAGTATATAATATAGAGATAAATCAATCCCATGACCTTACAAGTAGAACTCGAAGGCCTGTGCTATCTTCTAAATTTGGGCGTTGATGAGCAAATTTAGAGGTCAAATAACAATAACGACACAGGTTATTTCGCTTTGCGGTACAACAGCGCTCAATATTCAGTCCTTAGAAACACGCTGTTTTAACTAATGTGATCTATGCGCTACTTGTGTCCCACCCATCCCCACACGGGAGAAGCGTAACAAAAGAATCACGTGACCAGCCTTGACCAGGGTCTTTGCCGCAGCGTGGGCCGTGGAGCGTAGGTAAAAGAGCCTGGCTTGCGAGGTTGAGTGTGCCATTGAGTGTGCCATAAGTCCGACAGTCATTCTGGGTTTGATGATAAAGTTATTAGTGCCTGGTATTTTTTTTGTTATTATCATATTAATTTTAGATTTTTCGAATCGTTTTAATTTTCTCCTGACCTCTCTTGTTGTTAGAATTGATTCACCTTTAGCCCGTCTCTACAGTACATCAACAATGGAACATCATCATTTTGATCATTGCATCATGATATTGCATAGCCAGGTATCGGGTCGTTATAATTGTTTGTTGTAGTTTCTCCATGCTACATGCATTAATATTGCAGAGGAAATAGAAATGAGTTCTAAATGTAAATTAACTTTCTTGATTTGTTGTGATTCATAACAGGGCAATGAGATTTTTGGCGGATTAACTACGGATGAATACGAAGCCGCGTTTAGGATGCTAGAACTTTGTATATTAGCCACAGACTTAGCTTTATATTTTAAGTAAGTTTCTTGAAATGTTATATAAATGCATGGTATATATCTAGTCTATGCAAAATAATAGTTCAGCTGTCAACATGGGGTTTAGACTGCCAGCAAATTGATTTAGCATTTGTATATCTTTTACAGAAATAGGAATAAATTTTTTGAATTGACACAAAACAGTACGACGGATTGGCATGACATGGATAATAAACAGTTACTAAGGTAACAGGTTGTGCATATACTTTGTTTCAACCCGAGGGAATTGCCTACAGGACTGTTGTTTTAAGATGTTTTCCATCAAATGCAGCATCAGAAGCCAATGAAAGTAAAACTGGATTGAATGGTATTTCATTTTCTATTTAGTGCGATGATGATGACCGCCTGTGATGTGTCAGCCATCACTAAGCCATGGGCAGTCCAAAGAAGGGTAAGACATCAATTATAGAATATTCGTGTTTGAAACACCGTATTGGCCCGCGATATGAAAAAAATGATGTTGCACAAGTAAAATGTATCATCCCCTTCGGCAGAATGCAACATCACAACAGCGACTGTATGGCTGTGAATTATTCTGGATTCTGTTTGATCTAATTCCTTGCATGGGTGGTACCCGTGCCCAATTTTTTTAGTGCTCAGGCTACCAAAACAAAGGCCAGGCACGAATGAAATAGGCCCGTGTACCCATTTTAGCCGTGCCGTGCCAAAAAAACGAGTGTAGTGTAAACGTGACTTACGTTAACTTTACAACTTGTTCAGGTTGCGAAATTAGTCTCCGAGGAATTTTTCTTACAAGGGGACTTAGAAATGGAAGAGCTTAAAGAACAACCAGCGGTAGGAGAGTTTGACGAGATGATCATGAACTTAGTCATGCTTCTTTTGCTTATATAAATCTTCTGTTTCTCTAAAGAATACATATCTGTAGATTGCTATACAGCCCAATGCAGCCATGCAGTGATTTATGTTTGCAAGTAAAGTCGAAATATCACGACTGTCTTGTGAAAATGTCGGGTTTGCAAGATGGTGTGTTATTATTTTATTTAGGCTATGATGGATAGAGGGAAAAAAGATAAATTACCAGAAATGCAAATTGGATTCATAGATGGAATTTGTTTGCCAGTTTATAAGGTTTGAGTAACCACCTATATATTATAGGTATTATTTGGACACAACCTCAATGAGGTATACTAAAATTTGTGTGCACTCTTTAATGCATGCTAATTGCTTCAGCTAAAAACAACAGCAATGGTTCATCTTATAGTCTTTAACATGGAGGAATTTATCATATATACAGTAGAGTGTATTGGCGTTTTTAGGGAGCAAACGTATTTATAACGAATGATATATTTATTTATATAATACCCCATTAAATTTAGAGCGTTTAATTGGTTGATGACGATCACGTGATATTGAATAGAAAGTCCCATTTCCCAAGAGTGCAATGGAAAGCGTTCCATTGCACTCTCCATAGTGCAGTTGTACTATACATTTTGTTCCATTGCACTCTTCAGTGCTTTCAGTAAATACCATCCATCAAAATGCTTCTCGCACATATGGTTGTTGATCCATACAGTATGTTTTTTAATAAATTATATTTTTGAAACGAGACAGTCTATTTTGGTATTATATAAAACAAATAATGAATGTTTTCATTCGTGCAATGGTAAAAATATTTTCACTTGGTGAAAGATGGAATGTTCCATTCAACTCGGCTATCGCCTCGTTGAATGGAACATTCCATCTTTCACCTCGTGAAAATATTTTTACCATTGCACTCATAAACATTCATTATTTGTATAATGGCAGCTGGCAAACTGGAAACAAATAAATTTCAATTTTGCGTTAACATTTTGAATTTCATCATAATATGCATGATATTACTTGAAATTTTAGGCATTCGCATTGTTGTGTCCAAGCTTGCAACCAATGCTTGACGGAGTTCTTGATAATAGAAGACATTGGCAAGAGTTAGCCGACACTCAAAAGAGGAAAATGCAAGGTATTCATCAGACTGTTTTTTTTTTGTAGATTATATTGTTGCTATGTATGTTGTTGAAATTGTTTACGATATGTTAGCATTCAGTCGTGAAGAATAATCAAGTTGAGAATCATTTTGAGCCTCTCTATAATGTTGTCTATCTATTTGCACCTTTTTGTTATGTTCTGTTTGGCACCTTGCTTCATGGGGATTTTATAGCCCCTCCCGACCTCCCTGCCAATGGTTTTCATTCTCATTTTTTTGTAGAAAATCATCGACCGTAATAGTGTCAGATATAATTCACGGAAGTTCGCTGCGGATAACAAGAAATCTTGCTTTCTTTGCAACTGTATAAAGCTTGTAAGAATAATTATGTTTGGACATGTCCAACCATGTCCACAGTGCAATCTTCCCCAGACCGATTGGTGCAAACTGGTATTGTTTTTAACAACAGAAATCCGTAAATTATTGCTGATAAGTGACTCGTAAAGCTCTGGCAGATCATCCAGGTGAATTTCTGGAGCGTACTATGCACGCATGGTCTGGAGTCGAGCGGAAAGTTTTACACGTTGTGAAACAAGTGACGGTATAAAGAAGTAAGAAAGGTTTTATGCATGCCTAATGGTATATTGCTCTGCCACTACAGGCAGTTAACCATCTTCGGTTTGAAGGAAGTCATCTTATGTAATCGTTGCCCATATATTGAGAAACTCAAGACCAGGAGGAGTTAATACGTAGTGTTGTAAATTTTGTAAATACAAATTTGAGGATGCATAGAACAATGCTCTTGGTTAGCCATGTATAGTATAATGTAGTTATATAAAAAGAAATATATATACATATATATTGTGCTTTCTGAAAGTTAGAATAGGTGCACCTGTCTTCAAAAATAATATAATCACTTCTTTTTACGATAATTTTGCGATTTTTTCAAGAAAAGGACGCGTACAGATAGCTATAATATAGTCATATGGAATGACATAAAATACTGTAATATGCAACATATAAGCTTGCTCTTTGTCTGGCTCAAATTATAATTTGTTGGGATGGTCATTCAATAAACAGAATCTAAATTTAACATGAGAAATTTTCCAGGACAGAATTTAGCTTGAAATCGGCGTGCAGGCGATGAGGGAACGGGCGAGCGAGCAGCTAGGGCATGTCAAGGCATGAATGTAAACCAAATTTCGTCACCGCAGCTCCATGCAGTGGCATGCAGCAAGACAATATTGGCCAGGACCGCCTCGTGCAGTAATTATATCTCAAAGCCTTTAAATATAGTTAACACTGCATGAGAGCTATTGTAACTGGTGTAACAAAGCGTTGAATCAACATGTTTACAACCAAGAACGTTTTCTTGTTTAATTTATCGGAAACGCGTGCATCATTTGTGCCCGGGAAAGGTCATGCAAATTGCGAATAGCAAATACATAGCTATCCGGTCTAGCACTCTATTATAGCTAATGTCTACACAACAGCGGCTATATCATGTCCAACTATCTTCTCCATTCTTGTCCACACTCTTTTTAATTGAGTATATGCAATCCGCCGCCATGCATAAGAGATGTTTATGGAGGATAATCTAGTGGTTTCATTTCACGTTCTAACAGCTTTCTCGAATCCTCAGGTCTGAGTTTTTGGCTCTGGTAATACCAGAGTGCATCACCTCCACGCTGATCTGAGAACAAATAAGTTATATATTATAGGAATATAGTGGCAATTATATACTCAGTTAAGAAAACACAAGCGTAAATGATAGCGATTATACGTATTTATTTGAAGCGATATTCTAAAGCTTCATTAATACACTATACGCACAATTTTTGGTAAGGTACCGAAAAAAGGCACGGATGAAATTTTAAATTGCTAAATAGTTGGTCAATTTTACCCGTACAAATTTTATCCGTTCACACTATGTTCAATTTTAGTTTTGGTACGAATAAAAGTGGTAATGGTGAAATTTGGACCGCCTAAATAATGGTACAAATTTCATTCGTACCAAACCTAAAATTGCGTGTAGTGTAAACCTGTAAATAAGGCTTAATATTCGTGCAAACAAACTAATTCCCTGTTTAACAGGACAACGGCCTAATTTGCGCAGATCTCCGATCACTTGTAAAATGTAACTATCAAAAGTCATTAATTCCACGTGTTCCAATCATTGTGAGTCATGAGGCTTTTAGTTGGCAAAAGATGTCTAGAAAGATTTAATGGTAAATTTTCACTTTACCGCGTATTGTTTGTGTCAAAGCTTCGTAGTTGAATATCATGTTTTTTTTCTTGATAATAAAACCAACTGTTAATTCCAGATTAAACTGAAGACTTTATTTTCAAAAGAAACCGAATACAATAGCTTTAATACGAAGGCTTAAGAACAGACGCTAATTTAGAATTTTAGATTATAGTTGGCCATCATAATAACGGCGTCCTTTGCAGCGTTTTTTCTTGAAATGGTAATCAAGGATTTCAATACCGCCGATAATTAAAGTTGAATGCTTGTTATGCAACTGTGAAATAAAGCAATAAAATTTGGGTTATACAAATCAAGTCTGTCGGTATAAATTAAACTCGTGTATACGATTGTTGTAAGATCCTTATCTTCTGTATAGATAGCTACATTTCACTACCATAATATACGCTAAAACTGTTTAAATTTTACACATTCATTTGCACAGGTCATTCAAGCGCCAAAATTCTTGGTAATTAATTTTGATAAATCAACGTAAATCACCCATTATTTTTGCCTTGCAAATTGCTTCAAGTGTTCTACTAATCGATACTATTTCAAAGTATGGTGGATCCACAGTAGCTATCTTAAGTTTTTTTTTCTGCCCTATATACTTACAGTTTGAACCTCGGATTTCCCAGACATGATCTTTGTATCTCTCCAATGCGGCTGCCTTGATTGAAGAGCAATGTAGATAAACACTCTTCAAAGGTTCTGCCTTCAGAGCAATTCTATCGTCATAGTTCTTAATTTGCAATAGGAACGATCCACGTACACCGAACGTTTCTTTGATAATGGTGCTTATTTCATCTGCTGAGGCCTCGTAAGGAATGTTGATGTCGGCATCGTGATCTCCACAAAATATTGTCATTGTAAAACAATCATCTTCACTATCACTTTTCTCGCTTGTGGTCGCCATGCATGAATTTTCACACTATGCTGAAGTGTGAAACGCGTGGAACAGCAAAACAAATAATGTAGGCGTCATGATGTTGCCAAGGTAACCTCGGTGAAATAGCCAGAGGATGGGTAACACGCAGTGGTTACTGGGGACGTATCGGTTGTACGGGCGACAACAAATAAAACATTGCACGGCAATTACTCCCGTGTTGGTCGTGATGACAAGTACCAATGTTGATGGGTACCAATGTTGATACCTACCAGATTATAAATTTTTGAAAGCTTCGAAGAATTACCAACAAATGAACCCTGATGTTACAAATAATGTGTCCTCGGGGATCGATCTTGGATCAGATGATCAAACTGAGGTTATGTTCCTCAGACCTTTTAGTTGAAGACGAACATTCAGAGCAAGTTGAGGGTAGAACGACTAGCGCCCGTTGATTAAGGTGTTATCCATTCATGCAGGGTACAAACCTTCCGTTAAGTACAAACCAATCCCGCCCCAGATAAGATACAAAAAACATTGATTTTGGCTGTTTTAAAAGTGTAATATATATGCCTCAATAATACAACGATTTTGTTGTGCAATGTGTACATTACAATGTCTAATATTTTATTCATTGCTTTCCTAACATTTTTAAACATCTTGTGTATCAACTGGCGATTGAATGTTTCTTAAATTTTTTGTGCACTTTGCAATTAGTGTCCTACACAAGTCGTGCGTTTGATTAGGACCAGAAATATTCATTCACAGGTCCCATGTACAGACAACTGTCGCGAAGTACGCGTGCCTGATGACGTAAATCATCACGGTTGACGCCGTGTTGACGCTCTGGAATCATATCAATATACCGTTGTGGATGACCATTTTGATTCAATGTTCCCATCCGACCCATATTCTTAATGTAATATTCGCGTGCTTGAGAGTTAGCTTCATCTTGTTCGAGCGTTCTTCTTCGTTGTTGGCGCAATGTCTCTTCATTCAATCTCTCAATTTCAGTCTAAAAAATTTGCCGGACTCAGTAACGTCTAACTCAGGGAAGCTAGGTAGTTACCCTAAGATGAAAAGGGACCAATCCCTACTTACTGTGTTCGAGCAAAAAATGAAATTGAGAAGACAAGACCGTGACAAAACAGTAATGAAGACTATTAAAGTCGACTATGTCATACGACAGTCGTGCAGTTAAACGCTTATCTAAAATGATACCACCGGGCAATATCGTTTGGAAGTATTCAAACACCAAGTCTGGGAATAATTGAAAGAAAATGAACATCGATGAAAATTTAACTGAACAAAATAACGCCGTCACCGGTCAAGATATTATTCTAACTTCAGATTCGCATTTATAAATTTGTATAACATGAAGTTACGCATCGATATGTGCCCAACTCTTTGGAAACTTTGAGACTTCACTCGAGATATTTTCCAACGAAATATTGCCACAGGCAGAGAGAAATAATAGCCTAATGCCTTTCAGGAACCCAAAGAAGCTAACTATCAATTTGTCAGGTGTGCAAAGTGGTTGAAAATTTGAAAGGCAAAGGTAGAGATGGCAGTGATTTCAAGCATTGCTTTACGATGACACGATCGCAATTCAAAATAAAAAAATTTGTCTGAAAATTGTAGGTCCATGAACTAAGTTAAAAGGGCACGATGACACAACTTGTCTTCTGGCCTTTGATGGTCTGTGAGGGTTGGTGTCAGACGACTAAAGTCCCACAAACTATTCAGTTATCATGACATAACATATTCGTGTAAAGATTGACCAAGATTATCAACTTATGGGTGTTCGTGCAAGTGAAGAATAAAACCGTGTAACTTTAATGTAAGTTTATGAGCGATATCATTATCGCAGCAAAAGCTTCCGGTTCAGGCCTTTAGCTTTTAACCATATAAGTGATATAACTGTACCCACATTAAGATTGATCCATTATTATCTTTAAGGAGTGCAAACACCCTCCCTCTATTATTATAAAATCGGCAATATTTTCCAAAATTGTTTTTTTAATGCTGTTTAGTTGTATAATTGTATTTATTGTTCTCAAATGCACCTATGTGATAAAAGTTAGTTTTGCCTATTAATTTATAATTTCTAAATGCATTTATGTGTTCCGTAAACACGACAAAGTTTTATGCCATTCATGAACAAATGGTTATCTTTGAATAACAATAGCGTCACGGTCAAAACGTTGCCGGAACTGTAAACATTGAATGGGTCATGAAGGTTTTAGAACTGTTTCATGGAATTGTTATTGAAGTCGCTAAATCGAATGATGATACTTCTATTTTACCTGTCGAAGTGAAATTCTGTCCAGAGCGTCATTTTTTCTGTCAAGTAGACGCTGTTTCCTCAGCGCCTCCATGTGAAATGCGAACGCCATGTTTGTTTAAAGGTCTCGGAGCGTCATGTTGCTAGGCAACAACTATGTAGTGCTATAACCCCAACTATTTATTATGCACTGACTTCAAGCCGCAGGTATTACACCAGAATTATCAAATCAATTTATCGCCCTTTATGCAAAAGTATTTATCACTTTATTATCTTATAAATCAGCACAACTTCGTGTTGATTTTCGATGCAGAAATCGACATAATTAGAGTTGTGATGAATCGCTCTAACTCTGTTAATTCTTCTTGGTAATGCAATTATGCAAAATCAGATCTCTTCGACTTTAAATTTCTTATAAGTAAATCTGCTAGTAACAGTTTATTGCCGGGGAGCGTGCCAGGGTATGTGGTTGGCTCACGATAAACATTACAAAACGCGTGGAAGTGCATATTATGATCAGTGTATTACAAATTGCAACATTGCTATTAGAAAGAGTACAATAATTCTCAACCAAACAGTTCTTTAGTTTATCATAGAACCCAATTCCACCATGCAGTTCCACTTTTATTTTCATCCACATTCATTTTTGCCTCAAAAATTTGAGATTGAATTGGCAATTTTGATAAGCATGCTTTGTTGAAGTTCCATAACACTGGTTGCCTTGGTAATGGTTGTACAAAGAAGTATAAACTCAGGCTTTATAATATGAATGGCTTAACATTGATATCATTTATATCGTATCAGTTATCGAGCAACTGATATTTCAGAGTTCGGAGATATTTGTCATGGTTAGTAACGATAAAACCAATTACCGACATAGAAAAAGACACCAACAGTCTACAGACTGCGCTATTTAGCGGATGTCTAGGGTGGGACAGTCCGACAACGTCGAGTGGTCGAAATTGTAAAACAAAGAGTAGTTTTTACTGACCTTTTCTCTTGCCATCCGTTCTAAGGCTGCGTGTTTCTTATCCAGTACGTTCTGTCTTCTCTGGGCCTCCATATGATATGCAATATGACCAGAGCTCATGTTTGAACCTTGTTTCAAATTTTCCTTGCTTTTGTCTCTTCGTCGCTGCACGTCGTGGCACTGACTCGTTTTGTTCTGTTCTCTGACGCTGTACGTGCGGTTTACCACTCAGGGTCTATGCCGAATTTGTCTTGTCTGTGTCCCCGTTTAGACTTCTTTCTTTCAAGAGTTTGCGCGAAACTAACAACAAGGAGTTAGGCAATTATCACCGGCTGCTTGTTGTCCTAACAAATGCTTGTCATTAAACAAGATAATATTGTAATTAATATACGCAATCATTCGATATTCAATGTCACAACGACTCAATCCCTATACTGTGACAATGATGACAAACCAAGCGTGCTGCGCTATATCGCCACTTGAATAAACACCTGCAGGCACTCCTCTTCAGAGGGCGATATGAAACCCGATTATGAGTCACTCAATTTTACATCACTGTTTTTTTTTGTAATCGGAAGAATGAAAAGGGCAAGTCAATGAAATTATGCCTAGTAGACTATTATAAGATGAAAGTCGAACTTAGTAGTAAGAATTAAAACATAGTTCCTTATTCGACTCAAATGCATGCCCTTGATAGTGAATTTTATTTATTCATTTGTATGCTACATTATACACATGGCAAACGAATGTATTATCCAGTAATTATCGTATACTTTAGCAGTTCAGTTTTCCCAGTCCCTATGGTAATAAGGTGATTGACAACGAAGAGGTCAACTCTATCGCAAGGTTCGTTGTTGCTGACGTTATCCCTGACCCTTGTCATGTAGTCTTAAGTTCTAACCGCTTACGGAAAAAATAACGGGAAAATGATAAAATTTGCATGAAGCGTGGACGAAACGTGATGACAATACGTGATCAAAAGTCTACCTGACCGTGAATATAACTTCAGATTCATGGGCGACTCGTGATCTGTATTAGGAATTTTTGGGTCCACACAGGGTAATCTACATGTATAGAAACTATTCAAATTCAAGAAATTAAAAAACACTGAGTTTGGTTAAGCAGACCAATCAAGGTAAATTAGGTAATGCGTAGTGGTGAACTCTCGTAAGTCATTGTCGCATGAATCTTGAAAAATGGGAAAATAGTGAGTCAATTGATCAACCGATATATCTATAATTCATCGGCGAATATCTTTTGTACTTTTATGTGATTCATAATTGTTACGAGCTTAGTGTGAACGTCAAAGGTTTTCATGATTTTACGTGACACGTGAATGACTGAATGGGCCGTTAAAGGGGGTGTTAGAGGGTGCATTCACTCATTAGTCTTGACGTCAGTGATGCTGCAAATCTGTCCGTGCACGTGCACCAGTACATACATCCTTTGCTTTGGGGGAAAGGGCCCAAAGGGGTTACAGCAAAGTGCATGAAATATTAAAAAAAACATCGAGTATGAGGTGCATCTACAAAGTTTGCCACAAAAACATTCGAAGACTAGTGACTTTATTGGTGTAACTAGTGTACTATTTAAAATAGAGGCAAGAGAAATTTCAAAATTGGGTCGAAGGTCAACTTGATACACCGCACGCGTGTCACCTGAGGACTCTGTTGGATCGATTAACGTTTTTGGAATACCTGAATTTTGCGCATTCCAAAGCATTTTTTCGTTCTTATTCCTTTATAGTTTGTCGATTTCCAGCTATTGCAAATGAAAAATATCTTACTATTGGCAATGACGTAATTTAGTAAATTTACGAATTTGAGTCGACAAGCGGGTCTATCAAAAAACAGATCGACTAAATAGAGTGATAGAGACTATGTCAAAAATTACGGAAACCACTGAGCATTTTACTAGAATATAGAAAAATGGAAACTCCGTAAAAGAATTTTGAAAAATCCCCATGTTTGGACTAAACTACAGCAATCATCAGGAGAAGTATAATGCTGGTGATGACTATGGTTTAATTTTTTTTAAAATGTTTACTTTTAAGTTGTTTCTATTGTTTTACATATAGAAACACTACCAGACTGAGTAGAGAAAGAATATGGCTTGATGATCATCATTATTGTGTAGTTTTTAATAGGGAGAAACGCGTCTTGAAGTTATGTGAATCGAATGCGAATCGTTTGAAAAAGTCAAAAAGATTGCAAACAAAGAATTTCCCCAAAGGTTAATACCAACTGAAAATAACGATCCTCGACCTCGTCCATCATTTGCAAGGTAAGTGTGAATTCCTACTATAATCCACATGACTGCATCTTAAGTTACATGAAAAAAAATGCCCTTAATAATCTTATGAACTGCTACGCATTTAGGGCATAATGTTCCTCAATAGACAGACACTTCCCAAATTTGCTTGAATGCACACAAAACAATAGCTTGGAAACGAGGCAGACAATGTAATTTATTGTTAGTGGGATGGTTTTCATTGCCCCAATAACAAATTTGGGAAGTGTTTATTATTTTTTAAATGTACAATGTTTATTATTTTTTAAATGTACAATGTTTATTATTTTTTAAATGTACAAGAGTCTTCAACGAGCATTCACTGTCACAAAGTGTTTGCATGCACAATAGGACCCAGTACCACTGGAAGTGTCATGATTGAAAGTTGAAATTTTCTGTGAATGTCCTTCAAAGTTGTGTTGATTGCCATAAAGCAAATATTAACGATCTGAAACATAAATTACACATGTTATAATTAATGTTGGCAATGACACCCTCACAATCTATTTCTACAGCTAGCATAAAACATGTTCATAAGCACAAGGTACACAACATGGTAGCAATTGACTTACATCCTCTTCCCCCTCCTCTTCCTCGACCTCTTCCCCCACCTCCTCTACCACGAAAACCACCTCTACCCCCTCCTCCACGAGCTCCACGGCCACCTAGTAAAAAAAAAATGATTTCATACGCACATTACAAAACTTGTCAGTAAATTTTGCCTAAATTTACCACATTGTTTACCTCTTCCTCCACGTCCCCTGCCACCTCTTCCTCCTCTCACTCCCCCACGGGGACCTGACATGGAGAATATTTTTAAATATTAAAATCAGCAAAGGAAGAAATAATTAACCACAGTGCTTGTTAATCATTATGTTGGATGTTGTGTTTCTTGTCTTTTTTAAACTATATTTTTATCATTTTGGATTGCATGATGTTATTCTTAGTATTATGTTATGTTCTTTTTGGTAGGAGGTATGCTAGTCAGAACTCATATGAAAAGGCCATCAATTGCCAGTGCATTTTTTAGGTAGAAGCTTTAGAATCAAAAATACCTTTTTGTCCTGCCGGCTTGGGCAGGAATCTTGCTAGAGGTAGAAGCTTTTCAGGATCAATGAAAAACTAAAAAATATTTTAATTTTTCGTAAAATAGTTTTAATACATGTATACTGGTGCCATCATATCTAAAATTTTGCTACTTGGTTACCACTGTACCAGTACTGCTTTACCTTTTGTTTATTATTAAAACTGGTTGAATTCATTCCAGGTCCAAGTTTGACAGAAAAGAACTTCAAATCTTATTAAGGTATAAATCAATGCAAGAAATGAAAAAATATGTAAAACAAAGGGTACATTAAGAATTTAACATTAAAGTGAAAGGATACAAAGTCATTAATTGGCCCAAAAATATCATCAACTTTTCCAATCTGTGACTTGTCTTCAAGGTAAACGGGAGCATTGAAATATGGAATTTTTTCATTTAAACATTTGCAGACCAGATCTTCCTCGCATGGATGTAAATATTCTCCAAGTTCTAAAAGTAAATAACCCAGTAAACCTATGTTTATGTAATACAAAATGTTTGGGACTTGTAGAGATTGTCATTTTCCTGAGATCATTCCACAAGTGTTCAATATAAAATTCTCTACAGGTCACTACTGTATATATGCATCATATGTATCATATATGTTATATATGCATCATATATATGTTGGAATCCATTGACATCATTATGAAAAACGTCTATTGGTCATTGGTGACCTATGCATATACACATGTTGAAGATTGTTGACCAACATTCTGATCAACTATTAAAAAATTATATACATATATATGTTTAGCTTCTAGCCATAAAACCCCAGTGTCTGACTGGCATCATTGATCGTATTCTGGCCGGTTCAGAATCCCTAAAAATGGAGGTTTTCTGATTCTATAAACACATTTCCTACAAATATTTATAAACAAATCATTATAATTTATGCACTCACCAACAACGTGGTCAGGAGGACCATAATCCTGAAAACGATTACCCCCGCCTCTGCCACCCCTGCCACCACGACCTCCGCGAAAACCACCACGACCCCCACCTCGACTACCACCACGACTACCACCCCGACCACGGAAAGACATACTTCGAGGAATAAACCTGAAAGTTTATTGATAAGAACACAAAGTTTGTCTTCGATGGCCCTAGTTTCAAAAGACACATGCCAAGCTTCGTCCCCAGGCTTCACAATATGTTGCGCGACTCGTGGAAACTCGTGGACCAAGATAATTTCCTTCGCCCACGCACTTTTTTCACGCAACGGTGTAGCAGCATTTCCTGAAGAAAGACGAACTTGTCCGGAAGGAGTTGAAATTAGTTACCACGGCTACGTCAACATAGGATAGGACATATTCAGTACCGTGCTGGAATAGTACCGTCTTCCGTCTTTCACGTGTCAGTAATAGGCCCGAACCTAAATCCGTTCTTAGTTGCATTTAACCACCGTGGATATGACGGGATGAGACGGCGCTAGGATTTGTCCGTTCCCCTGTTGTTTCCTTAAATTGCCTTGGCACAGATGAGCTATATATCTCATCTGTGGACTTGGTTTTCCACTCTTCCCTACCTGACCTTGCTCAACTATCATGAGTTCGAAAGCGGCTGTTGACGTGATCAAATTGGCAGTTACGTGACGTATCTGCTTCTACGTGATCGTTGATTAAATGCAGCGAGTGTTCTTTATTTTGGTTTATTTTAAAAATTGAAATTTCACATAAGGGTAGAAGAAAGTAAAAGTATAAATAGTGAGTGATACAACTTTTTTTTCTTTTTTATCTACAGTTGATTTCTCAGTATTTTAATCGTACTTTATCACAACAAATAATGCTTCCAAGCGATCAGACAATGCACACCACATCGACTTCCAGGAGATGAAATTGCACATAATAGCTTTGTTTACGGGTTTGGCAGTTACCTGAATGTTCAGTTTGTACAATTTAAAGAAGAGGGGTAGCCTGTAGGTTGCTGTACACAATGGTGTCTTGCTCACTTATACGCATGTCTCAATTCTGTCTTAGATCCTAGTATGGACAGAAATGCTACCGCACCTCTCGCACCAGATGTGAAGAGTTGTGAAATATGGATGCAAAGAATGAACCAACTTCGTCAACAATTTGATGAGATTCCATGGCGACCCGCAGTCCAGAGCTTCTCGGTAAAAGACAGTTACAGATTGACTGGGGTTTATGAGATCAGAAACGAAAGCGAAGTAATCTACATAGGTGGAAATCCATTTTGCAGTAATGTTCGAGACTGTTTAAATGCACATTTTAGTGGTAACGATGGTCTTGCAATAGGAGCTTATCTTACCGGCTGCGCCTCTAAAAACTGGGGTAAAATATTTGTCCGATGGATGTCTGCAAGAAATCCTCCTGAAGTCGTATATTATCTCTTGCAAGAACATAGGATGCGTTATGGCTGTTACCCAAGATTTAATCAAGTACCACCTAGACAAACATGATGTATTATGTGTAAATTGTGCAAATAATTATTTATAATAAATTTTTTATAATAAAAGGCCAATGGGCGTACAAAAATATGTGCATGCTAGATGGATAATTCAAGGCCATTAAATTCCAATAAATTCGTTCATCATTTTTGTATCAAAGTGAAACTTTTGCTCATTTAAAATGAAGTTATCTCGAGTTTGCGATGGCAAAAACTAGCATCTGAGAACAGTACAAAAATGGTCTCAGCAATATAGTGTGGACAGAGGTTTGTGGCACTGTGCATAGATTAGTAGATGAAATCTGCGAACACAATTGAATTGTCATTGAAATATGTATCCAAGTTAACCCAACCACATTGATTATTGCAAATGCCAGATATAAAATGATTTCCTGCGTCCCAGGTTACTATCGAGTTGCTATCCTGTCACTATTACAACTTACATCACATTTACATCAAGTACGTAGCAGTGATAAGACCTGGTTACAAAGCAGCCATAATGGCAGTCTTCCATTTCCAGTCTTGTAGAAGACAAATAATCAAAAATGGATAAGGATAACATGGTTTTCCCTTAAGGATATCATTATTTTTTCTTCACTATGCACTCGAACACGTTAAATAGTTCCAGTACATTTAAAAAAACAACCGTTATCCTAGATCGAAAACCGCTATTCTTGTCCTATTCCAAAGTATCAATTGACCTCGAGGGTGGTCAGAAGACGAAAGGCAATTCAAGATCGAGTGCAAATGGCTTGTTGATTTATAAAACAGTATGGACATGTATGGTCGAAGCGTCTGTTGAGTACTGTAGAGTTGTCTATGACCTTTTTCCTGCCCAGAATTTGGTAAGATATTATTTCATTTCAAAAGTATAGTGGTAATGTATAACATGTCATTCTCTTCAGCCTAAACCATGAAGGGAGAGTCAATAATAATTCTAAAAATTATGCATACTGCTGTGTAAAAAACCTTGCATTGAATGCATGTGTCCCCACAAGTTTTATTGTAAAAATCTTGCATTAAATGCATGTGTCCCCACAAGTTTTAAAGAAAAAGTCTCCCATTTTTGTTCTCAAACACAGGTGCATGTAAATATTCAAATTCTCATGCTTTCATGTACGTATGCAGATCTGACCAGTTACTTATTTTTTCAAGTGACATCAGTGTTCTAGAACACAATAATATCTCAAATATAATTCTCTAATTTCCAGGTCAGGTTGATTGTTTCAGATACAACAAGTCATTCCATTAATTCTTGGGCAGAAAAAGATCAATGTGTATCCCAGGTAAGCTGCTTGAGTTGACTGAATCTCAGAGACAATTTACATAACAAGGATTACTTGATGATTAGGTATGATGACTGTATGTAATACTTGCATATTTGATTTTACTTTATGTACAGGTTTTGAAGCCTCTTGCAGCTCTAAGATCTAACAACTTTCCAGATTTGGAAGATGAATTGTCAGTAACCCATGGGTTGATTGAGGCCCTTCGATCTTTTGTGGATAATACTGGGCAGAAGAAACGAGTTATCAATGATACTGATAATAAAGGAAGAATTATATGTCTAACTTCCTTTGCGAGGTATGATAAAATGCCAGGCATGATAAAATACAGGTATCTAGAAACTTTTTATGATTGAAAAGTGGAGAGATGTCCCATTCCCATGTGGAAGACATAAATGTAATATTACAAAGGCAATATTAAGGCAATATATTAATTTATAGTGATAAGGAGTTGAACGAAGTTGTTGGTGTTTTGTGCAAGACATTCAAATCTCTCTCAGAATCTGCGAAGTCAAGCAGGTATCTGTACAGTACAATGCTTACCTCCACCTCTATTGTATGAGGAATTTTGTAATAAGGCTAATTAGGTAACTATGCAGAAATGGTGCATTGCAATACAGGTTGAACAAATTATGGTACAGTTATAAAAACCATGCCTTCAAGCTGTCAAAGGAAGTTTGTCTCTAAACCTTCTTTACCTTTTTCAGTTCACCGCCATTACACTATGTTGATGTTGTGTTTATTCATATTCCTCAAAGTGGTGAAGGTGGGAAACTCAGTGAAAAGACATTCAAGGTGATACAGTTAAGGCACTTTTACACCATCATATTTTCTTTCACAAACTTCTTCACTTATTGCATACAAACAGAAACATGAGTTTCAAATGCGCTTGATACAGTAAGTCAGTAACTGCATAAGCAACTTTAATGTGCTAGCTATTGTTGAATATTCTCAATCCCATTGCAGCATATTTATTCCTGGAAATCTTACCAAACCTAGTTTTTATTATTTTCATTATTTTCATAGCCAATGTCAAATATAACAGTATCAGTCCAGATTATGAAATCTTCACAACTCGTCTCAAAAATGACTTCATTAGTACAGAGGCATTTTAATTTGAAATCAACTATTGTGACTGGTATTCCAATGAAGGTAATTCTGATATACAATTTATGGAAATGCTGTGTCATTGTTGCTCCTGTAAAATTCTAGTGATATTTTGACAAATTTCAATTAAAGTTGTGCATTACAAGATGATTTTATTTGTTTTGCTTTAAAGCAACCCTTATCCCTATGAAAACGTATGTTCATATAAATTGAAAAGCACTTGTGGAAATTTGTCTACCTTGCCTCTCATGCAACCTCATCTAGTGTCTATATGCTCTTCACCCTTGGGACCAGGTTGCCATTTGACTTGACAACAAACCAAAATTATGTTAACTAAAATGTTTTTTTACAATTTTTGCTGTGTTTTACTTGCATTAATACAGCTGCAGTGGAATGGTGTTCCTTTTTCTTTTTTTTTAAATCAACTATTTACCAGGAGGAGCAACATGCTGGAGGTCCAATAAATTATGATGTAGAGTTATATCACAGTGCTGATGTTCATTATGAATTGGACATGTTTAGTAAGTAAAATAACTTCATTTTAGAAGTTCTTGGTTTTTACAATATTGTTCAAAAGATCTGAATTTTTTTGCTTGATACACTTTTACTGCAATGTGCATTTTAATTCTAAAAACAGAATGGGTATACAATTTTATTATAACAAGCGATTATCCAGACTCACTGTATTCACTATTCAATCTTATTTAAGATGAAGTGCAACCTATTACTCTTTGGAGGCCAGTTTTAGGGGTGCCAAAAAAGCGATTGTCTTTTAGCAGTTACCTCAAAATGACAAGTTTCACCCATATATATGTAGTATCGTCCCCTTGAATCTCTTTCTCTAGACACAATTCTGTGATCTTACAAAGTGCCATTGTGTTCATTTCCTACATGTAGATATTTACTGTACGGATATATCAGGACCATGTGAACTTTCTCAACGACATGAAATCTTAAAAGACACTGTCACATTAAAATGGTGCACAACTCCAAAAACAAGTAATAATATGGGTAAGCTATTGTACAGTAACTAGAGTTTAGCAGTTGTTGTGTTTAGCAGCAATGTTGTGAAGCATTCATGCTGAATCATGTATGTGTAAACAAGACTCTATAAAAGTACGAAACTTTTATTATAAGCATGTACTGTATGTATTGGTTTGTTTCTACATAATATAGATTACAAACCAACTGAAAATATTGTTTTTCAGATTTACAACATTGTATTGGAGCTTATAGATTTACAGTTGCTGAGGTATGGAATCACAGAATATTTTATTTGTAGCATAAATTGTACAGTAGCTATATTTCAAAGCGATAAGTTAAAAGCAATAGCTAATTTGGTAATTCCAGCTATTGTATTTTTTCTCTGATTACACTCATTATTGTCTCAATTTTTCTCCCTGATTTATCAATTGTGATAGATTTTGTTCAGTGAATAATCGCATTCCGTTTGTGGCTTCAGCGAAAAGCATGCCAACTTTATTTCTCCCTGAAATTGAATAAAAAAAATAAATGTTGTATTATAATTACGATGGTGATACGTTTTCTGTGTATTTTAGGTTAATAGCCGTCCTGCAGCCTGCCTTGTTACTTTTCTCCTACAAGGTTTGTCGCACGTCTTTATAATTACCAAACTTTGGGTTCCCACCATAGATATGAATAAACCTGTATCGTATATCGAGTGGGAGTCACAATGACAACTGTATTCATTTTCTTTTACCTATAATTTCACCGGACTATTTATCGATCAATGACATATACCTAGCAAATGAGAGCACTGTCTAAATCATCTGAGCAACTGAAGGGGTAAAGGCCCATTTACACTATGCCATTTGTCGTATACGATTCGTATCCTGGCGTATGTGAACGTATGATCGCACGCTCAAACGTGGCACTTTAAATTTCAACCTGAACAAAATTGAATGAAGATTGCGCATAGGCCCTCTTCTGCATTCGTCAGAATGATAATTGCCTACAACTTATCGTGTAGGCTAAGTAGGCCTTGAAGTAGCCTGTGTCACAGTCTACTCCCCGTAGTGACTACGGGGAGTGGACTGTGACGCAGGCTAGCCTTGGTGCTCCATTTAGTAATACCGAGTTTAATACAGATCAGTGGTTTAATATGCAAATCTAGTGTTTTAATTTGACTGTACCGGTGAACAGGACAATTATCGCTATGATCAAACTATCAGTTTGCTATTAGCCTTAATTAAGTTTTAGTACCGGTAATGTTAAGTGTATTCATTTATTTCAGGAAGGAATGTATTTCTAGAACAGCCTAAGAAGTCTGGGAATAAAGTTATTTCACATGTATTGACCAGTCATGCTGGTACGTATAGCCTGGTCGAGTTTACTATACAAACTATTCTATTATCATTCTTGTTGTATTATATACGTCACACCTTCCTTGAGTACATACCTGCATGCTGTAGAAGGGAATGTCGACAGTTCATTAATAAACTTATCCTTAGCAAGAACGTCTCGATTATGTTAGAGTTTGTTGAGAGTACAATTGTCGTCGTACAGTTTTATTTATCATGCCGTGTTTAAAGCCGGCTATAGCAATTTACACTGTCTATAATATTGTCTTTATTGTTTTTCAGGTGACCTTTACATTCATTGTCTTGGTAATAACAGATGTCCTTTAGAAGAACCCCCTTCCATTAGTGAGGGATGTGGAGGACGAGTTACAGATTATAGGATAAATGTAAGATTGATATTTTAACAGCAGTTTTCATCTGATATGTACATCTAACTTTTGGCGCCCTTTTTTGTGTTTTTTAAATGTTTTACAACCTTTTAATGCCTTCGTCCTTTAGTGATATTGTAATTGACGAACTCTTGTTTCGATAGGACTTTGGAGAGTTCATGAAAAATAACAGACTCGCACCTCTAACTGGGACAAAACCAAAAGGAATAATACCATTGGAAAAAGGTAGCGGAATTCGACAACATCTTCAATATCTTCAAAATATTTTCTGAAATTTCACAAATTGCTGATGGTAATATTTTTTATAATTCGACATGGTGAAATTAAAGAAAATAATGTTACGGCAGGCTCTACATACTGCTGTAGTATATACAGTATTGCGTAACTATATTAGCAGGTGTGTTGCAAGTGAGGTGACTTTATCCAGTTCGCCGTTGCAAACAGATTATGCATGAAGGACGTCTTTAACGCACGCTCTTGGGATTTTAATTATGTGGTTTTTACAGTACCTGCCTACAATGAATGGCATTATTAATCAGCCATCCACGTTTCCTCCTAAATCTGAGGTTCTCTAATATGACGTTGTGATTTTTTTTGTAGCCACATCTCGACTGGAACGTTGTACCAGAATGTGGCCAATGGTCATCAGCGATACTCTCCTTTTCAATTTAACAACGGTAATTTATTTTTGCAATATACTCGTGTGCATGCACTGGTCTATGATATTCGTAACACCATGTATATACATAAAAAGAAGAAAAGCTCGTTAATTGTAAGGTGCATGACTGGAGGACCAGGTATATATATCGTTTGAAGTTTGGTTACTTTAATTATTGCGACTTCAAAAGACACAGAAAGAATGGTCAAACTAAATCTTGCTGTCTTTTAGTATACCGACAAAATACATCATTTGTAAAGTCACCGGATTAAAAATAAGAGTAGAACCCATCGTTTTTTTATGATGAAATTAATGATTGTTGGGTTTTTATTTCTATCTAGCATTTAGAACCACTAATAACGATCATATTCAAAGAACATTTAACGGAAGAAGATGTCAATGATTGCACGAGGGTAGATATTGCATTATAATCGCTCTTCATTTACAACATATACAACGTCAGTCCTATTTGTATTTTCACAGTATGTCATTGAGCAAATGCGTTTATTTTATAATGATACAGTGCTACTATTATACTAAATTTTCTTGAAGGTGATTAATCGACTACAAGCTATGGAGAGTCGAAATGAGCCACTTCCTGTTAGCTCTGTGGGATTCACTCGAGGCAAAGGGCCGAAACGGTTAAAATTTTTTCATAAATAATAATAGATCAAAAAACAAAGACCGTTATAATATTGCCAGCATTTCGTTATGAAATATTAAGAGTGGAACTTTGGTTACCATCACTAAAGCGAATATCGAGGCATTTTTGTGGCCAATGCATTTCATGTTTAATCTCGACCTAACATGCAACGTATGCAACCCTTCATAGAACAACTCTTATCGGGAAGGCCACGTCCTACATCCTTATAAGATGGAAAGAAGCGTTTTTGGGAACTTATTTATTTATGTTCTCTAGTGCTGAACAATATCAACAATTGTGGGCGGAAATGGACACGTTTCTTAAGATTACAAGCACAACATCTAAAATGCATGCGAGAGTTTATAATTATATTCTTGGTGGTGATCCGGAGAATGACGAAGAAAATTCCAATGATTCAATGTCGATTCAGAACGAAAGTGAGTGTTGTATAATGTATGTATAATATATTTGTATAACTGGGATACATTGAAGATCCGATTCCCAAAACATGTATGAGATGGACCGGTGGCAGTTTTCTTTTTTGTCAAACACGATATTGTTTTTGTTTGAATATTTATTGAAATGGTACTGATGCAGCAAACTGTAAGATTCCAATTTTTTTAGACGATGAAGTGTCCAGAATTAGTCAGGCATGGAAGGAATTGGACAGGTGATGCTTATACAGTATATTATAGGTTCCGTTTTCACTGTCTGGTACTGGATTTGCTAGTCATGAGATCAGAAGTTTCTATTTGAAAATATTTGTAAAATATACATTCAATTTGTTATTTAGTTATCGTAACATGTCGGAACGAGAGAGATCCGACTTTTTGAGTGGAGATAAAAACAACGATCATTTTTACAAACGAGCCCAGACAACACCACCTGTAGATAGTACACCTGCAAAGAAATCAACTGGATCTCTTCCTCAGTTGTCATATAAAACAGGTAAGATAAATGTCTAAGATAGGCTAGGATATATTGTTCTACTCTTTATCCTTCAAAATTGTAGTTTTAGATCTGAAACTACCTCGTAACAAAGACATGCATGTTGGATGGTTCTGCTGGTCTTATGGTTTTGACTTTTATTCACATCAATTGACACGTTTGCTCCAACTTTAGGAGGATCTAAGGCGTCCTTACTAAGTATGTGGTGCAGTAGAATGGACGCCATTGCCGCCTCGAGACACGAAGAATTTGAAGGACGTTCAGCGGCATCAGGAAATCAAGCGGAACTTTACACTGAACTTGCAACAACAGAGACAAACAGGTGAGGAGAACACTCAGGTATATCAAACAATAGTCTTAAACATGAGAATGGTTGGACAAAATTGCCAACCCAAACCAAGCATTTTACAAGGGCTTCTTCTGCTATTACATATTTTTACAATGTGGACGAAGGATGCGCGATTAAAAGGGTATTTGTGAAATTTTTCAGTGCTCGAAGTACGCCTGTTGGCGCCGAATGGAACATGTCGTGATTTTTCACACGAACGTTGCCAAGCACAGAATCTTGACTAACTACTTCTAATACCTATATGCAATGGGATTGCACATATTTAAATTTGGATTAATATGAATTTCATATTGTAAAATACTTTTTAAAACCTAAATGGCAGTATAGGAACTAAATTTCCACAGTTCTATACATAACACTCCTGATGAAACATTACATGAAATTCAATCTGCCAATACGCGCACGATGGAAAAATGAAAGAAATAAAACAGGGCACAAAACATTCCATTTTAATAAACACAACAAAACAACTATTTTTTGAAAAACGTAAAAACTGTAAATCGCGAACTCGTGGTTTAGTATGACAATCGATATCAGCTGTAAAAGTTTTTTTCTCATTCTACTTTCACTCTTCTATTAAACTTTAAACTTATTTTTTGTTCTTAATTTTTATTATGAACATAATTTAATATATATAAACAGAAATGTTTTCTGTGTACTACAGTCAATATATTCATATTTCTAATCAATACCCAGCAGTATATTTTTGTTGAACATCAACTAAACGGGACACGACTTGAAAAGTACCATGTACTAAAGTGTATTAATGGTAGCTGTGACATCATTCTAGTATACTTTTATTACCACGATCCTGCAATGTGCCACTAATATATGTACTTCGCCGATATATGTTAATTTTTCATCTTCAATTTTCTTTCAAATGACTCCGGCGTTTTATTGCTGTTGGCATTCGTTTTTTGCCGCGTCTTTCCTTACATGAATGACACGACGAGGTTTCACTGTTCTTACATTCTATAAAAGAATATCCATGAAATTTCAGTGTTTTGTAGTGAGTTCATAGATGCATGGATACGCAAGGAAAAACAGAAGAGAATACTATACGGAGATGTACCTTTCTGCCCAAAACATTGCAAAAATGAGCTTACTTGATTATTTTGTCTTGACGTTGATTCGTTCTCTGTCTCTGAGTTTTCACGGGGTCCTGGAGTACCTTGAATTTCTCTGTTAACATCATTAGCTGGTGTCGACACTGCGTCAGCTGTAGGTGTTTGTTGTGTTTTGTCTTGCTTACGACCCGGAACCCTGGGTGAGACCATGCCAACTGGCTTTGATTTCTTTGTCGATAGAATTTGCTGGGATTTACATGCAATGATTTGTGGTGATTTCATTTGGGTTGGGTTCTTCGCAAGTGTTGGAGGTTTTGTAACGGCGGTTGTATTCGACGGTCGTAATGTTTTATCGTTAGCATTCGTATTTGTCTTTACATTTTCTGCTTTCGCAAATAAACTCGCATCTTTCCAAAGCGAGGGTTTGGAATTTTCATTTTTCTTCGATCCCTCCACCTGTGAATCTACTATATTTCCAGCTGGGGAATGAAAAAAACCAGAAGCTAAAAACGGTCGGCTATGACGTGTCTAGTTTGATAACTGCGGACACTAGAGTGCTGACTGTGAACTAAGCCAAGTGGCGTTAATGTAATGAAACTTTTTGTCGGAAGAAATAATTCATGTTCTATATATATATTGAGTTCACCCATGCAATATTTAATTTCTTTTCAAATATATTATTCCTCCAAAAATAGAATGACAGTACTGACAGTGAGAATTAATGATTAGCTCAATTGGATTGAATTGGTATGTGACTTTTCACTCCTAAAGGTCATTTGGCCTGGTAATCTGGCTATAGGCTTCTTCCATACTTACCTTGTTGAAATTTCAATTTCAGTTCGTCCATTTTGATCTGCAATCGCACACGTTCCAATTTGAGTTTTTCTTTGTCAACCTCAGAAGCATGAAGCTGTGATTCCACTTGCCGTCTTTTGTCTGTTTCGCCGGTCAGTTTCATCATCGCAACTGCATTCTTGGATTTCAAATTCTCAATCGCCACGCTGCAAAATACAATGAAGAGAAAACGCTAAACATTGTGCGTGCAATTCCAAATGTAGTAACTGCGTGAAAAGCGCTCGCTAAGAGGACCGCTACAAAGTGCTTTCTTTAAGGTGCCTAAGGTGCATAACTCACTTCCAGCCACCCAGCCAGCAGAGTGATTATAGTAAAAGTTTAAAGTAAGCAAACATACTTAAGGTTTTTAATTTCGTCCTGAAGGTACACAACGTAGTCTTTCTTATCTTTGAAGTCGGTAAACACATCATGGAATCTTTCCAGTCTTGAGTTCATTCCTTGTCCATCCTGAATAATATATATGAAAATGTGAATCTTGATCTGACATAGCTAAAACAAAGCCACTTTCATCCTCTCTTAGGACCAGACAGTAAAAAATACCAAAAAAGTTGCGGTCGAATTTGCGTGCATGGCAATGAACAAATTGAACTTCACTCCACTGCAAGAAAGTTATGTTCTACTCTACATGCAACTTCTGTTTTTCCTTGCACCTAGCTATGATCACCATACCTTTTCCTTTTCCAACTCCTCAATCTTAACATACAAATTTTGAATTTCACTTTTACTCTGAATAAGAGCAGCTTCAAGTCTTCTCATCTTCAAACTGTCAGCCTGATTGCCTGCCATCGTGAGCATGGGCAAAATTCGAGTCTTTGGCAGAAAAATTTAGTTGACAACATACATAAATACTAATATTTCTATGTAACAAAACAACACAAATTACAGTTCACTTTACCTTTAGTTCAATAAGTTGCTTCTTCATAATATGATGTGTGGTTGACAGAGATTCATATTTCGCACTAAGTGCTGTGTGCTGTTGTTCAAGTTCCAATCTTCTATCTTCCACCTTTAGAAACAGTTATATGTAAACCAATATTACATATGTTTGAGGTCTTCTCAGTGTGAAAGTAAGAGTAATATAGTTAAAGTGCCCCCATCTACCTATGTATAACTTGGTGTAAGCTAAAAATGCACAATGAAAAATATCCCAGTTCATTACACCACTACAAAACTAAAATATCAAGTTGCATAGTTAATCACTGTGTAACTCAGTGCTGTTTGTTAAGCTGACTTACCTCACCAAATAAAGAATTGCCTTTGTCTTTATGTGATCTATTTAAAGCTTCAGCTTTTAAAGCTGAATTCTCTAGTTGAAGTTCGGACAGTTCTTGACGAGAGTTCTGTGAAACGAAAAACAAGAAACAATACTGCTCAACTAAAAATTGTTGATGATACCACAATTGAAAAAAAATACATGCTGATGATCTGCTGTTTGAAAAGGGAATCTGGCCTGCAAATAATTTCTTTACCTGCAAGGCATCAAACCATGTCTTGCCTTGACCTGACGTTTCCTCCAGATTTTCCTTTAATATCTCATTTTTCTGCATTAAATTTTGCCTATCAAACAGCAGTTGTTCTTTCTCTGCATTCACATCATCTAAAATAATCTTCATTTCTTCTTTCTTCAATCTCATCAATGCACACTCCTCCTTCATATCTTCCAGTTGTGTTTCCAAAGCACCCATTCCTTGCAGCTGTTTTGAATACCTGTGTGCCTCAGCCAACATTTCCTCTTGTTTAGAAACCTTTGTATGTAATTGTTCATTGATGAGAGAAATTTTCTCAAGTTCCAAATGAATAGACTCAATCTCAGCCTGAAGTTCATTAATTTTCTTTTCATGGATGTTTTCTTGACGAGCAAGCTCTTGTTGTGTATTTCTCTCTAGTTTTTCTTTCACTAATTCCATCTCATTTGAAAAATTTTTTTGTGCTAGTTTTTCTTGGTCAATCTTCATACGAAGGCAATAGTTCTCTTGACGCAACTCCTACCATATAGAGGGAAAACAGATATCTACAAGTGCCCTGGTTGCATGTGTAAAATTAGATTCCTAGATTCCAAAACCTAGATTCAAATTATTTGTGTACATGGGCTGTCTTGACGACTTGACCTAGTAGCTCAGTTGGAAAAAGATAAGACTAGTACACAAAAGGTCAGTGGTTCAATTCCTAGTGTGGTCAACATTATATTAATTGAAGTCGATTAGAAATTCTTTAATTAAAATTATCCATCCAGCACAAGTTACTATACCTCCATCTGTTGCAGGTGCGATTCTTGTATCTCTTCAAGATGACGATTTAGCTCGTTATTACTTTGCAAAAGCTCATTCCCTAGCTTCCCTGATAGTGCCATTTGACTTTCTTTATCTTCAAGCTCCAGCTTCAGATCATGAATTTGGGCTTTTAATTGCCTGTTTTCCATATCTAACTCAACAGGAGAAGCCATTAGAGGAAGTGGTCGATTTTAAAAGCGATTAATGTAATAATAACCAGACTCGATTGTTCAGAAAAGAACGACGAATATTTGAACTGTTTTTGTCTATTTTGATTTTTGAAAATCAAAATATGGCGGCGTTTACAAAAGATTGGAGAATTGACCAATGACATACCAGTGCTAGTCTCTTTCATGGTTTCTCCGCGCTGATTTTCATGATTTTAATGACAAAATGGCGTCTGAAAAACGTGAAAATTAAACATTTATTTCCCTATAATTCTGCTCTTGTCACAACAAAGACCTTGGAAACATGGGTTAAGTGAAGGATATAGTCTTAACGTATGTAAAAATCAAAGATGAGAAGTCCTATTCGTCGGCTTGGCAGGCTAATGACCCCGGCGTTCAGCGAAGGAGTGCGGTCATTAAAGTACTTTGGGGTCTGTGGTATTTGCGCATCTTGGTCATTTGAAACAGGGTATATTGCAGTTCTCTGTTTGTAGTTTTACAGACTTTGTATTATTGTACAGACGTTTACAAACTTTGTATTATTATATGTTTTTCATTAAATTGTTTCTAATTCAAGGAGGAAAGTTGGCTTTTGTCCCAGTTTTCCTGGATTAAATTTTAGTATAAATAAATCAAGTTTGACATCTTCTGATGATGGAGAGGTACTGTACGCTTTTGGTACTGTGAGGCTGGAATGACCTGTTCCATCAGGCATCAGCTTTGATTAATTAAAATATTTGATAAGATATCTTCAACTGTATATATTGTTGTGATAAGTTATCATCAGAATTTATGATACAATTAATAGTTCTTTTGCTTTAATTGTATTTCCAGGACATTTCAATGGCTAATTACCCTAATGAAATGATAAGAAATTTTTGCATCATAGCACATATTGACCATGGCAAAAGCACTTTAGCGGATAGGCTTTTGGAGTTTACAGGTGTTATATTGTTATTAATTATTTGCAAATAACTCCATGTAATGGTAATGAACGCTTCCTATGGCAAACAGTTTACGCTATTAAATATTCCTCTATAACTAGAGACCAGATGCATACATAGCAAAGCCAATGTACTTTCAGGACTGAGCTCAAATGTCAAATCCTTTAACAAATTAGGTGTAAGAAGGTGTGATTTAGCTGTGGTTCCCAAAATCTCATTGAATTTTTTTTATGATTTGGGGGAGAGGGGTCTGGCACACCCCAAACCCCACAATGGCAATGCCCCAACGCATCAGTATTGTTCATCACTATTTAGGAACAATTTCAAAGAATGTTAAAAATAAGCAAGTTTTGGATAAGCTTCAAGTTGAAAGAGAGCGAGGAATAACAGTGAAGGCTCAGGTCTGTTACTTTAATTAAATGGTTTAGAAAATATTTTTTAGTGGTGCAAGATACACACTTACAGTATATGAATAGCCAAGAGACCTAGCTTCATGTTATTAATTAAGTGTTTCTGCAAAAACATTTTAGACTGCATCACTATTTTATGAATTCAAGAACCAAAAGTATCTCCTAAATCTTGTCGATACACCTGTAGGTGGTATCTTTTCTATTCTATTTAAATGAAATGTAATATCATTGGAAGTAAAAATGTTGAAAAACTATTTTCAAATAGGGTCATGTAGACTTCAGTTATGAAGTGTCAAGATCATTGGCTGCATGTCAAGGTGTTGTACTCTTAGTTGATGCTGTACAGGTAATAGTATAAAAACTGCTATAATGCTGGTAAATTGGTATTCTTTTATTTTATTAGCAAGGCTCAGATTTTTATAACTTCCACCACTGTAGCTTCTTGCATATATATATTACGTTCGTAATTGGTTAAACATCTAATAGAATTATCGCATTTGTTTAATTTATATTCCTGGTCACTAGTGGAAGTCAAAACTGAACCTTTTTATTAGCTCTATAACAACATGGTATTCCTCTTTTCCATTTTATTTAGGGTGTTCAAGCCCAGACAGTTGCAAATTTTTTCCAAGCCTTTGACGCAAATCTGATGATAATTCCTGTTATCAACAAGGTATATACCGTATACAATGATTATGAATGATAGGCTGTTTAGCAGAATGAATACAGCACTCCTTATGTTGAAATAAGCCATGATTGATTCCTAAGATGTAATTTTTCACGTTTTTATATCTCTTCCAGATCGACGTTTCTTCAGCAAAACCTGATCAAGTTTCGCAGCAAATGGAAAGTGTTTTTGACGTAAAAAACGATGAAATTATTCAGGTACGAAAGTTGAGACTACTGAACGCTGCATAATTTAAACATCGTTGATTTAGTTGCTTCCATAATCACTAAATATTGACATTCATATCCTCCGAACTCATTTATTAGTTTTTTATTAAGAAAATGTGAAGGGGGAAGGATTCCCCAGTATTTACTGCATGTAATAATTTATTTTACGGAATTTTAAATATTTATATAGAACATGAAGGAAAGAGTTTTTTACCTCTCCAAATACTTCTATTTTACAATAATCTTGCATGAGATTAGGAGCGGGCGTCCACCTTTCGCCCCACCCGCCCCTTTTTCCACTTTAGGTGCGAAAAAGCTAAACATCGTAGCTTGGAAATTTTAGGTTTCAGCAAAAGAAGGATGGGGAGTTGAAGAGCTGCTGGAGGCAGTTATCAAACGAATTCCTTGGTATGTTCATGGCACTTGATGATCAACCGGTTCGACATAACATTAACCATAGTATTAAAGCATTCTTGCCGAATTGTATTTTTATTTTAGTCCAACGAAAAATTCAAAATCTCCATTGAAGTGTTTAGTTTTTGATTCCTGGTACGACCGCTATAGGGGCATAATTTGCCTCGTTGCCGTTATACAGGGAAAGATCAAGAAAGGTTGGTACTTGTCTTATAATTTTTCGCCAACACATATTTCAACACAAGCTGGATAAAATCAGCTGAAATCAGATGAAAAAACTTTCAGGAGATAAAATCATGACTTGCAATACAAACCAAAAGTACGACGTTCTCGACCTTGGAATTCTTCATCCGGATGAAACTTCTACAGGAGAATTGTATGTATATATTATTTTATTTTAGTATATATTATTTTATTTTAGCATCACAATCGGCTACAAATTGCTCAGTAAAAAAACTAAGTTGAGTTGAAAGGGCCTTAGTGGAAAGGTACACTGTACTTTGTAATTTTAACTGCATGAACATGATCGGCAACGGCAAGCCTGGAATACGTCAAGCTGATTGTTTTAGTGCTTGTCATATAGCGCTTGTTTCGCATAATGATCTTTCTTCCCGTATGCATTTGTCGATGCTCGAGTTTTTTGCATATCCTCTAAATTCTGAAATGTTCCCGATCCACCGTCTCTTACTCTCTCGAACTGACAATTTTTTGAGTTGGTGGGAAAATAATAATCTTGACAACCGCGTCCTATGTCGGGTTATGCGCTACTGCAACATTTGGTACATTGATTTAGGTATGTCGGACAAATAGGATATATCGTGACTGGAATGAAAAACTCAGACGATGCTCAAATTGGTGAAACCTTTTGTCATGTTGATCATCCTGCATCACCTTTGAAAGGATTCAAAGCAGCGAAGCCCATGGTATAATTATAAAGCATGTGCATGATTATTTGATTTATTTCGTGATATTTCACTGTCTACATGATAGCTGAAACCTTTTATTTAACATGCGTGAATTGGAAATATCCACCCCGCTATTAACCTAAACGCGAAACATATTGTTGCGACCTTAAAAAACTTTAGCAACTAGCAAAATTGAATTGCAATCATGCATATATTTTAAAACTATATTATGTCAATGATAAGTTCAGTCAGGAACTATCACACGCATTTTCTAGGTCAAATAACAACAATATCTGTCAAATAATGTCTAAGAACTGACAAACCTTGAGTCATGATAAACTTGTAAATAAATCGGTTAGTTATCGTAAGACTTTGAGGTAGTTTTCGGGCTGAATAGCGGTACCGTGATTGCACCTAACTGGACTTAAAATGTTATGGAGAATTTGATGTTTTTTAGTTCTTAGTCTAGTAAGTTACTACGGAGGGCTTGTTTGAAATGTCTTAGTTCTCTCCTACAATCAAGTTCATTTTATCACACTACGATATATTAAATCGCAAATGAGAACGGTTGGTAAATGATGACAGATGCGCGCGCATCCTCTGCGTCCCACATTCATTACACTTGGTTTCGTCCAATATATGCAAGACAGATTTTCTTAAACGTCACACCGGTTACTCCGGTTTCCTCCTGTAGTAACACTAAAATCAATTTTTGTTGGTCCCCAAAGCTATCCGGGGACTTTGATGATAGATAATAAAAATTTATAAAAAAAACCCCATGAAAAAGTCAAGCATAAAACGAAAAGCGGCACTGTTGTTTCAAGATGATTCCGGATTCCCTTTGCAATATTTGTTTTGTATCCGATGATCGCTTCAGTAATTTTATTGTCCTAAACAAAAGCAGTCACCTTGATAGAAGTATTCAAAACTAAGTCATTTTTAACCTTCCATGAGATTCAAATTTGCGGGATCCGCTCCTTTTGATTTAGACACATGTAAACCCAGGCATTAGGAAATAACTAAGATAAGTTTAAGGGCAAACAATGTGTCGAGGTTGACAGTGTTGTTCCTCTACCACGTTTTGTTAACGTTTTAGTACATTTTCTTCGAATTTCTTGTCACAAATGTTACTCAATATAGAAGATTAGGGGCTTGAAGTATGTTAATAAGTTTTTTTTATTAGGTTTTCGCTGGATTTTATCCCGTAAACCAATCTGACTTTCTCAATTTACGTAATGCTGTCGAGAAGCTGACATTGAATGATGCAAGCGTTAGTGTCCATCGTGACAGTAGGTGAGTAACACAAATATGTTTAAAACTTATTGGGGGGTTTTAACACAAATCTGTTTAAAATTAAAGCTTTGTTCACCAATTTGTCGTACTTTTTGTGAACAAGTCAATTTCACCGATGTGAAATAGTCCAAACGGTACTCAAATCGGTCGTTTTTAACCGCACACACGTGGTGTATCAGGGCGAAATGAGGCCAGAACGACCAAAAGGTGAGACGTTTTACCCCACATTACCCTAGAATGCCCACGTTTTTTTTTTCAGTGCTGCGCTGGGCCAGGGAATGAGGCTTGGATTTCTTGGAATTTTGCACATGGAAGTGTTTCGGGAGAGATTGGAACAGGTCAGGTCAAATTGTTTTCACCGTGAATTAAAATTTTCTATATTCCCGGTCGTTAATTAAAAGTAGGATATACTTGGCATGGGGTAGTGGAATATATTGGTTGTTTTTGGTCACGTGGCAATAAATAAAAATTTCCACTTTACTGACCGTGCAAATAATTTTTCAAATGCTCGGTTGCTTTCACTAGATTCAATCATTCACAATATTAATCGTACCGTGATAGGATTATCAATGATAAACACAAATGAGACAATATGTTTACTTAACAAAAGAATAATTCGTTAGGTTTGTCTATTTTTGGGTTACATAAAACAAAAATTATGCAACGGAGAGACTATTTTTATTCTTACCATTGCACTCATAAACATTTATTTCTGGTATACTATTGGGTTTTTTAGGAGTACCAAGCATCAGTTGTGGTAACGAGCCCAAGTGTTCCTTTCAAAGGTGAAAAAATATTGATTTTGATTCAAACACTAACTTTCGTATTTGCACGACCTTCCTGAAGAATTGTTGTGGGACGATTTTGGCCTGTGCCAAAATGGTATCCTTCTTTCGTCGTTTTGCCCTCCCACCTTAGCCCTGGGACTGGGACATATTGTCCCTTTTACCCTTCTTACAGACCTCTGTGTAAACAATGCGTAATCGTGACCGCATACAACGTCACAAAAGATAAAAAACGATGATAGGACAACTCCTCCATGTCGTCGATCGAAAAAAAAATTGAATTATTCAAGCATTTAATTTCTGATTTCTTCACTTTCAGCTACCTTACGGAATCAGAATAAACGCGAAATTTTAATAATGAATGCATCAGAGGTATGAATATAGTTTAATGACTCGTTCTACAATCTTCATTGCAGCTAGACCATTTCAAAATGGTGTTTGTTATGGGCCAACCCTTATGAATCAGGTCTGTCTCAATGCATTGTAAGCAATGTTTACGTGTCACGCTGCTTCTAGAATAGAGGAATGGGGCTTACCTAAATATTTGGTCGAGTCGCTCGTCATACAGTTCTGCATTTTCCCTGTAAATTACGTCAATATGAAAGCGAATAGAAATATAACTATTAGTGTAATGTTATGTCCAATAGTGTATGCTTGTCTGCATGTACTCAGACTGTTGATGCTAATAAGGTTGGTTAAAGTTTCCAGAGTCGTCAAAAGTAGAAGAATATCTGGAACCGTTTGTTCTTGGAACTATTATCATGCCTCAGGATTATCTTGGAAAAGTTATGACACTTTGTCAGGTATGATAAATGTTGGCTGTATGACTGCCGTCATTATGTTCGTTGCAATTTTGCGCTGTGTATAATTTTGAACTGTTTTGTTTATTAGAAAACCCGTGGGGAACAACATGAAATCGTTTATATTGATGATACTAGACTGATGATGAAGTATTTCTTTCCTTTGAGTGAAATAATTTTGGACTTTTATGACCAATTGAAGAGCGTTACATCTGGATATGCTAGGTGAATCCATCTTTTTTTGGGCGAATTAATTCATCAACACTCCTGTTATCAATTTGGAACTCATATAGAGGGAATATTTCCTTTTCTTTAGTTTTGATTACGAAGACGCAGGTTACCGACAGGCAAATTTAGTCAAGGTAAGTTAAAATACGTATAGCAGTACGCAGATTTCCTTATAATAAAAATGAGCTTAGCTTGTAAAGCCCACAGAATAGAAAATATCATTCCTGCTCCTGCAGTTGGCAGGTTACGTGTAGGCTACGTGTACATTTCACATTAGGATGCTGAACCCTGTAGTAGGTATATTGTTGAGGATTTAGGTAAAAAAATTCTAATGCTAAAGTTCCATGCGTGTTGCTATTCAGTTAGATTTTTATTTAAATGGTAATCTGGTGGATGCACTGAGTACTGTAGTGAATGCAGACAAGTCACAAGAGATGGGGAAGTCCTTGTGTTTGAAGTTGCAAAAGTTGATGTCAAGGTAGCTAGAAGGCTAAATTAAAAAAAAAATGAAAAAATTGAAGACTTTGTTTGATACGTAGACTTTCAGGGAAACATGGTTTTCATGCATGGTTTTCTTGTTTATATATAGACAATTATTTGAGGTGGCCATTCAAGCAAAAGTTGGTGGGAAAATTATAGCTAGACAAAGGTTGGTTTTAGGTTTTAACATTCAACTTGTCAGCTATAATGGTTATCGTTCTGTGTGTTTGCATAAAAATAATATAGATAAAAAATGAATTACTTAATTTCTGATAGTTTAAAAGCTCTGCGAAAAGACGTGACGGCCAAACTGGTTAGTATAATGCAGCTTCTCCTTTTAGCTTTTCCCCAGAAAAACTCGACGCATCTTCATTAATTGGTCAACCACATGCTTTTCACAACTTCGAAAAATATATATTTGACTGGATGGAATTTAATGAATATATCCAGTTGTTTATTATAGTTTTCTTTGAATAGTACGGTGGAGATATGACGAGACGAAGAAAACTATTGGATCAACAGAAGGAAGGGAAAAAGAAAATGCGACGGATCGGGAATATCGATGTACCTCATGAAGTATTCCTCTCTTTGTTGAAGAAATAATTGGAAATTTCATGGGATGAGTGAAATGGAGGCAGATGAAACGATATACGAAGCGATAATAGATCCTGTAGTGAAACCTTAATTTCATCTAAAAAATTATTTGTCAACAGCCATATAATTTCCTATTTCTGCACAATAGAAATAAATAAAGTATTTTAAAAATAATAACAATTAATAGGTGGCTGTCATTGTATGATTGTTGGGCTGCTGTTTGTTTGTTATTGCGTTTAGCAGAAATCGCTCAGTTGAAATCGATATTACAAAGTATTGCAATAAGAAAGAAGCCACGAACGTCCGTCCCAGAGCAAAGTTCACTGCCGAAAATATATCTGTATATTTTTGTAGCCAAACCCTAACCCCAGCCAAAAAAATTGATATTGTTATATCGTTAAATTAATATTGTTGTATTGTTAAATTAATTTTATCTTATAAAAGGTGTGTTCGCTCCCTTTGTGGTCATTAGTTGCTTGGCACGCAAGGTGTAACAAGCCTAACAAAAAGTTTAAATAGCCACCGTCCCACCCTGTTCCAGAAAGCCGGTAACCAGCCTTATTTACCACCAATTACATTGGTGTGATGGGTGCAAGCTATCCGAGTGTGGTTTGATGATCAAGATACCATTGGCATGGATCTTTCCTTATTCCAAGTTCTACTTCTGAAGCCATCTGCGACCTTGCCTCGTTCCCGGGCCCCGTCGGACTACAGCTTGCACATAACCTTGCTAATTGGTGAGTAAGCGGCGTGGTCTGGGGTTAACCTAGATATTAATATTTAAAAATGTAATAATATATTATGTTGCTAAAATGAGTATGGGCAATAGATGATTCACAGACTACCCTTACCATTTTGAAAAAAAACGCCTTTTTCAATGTTCCAAAAACCAACCACATATGCTCAAAAACCAAAGAGATTAGTCTTAAGAAACATATGAAGCAATTTTTAGCATGTTAACACATTTTTAGAAAATTTTCAAAAGATATCAACATACGATCCGGTGGCACAGTGATTAAGGCTACCGCCCTACCAGGTTGTAAGCGTAGGTATAGCGTACGTCAGACAACGTCAGCACCAATGATGGTGTGACGTGAGGAGTAACGGACGTGTAAATTTCTGCTCCTTGTATTGCTATGGATTCTTCAACTATTAAAAGTGTTTTATTCGATTATTTTAACATTAAGAAAGACAAAATGATATGGACTGGCTAACTGGAGAACTTGAAGGCGTTGATTCTAACAGAAATTGATGAAGAAACAGCTCAAACACTACCTGGCGGCTGGCGCTCGCCGAGTGGGGGCAAATGGTCCTTCGAAAGCAAGCTATTATCGATTACATGGAATTCGAAGAGTGAATATATATATATATATATATTGGCGGAGAAAGAAGCAGTGATTTATCAGAAAGAATACAGTGCTTTATCAGAAAGAATACAGTGCTTTTCAGAACATCGTAAGAATGCCTCTGACAACGACATTAACGGCGAAAATGAGTTATCAAATTCGCTGGAAACATTACTAACAGTGGATGCAGATGATACTGAGAATATTCTTCACGAAACGCCTATTAGAACTGTTAACAAACCTGAGATTGCAAAAATATCGATGAAAGAGCTTGAAAACGAAGGAGACGCCCTGAATAAAGAAAGTCCAAAGGTTATAGCCAAAGAATTGACTATTGAGTCAACATGTACAAGTACAGATAATTTGCATAAAGAATCTCTAAATTTGAATACCCAAAAAATCCTCAATACAAAAAGTACAAAGAAACACAATCCCCCTGAAAACTCAAGACCTAATTATGAAATTGATCTATTAAAATTAAAACTGGGTAGATTCACTGAACACGTGACAAGTAAACTGAATGACCTTGCCCACGAGGTAGACTACATTAAAGAAAATAAACCTTATTCGACCGTGGTTTTAGAAGATACAATAAACGAGTGGAAGAAAGAAAAGTTAGAGCTACGCAGATGAAACGATGAATATCAGAAACAAATTGTAAATATGTCCTGTACCATCCGGACTTGCAATCAACAAATAAAACTTTATTTATAAAAAGTTTATTAACAGTTATAAGACTAATACAAAGTTGTACAAAGCGATCATCGTCAAGCGAGTACTAGGACAAATGAAACGGAGAGCGCTGCCACAGCTACCTGGAATGTCTCAAAGCCAATACAAACACTGAGCAAAATAACTGTGAACTAACTCAGCAACACAAGGTTACAGAGTCAAAGCAACAAGATGTAGTTCCCAACACGCAAATTTATGACACCCGACCACAGACATGCACCAGTGCAATCTCACTCGGAGCCGATCGTGCACCAAGACAAGAAAACTCACCTAATTATAGCCAGCCTTCAACGTCCAGAGCTAGAATTACTAGAACTGGTGATCGTATGCAACAAACTCCTAACACAACAGTCTTAATTGGGGACTCTATTCTCAAAAATATCCAGAGACCGAAACTTGGCAAAGAAGTGGGAGCTCGGGTAGTTGTAAAATCCTTTCCTGGAGCTACAACAAACGACATGAAAGATTACCTAAAGCCTACCATAGGCAAATCACCCAGCCATGTCATTCTCCATTGCGGGACCAACGATCTTAACTGAAGAAGATCAATCCAGATAAAGTTGCGGAAAATATTGCAAACCTTGCTAAAGAAATAGAAAGAAGCTCCGAGTCGAAAGTCATTATTTCACAGCTTTTATTCTGGTGGGGGATATGAACGAACAAGTTAAAACAGTCAATCAATATCTTCAAGAACATTGCCAAATTAATGCATGGCTCAGTGGACACTTATCAAACATGACAATATTACCCTCGCGGACCTGAATCGAGGAGGACTTCATTTGAATCATGAAGGTAATGCAAAACTTTTTCAAAACTTTGTAGACTTAATAGCAACTAGTCCGCATGCTTGAAACTAAATTTCCGTGAATGCCAAGCCTAGTGAAAATTTCTCAAATAACTCATTTCGTTCGAATTCGCAACAATCTGAAAACTGTAACATTTCACTTGCAGACAACGATTTTTCCTGCTAAAGGTGCTTTTAAACTAGCTTCATTGAATATAGCTAGTCTGACGAAACAAATAAATGCATGAACTTAGAATTCTGCTTACCGATTGTCCAGTAGACATTCTCTCAATTAATGAAACTAAACTCGACAACTCAATTTAAGATTGTGAGGTTTACATACCTGGTTATGAAATAGTTCGCAGAGATAGAAACAGAAATGGCGGAGGTGTCTGTTTTTATATCAGAGATTCAATTAACTTTATAACACGCAGTGACCTCAAGATGGAAAATTTTGAAAACTTGTGCATTGAAATTCGCAAACCTCAATCAAAACCATTTGTTGTTGTTAACTGGTATAGGCCACCAAATTCTCCTGTAGAATTATTTACTTCTAACGAAAATCTCTCGGGCAAATTGATACCGAAAATGTCGAATATTACGTAATGGGCGAGTTCAATTGTGATTTGGTCGATAGTCGGCCTGATACTCAGTATGGCAATAACAATGTTCGAATTCTCTCCAATATTACCGATACGTATGAGACAGTCCTCGGCCTTTGCGAAAGACTGTAAATTGAAAAAAAATTGAAATAAAAAAACTGAAAAAAAACTTATCGAGTTAAAAAGTACCTGATCATGAAAATTGAAAAAAAAGCACAAGTAAAAAAAGTTTTAAAAACATGTGTCTTCTAAAAAGACTGAAAATTAAGAAAGTCTGTCTAACTTTCTTAATTTTCAGTCTTTTTAGAAGACACATGTTTTTAAAACTTTTTTTGCTTTGCTTTACTTGCTTTTTTTTCAATTTTCAGGTACTTTTGAACGCGAGAATTTTTTTCAGTTATTTTTTTTCAATTTTTTTTTCTCAATTTTCAGTCTTTCGCAAAGGTTGAGCAGTCTTTTAACTGTTTTAAAGCTCCCAAATCACACCAAAATTTTTCAGGCTAATTTTGTTGCATTGCCAGGAGTTGAAACGTTTGTTTTCGGATTGAGAGACGAACGTCTTATAACCACTAGACCACCGCATTATTTTGTCGAAAGCTATTGTTCTTTATTTGACCTAATCCTTTTCGCAGAATTTTAAATTAAACAGCAATTTTGATGGGAAAAATCGAACCTTTCCCATGCAGGATTCGAACCTACGCTTACAACCTGGTAGGCCGTAGTCTTAATCACTAGTTAAGCAAGCTCTACGAGTGCTGCATGTAATTAATATTAACCTAATTCAGGGCCTGTTTACGAGTTATCCCGGCTAGACGAGGTGACAACTGCATATTATAGAAAGACTAATCAGTTAATTAAGCCTTTGATGTGATGCGCTTCCAACCTCGCCTAGCCGGGATAACTCGCTCAATGTAAACAGGCCCTCAGTTTCAAACAAATTCCCAACCTCGGGTCGGGGATAACGTACACTAGGCAAATGCATAACCCTGGGGACGGGCGTAGTCGCCAAATGCCCAACACATGCCCCACGGGGGTGGTAACGCTTGGAATTGATCGAAACATAAAGCATTCGACCAAAATGCGACGTATAACTTGGGCCTAACCGCTAGGCCTTAGAACTAGTATGGCTACAACCAGGGCATTATAAACCTTGCGAACCAGAGTTAAAAATAAAGAATTTAATTATGCAAGGCCAGGTGAACATTTAATTTGTGATAAATCAATAAAAAATAAATTTGCTAAAGTTTAGCTGGAAAGTCGTGATAGCCAATTCCATTTCGAGCTGAGATTGTCATCGCTTCTCCAACTTTTTCTTCATCGTTCAGAAGTTTGATAAACCCTTCAGCGACGGTCTCACTACTGTAAAAAATATTAAATCCATCGAATTAAATGTATTTAGTAGGTTGTAAAATGGTAACTAAGGTGTCTGGGAGTTGAAAGAATATTTTTAATACGAGTTCTGATGAAACATTTCTATATTGAATATTTGGTATATAGGAATATATTGTGCATGATAGTTGTTTCAATTCATACTGATTTGGGGTTTCAAATTGTTGATCTTCGGATTATAATTGACCGACATGAAATTGTTAGACTATTTTAATAGTAAGAATGTTAGAAATCGTTACTTATTGGAGAAACAAACCTGACGTAACCCAATTTCTCTACAGCCGTTTTCATTGCGGGATCATTGGTCATACCAAACCTCATCATGTCGGTATCAACAAAAGAGGGGCAAATGCAATTCAAACGAACGCCAGACATGATAGCATTCTATGCATGAATAAGTTTAAATACCCAATATTAATGAATGATGATTTATCGAACATATTTGTCAAATCTGGGATATACGCGATGATACACTTTACATTAAATATTTGTTTATCTCCGAGAAGACGAATTGAATAAAGAGAAAAAAAACACATACTTTTGCAAAAGCCCTTGTATAGCCAACTACGCCATGTTTGGATGCTCCATAGGCGCCAGTTGGACCTGGCCAGTAATATATTCCTTCAAAATAAAATATACAATTAAGTCATTAAACAATACAGTCATGGACGAACTACAAATTATGGTATGATAGAGATCTTTGGTATATCACGCAATTAAACATTTTGTTAGGGCTTGAATACACTGATAAACATTCTGGGAAGTTTATTTACAGATTCCAACAATTTAATTTATCCTAAATTAGATTTTTTGCATTTTGTAGCAATAATCTAACCACCAGTGATCTTTCTATCAGAACAACTTTTGCAAAAACTCAAAATCCGCATGGGAGAGGGGAATGAAAAATACTTTCATGCATTTATACTCTATATACAGTATTCGAAGTCTGAAAAACCTCGCCTCTAAAACGTAAAAACTGACTCTGAATTTTCAATATTTTCTTGGGCATGAGTATGCCTCCAACCCTTGTGCTTCACCGCAGAAAAGAAGACCCTGGTTGTTCCCTCTCCCCTCTTCGTAAGATCAATAATTTTCTCAGAGACTCAGATGAATGTCAAATACCTGCTTCGGATGCCATGTTCACAATACATCCACCTTTACCACCATTATTTTTATCCATATACTTAACTCCAAGCAGAGTACCATGAATGACAGATGTCTAATAAAGGAATGTGAACCATCAAACTGGTAAACAGGACCTTAACTCGGGTGGTCTAAGTTATGCCGCCTCTGTCTAAACCTGAATTCAATGTTTAAATTACCTTGACTTATAACTATTTGAACACTTTAACTATGGTGTTGTAGATTTTAAACAAACAATACTCCTGTGTAGTTTTGACTTATTCAGCTGTGTAGCCACATACCAGGTTTATACGGATCACTTTATCTATATTCATCTCATCTGCAGTACCAGCGTTATTACAAAGTATGTCTAGCTGACCATTTTCTTTTACAATATTTGACAAAATTCCTTTTAAGACAAAATTGGTATTTTTTTAATATCAAAATGTGAAGATTTAAACGAAGTCATGAAGTGATAAAGCATATCTTAAGATTCGTAAATCTAAAAAGGATTATATACTGAATTGGTGATATATTTTTAGGGTTTGATTTGGGCCAGTGGGACAAACCATATATACGGTGAAATTTATTCAAGGAACAATCGATACGGCCAGTGAAATTTATTTGAGTCAACAGGTGGGACGGCTAACTTGGCTAGATTGATCTTACGGAATTCAATTCAATAGGTGCCCCCGATAATTCATAACGTAAAAATTGTCATCAGGTATCAGATATCAGCATAAATTAAGTGAATGCATATTAACTATGTCAGATATCACCTTCAATCTTATTTGTGTCCGTGACGTCACATTCTAGAAATGTCGCTTTTCCTTTTCCAAATTCATCTTCAAAGTTTTTCTGAACAATTTTTCCTTCAGTTACATCGAGGTCGAGGAAATACACCTGCAGAGATATCATAAAAAAAGATTACCAAATCATCAATATGTGGATGGAAAGATACAGTGCAGGGGTAGTATAGTATCGATACAGGAGCGATGTACATTAGGCTGGATCAAGAGCAAAGTGGAGTTCGAAAAATTGAAGAATGATAATGATAACAATGCGCTGATCAGTAATACATCAATCATGCACGAGATGAGGCCATACAGTATACTGAATAGAACCGGCCAGGCATCGTTGGTGGTGGTACCAAAGCTTCGAAATGTAAGTACTTGACAATACAATTTCTTTACATATTGGTTTTTAAATTTGAAATTAAATCAGAATTTGGAAGGCAAGATATTTTCTTGTCGTCTAAATTATGGGAACGGGGAACTTGATTTCACAGCCACAGGCAGAGGAGATTGATGAGGTTCCACAATTACTCGATAGCTTCTGGAGCACTAGGGGAAATGGTAAAGGAAACCCGTAGTCTTGTTACAAGGTTGTTGTAATGAACCGACGATGCAATTTTTCTTGCAACTTGCAGTACCAATTCAGTACCTCTGAGATATGTTTAAGACAATGTCTGCAATGGTCCAATGTGGTATGCACCATTTTGACACAAATACACTTTTTCGGCTGAGAGCCTTGGTTTTATAAAGGAACAAAGGAAATCGGCCTAGTCAAGGGTGGCGAATCACCCCCCCCCCATTCTGCGGCGTCCCCGGTGACCAGCCGGGTCATCTTTAATTAATATCCTGACGCCAACTACATTGTCAGAAACTGGACGCAACTAGACCTGGAGTGATGGTACAAATGCAACAATAAACTAAAATGCTGTTTAGTTTTTGTTAAAACACATACATGCAACTAGTACTCATTACAACATGAACGTTACATACTACAATGACTATGATTAATTATAAATGATCATGATTTGTCGTAATTTCTTGCCAGACAGCCAGAGTACATGATTTAGAACCTCGTTTACACTAAATCGTTCTAAGTTGTTTTACGGTGTCCGCCACAACTTTATCATTCTGCAGATCATGTTAAAGCAGTTATGCTAACGTACTTTTGGGAGTAAAACTCGCTCTGACAGGCTAATTTTGATGGTCGTGGCCATGCAAATCCGGTATAGTGTGAACAGGGCCTCAAAACCCTGGGTACGAGGTTGATAGGGCCTTAGTGATCTTGGGTTTGCGATTTATATATAATACCCAGAAATAATATTAGATATTTCACAAAATAGATACATTTACGGATTTAATACTTCCGTTCAAATGTGGTCTATAGTGACTATAAGGGAAGTCGAACTTTATATTTATAGTGAGACCATAATACATTATAACATGATATAAATATAAAACCTAGACAACGACAGTCGAAGATGAATACATTCTATATACCTACTATGATATTCGCAGGCAATATATATGTAGTCTATACCTTGGCTCTGTTTTGTAACAAAGATTTTGTTATCGCTTTACCAATTCCTCGTGCCCCGCCAGTGATAACTGCTACAGAATTCGCTAACTTCATTTTACTGATCAGCAATGATGCAATATTACACCATAAACTCGTATCGTGTTTCAACTATCAGGACTTTGTTTATCTTTTTGAGATATGTAAATGTGTAATATCCTTTCTATTTTTAATGATATTCAGATTTGAATAAAGAATATCCTTTCAAACCATTACCGCAGCCTCATTCGCACGTGATTCACTCACGAGTGAACAACATGAAAAGTTCGTTTCATGATTTATATATTATCACACTTTTAATTAACTTCATGACCAACTGAACAACTCTTCTCAATATATTATGATTAAAGTTCCCAAGATTTACGAAATGATCTGCATGTACACTTCAGCGTAGCGCGGCTACGTGATTTTAACAAAATTGCGTTTTGTTGCGACCTATTTTTTCAATTTATCTCCAAAGATTGAAATCATGTATTAGCTGGCAATTTTCATAAATTTCAGACGAGTTTCATACATAATTTTCTTGTATGATTGCATGGCGACTTTAGTAATTATAATAACTTGTAGGTACACCACGTAAGTATTAAATACTGCAATATTTAATACTTACGTGGTGTACCTACAAGTTATTATAATGAGTTTCATACAGTTTACATTCGCTATTGAAACATCGTGAATTTTAAAAACAGTAAACATCGTTACAGACAACTTAGCTCATAAATTAATTATATATTATGGTAATAATTTGACGTCATCTAAATTTGGTTTTGTTCTAAAGATGCTCTTCTAACGACCAGGCTGGATGACAACATATTAATGTTTTAATATCATCTTAACATAATAGTTAAGCAACCTTGCTACGAGTGCTGCATGTAATTAAAATCAACCTAATTCAGTTTCAAACAAATTCCGTACGATAACGTACACTAGGCAAATGCTTAACTCTGGAGATGGGCGTGGTCGCCAAATGCCCAACATATGGCCGAGGGGGGTGGTAACGCTTGGAATTGATCGAGACATAAAGCGTAGTAACTACGTGTTTTTCGAACAACCAAACTGGGTGACAACGCATTCATTAGGCCTAGGTTATACGTTGCATTTTAGTCGCGTCGAATGCAATTCAACAATAGATAATGAGATGGTAATGAGGTTTATTATCTCATCTATTGCTTGAATTGCATTCAACCAAAATGCGACGATAACCTAGACCTTAAAACTAGTATGGCTACAACCAGGCATTATAAACCTTGCAAAACAGAAATGAAAATAAAAAATGTAATTATGCAAGGCCAGGTGAACATTTAACTTGTAATAAACCAATAAAAAATAATTTTGCTAAAGGTTAGCTGGGAAGTCGTGATAGCCAATTCCATGTTGAGCTGAGATTGTCATCGCTTCTCCAACTTTTTCTTCATCGTTCAGAAGTTGGATAAACCCTTCAGCGACGGTGTCACTACTGTAAAAAATATTAAATCCATCGAATTAAATATGTTTAGTAGGTTGTAACATGGTAAAAAAGGTGTCTGGCAGTTAAAAGGATATTTTTAATATGGGGTCTGATGAACCATTTCTATATTGAATATTTGGTAGGAATATATTGTACATGATAGTTAATTGTTTCAATTCATACTGATTTGGAGTTTTAAATTGTTGATCTTCGGATTATAATTGAACGACATGAAATTGTTAGACTATTTTCATAGTAAGAATGTTAGAAATCGTTACTTATTGGAGAAACAAACCTGACACAACCCAATTTCTCTACAGCTGCTTTCATTTCGGGACTTTTCGAAATACCATACTTCACCATGTCGGTATCGACAAAAGAGGGGCAAATGCAATTCAAACGAACGCCAGACATGATAGCATTCTATGCATGAATAAGTTTAAATACCCAATATTAATGAATGATGATTTATGGATCACATTTATCTGGAATATACGCGATGTTTGCACTTTACATTAAATATTTGTTTATCTCCGAGAAGACGAGTTCAAGAGTGAAAAAAACATACCTTTGCAAAAGCTCTTGTATAACCAACTACGCCATGTTTGGATGCTGTATAGGCGCCAGTTGGACCTGTAAGACTGGCGCGGTAAACTAGTCCTTCAAAATAAAATATACAATTGAGTCATCAAACAATACAATAATGCACGAGCTACAAATTATGGTATCATAGAGATTTCTTTGGTATATCAATTAAACATTTAGTTAGGGCTTGCATACACTAATATAAACATTCTGGGAATTTCAATTACAGATTCCAACATTTTAATTTATCCTAAATTAGATTTTTTCATTTTGTAGCAATAATCTAACTCGTATCAAAGTAATCTTTTTGTTAGAACAATTTTTGAAAAAAACTCGGGAGAGGGAAATGAGGAATACTTCCATGCATTTATACTCTCTATACAGTATTCAGAAGTCTGAAAAATCTCGCCTCCAAAACGCAATTTCACGATTTTATTGGGCACGAGTATGCCTCCAACCCTTGGCACATCCTCGTCCCCAGGGCCTAGCTCTGTTGCCCCCGGAAATGAAGACCATGGCTACTCCCCCTGTTCGTAAGTTCAATAATTTTCTCAGAGACTCAGGTGAATGTTAAATACCTGCTTCAGATGCCATGTTCACGATGCATCCACCTTTACCACCATTATTTTTATCCATATACTTAACTCCAAGCAGAGTACCATGAATGACAGATGTCTAATAAAGGAATGTGAACCATCAAACTGGTAAACAGGACCTTAACTCGGGTGGTCTAAGTTATGCTTAAGAAGATTTTAAACAAACAATATAGTCTTGTGTAGTTTTGGCTTATTCAGCTGTGTAGCCACCTACCAGGTTTATACTGATCATTTTATCTATATTCGTCCCATCTGCAGTACCAGCGTTATTACAAAGTATGTCTAGATGACCATTTTCTTTTACAATATTCGACAAAATTCCTTTTAAGACATTAAGAATTGGTAATTTATTAAAATCAAAATGTGAAGATTTAAACGAACTCACGAAGCGATAAAGTATATCTTAAGATTTGTAAATCTAAAAAGGAATATATACTGAATTAGTGATATATTTTTAGGGTTTGATTGGGGCCAGTTTAATGCAGACATTAAACCATACGGTAAAAATTATTCAAGGAACAACCGATACGGTGAAATTTTTTTGAGTCAACAGGTGAGACGGCAAACTTAGCTAGATCCATCTTACGGAATTCAATTGTCACCAGATATCAGCATAAATTAAGTAAATGCATATTAACTATGTCAGATATCACCTTCAATCTTATTTGTGTCTGTGACGTCACATTCTAGAAATGTCGCTTTTTCTTTTCCAAATTCATCTTCAAAGTTTTTCTGAACAATTTTTCCTTCAGTTACATCGAGGTCAAGGAAATATACCTGCAGAGATATCATAGGAAAAGATTACCAAATCATCAGTATGTGCATGGAAAGATACAGTGCGGGGGTAGTATAGTATCGATACAGGAACGATGTACATTAGGCTGGATCAAGAGCAAAGTGGAGTTCGAAAGATTGAAGAGTGATAATGATAACAATGCGCTGATCAGTAATACATCAATCATGCACGAGATGAGGCCATACAGTATACTGAATAAAACCCAGGGAACATCGTTGGTGGTGGTACCAAAGCTTCGAAATGTAAGTACTTGAAAATGCAATTTCTTTACATAATGGTTTTCTAAATCAGAAGTTAAAGCAGCATCTGGAAGGCAAGATATTTTCCTGTCCTCTAAATGTGATTCTCGTGAGCAGGCGTAGGGTCGATCCGTAGATGGATGAGAGAAACGGGAACTCGATTTCACAGCCACAGGCAGAGGAGATTGATGAGGTTCCACAATGACTCGATAACTTTTTAGGGTTAAAGAACTGTGGTTAATGTTAAAGGCGACACATAGTCTTGGTCGATTCCCGCAGAACTTGCGTTTTCAGGCTTGTTACAAGTTTGTTGTAATGAACCGACGACGCAATTTTTCTTGCAACTTGCAGTACAATTCAATACCTCTGAGATGTTTCAGACAATGTCTGCAATGGTCCAATGCAGTATACACCATTTTGATAATCGTGACACAAATAAACTTTTTCGGCTGAGAGCCTTGGTTTTATAACTAAGGAAATCGACCATAGTCCATGAGAGCGAGATTTTCACACAAAAAGACGTAATTATCGAAAAGGTAAATTTATTTAAGAGCAGAAAAGCCGCTATCGTAAATACTATTTTCGTGTGTGGTTATAAATTTTACTCGAGTTGCAAACAATAACCATAGTGATTTACGTCAGCGGATCAGCAGGGTGGAAATACGACCAGGTGAAAATCAAGGGTGTTGAATTCCCCGAGTTCGTCTGTGGCGTTCCTGGTGACCAGCCGATCTTTAATACCTGACGCCAACTGCTATTAGGTAGTTTACGATCTACGACGCGGTTAGCTCGACATCGCTAGTCAATTATTTTGCTAGAAAAAAGCTACGGGAAATGAATTATTCTACCAGGACTTTGAAATAATCATACAAACGTTTCAATTGTGCTAAAAACCTCCAATGCATGTCTAGCTGATATTACAGTTTCATACATATAAACTATCAAACAGCTATCACGTTGCAGATGCTTTACCGGTATTTCTCTCCACTCTCCAGTCTCCACTGACTCCACAACTTTATCATTCTGCAGATCATGTTAAAGCAATTATACTATCGTACTTTTGGGAGTAAAACTCGCTCTGACAAGGCTAATTTTGATGGTCGTGGCCATGCGAATTCGGTAGTGTGTAAACAGGGCCTCAAAACCCTGGGTTTGCGATTGATATATATAACACCGTGAAATATTAGATATTTCACAAAATAAATACATTTACTGATTTAATACTTCCGTTCAAATGTGGTCTAGTGACTATAAGAGAAGTCGAACTTTATTTATAGTGAGACCATAATACAACATAATATAAAACCTAGACAAGGACGGTCGAAGATGAATACATTGTAGTTATTCTGCATTCTATATACCCACTATATATGATATTTGCAGGCAATATATATGTAGTCTACCTTAGCTCTGTTTTGTAACAAGGATTTTGTTATCGCTTTACCAATTCCTCGTGCCCCGCCAGTGATAACTGCTACAGAATTCGCTAACTTCATTTTACTGATCACTGAGTGGTCACTAAACCATCGAGTTCGGCAATTACGCAATATTACGCCGTAAACTCGTATCGTGTTTCAACTATCAAGACTTTGTTTAACTTTTTGAGGTATGTGAATGTGTAATATCCTATCTATTTTCAATGACATTCAGATTTGAATAAACGAATAAAATTTCACTTATGAGTGAACTTTTTTGCATTTGGGCCAGTTGTTCAAAGTTAGGTTAGCGCTAACCCTGGTTGCGTCGAACAACCAAGCTAGGTGACAACGTATTGGCCAAACTTATACGTAGTTGAATTGCATTCGACCAAAATGTGACGATAACCTAGGCCTTAAAACTAGTATGGCTACAACCAGAGCATTATAAACCTTGCGAACCAGAGTTAAAAATAAAAAATGTAATTATGCAAGGCCAGGTGAACATTTAATTTGTAATAAATCAATAAAAATAACTTTGCTAAAGGTTAGCTGGAAAGTCGTGATAGCCAATTCCATGTTGAGCTGAGATTGTCATCGCTTCTCCAACTTTTTCTTCATCGTTCAGAAGTTGGATAAACCCTTCAGCGACCATATCACTACTGTAAAAAATGTCAAAATCCATCGAATTAAATGTGTTTAGTAGGTTGTAACATGGTAACTTAGGTGTCTGGGAGATGAAAGAATATTTTTAATATGGGGTCTGATGAAACATTTCTATATTGAGTATTTGGTAGGAATATATTGTGCATGATAGTTGTTTCAATTCATGCTGATTTGGGGTTTCAACTTGTTGACCGACATGAAATTGTTAGACTATTTTAATAGTAAGAATGTTAGAAATCGTTACTTATAGGAGAAACAAACCTGACACAACCCAATTTCTCTACAGCTGCTTTCATTTCGGGACTTTTCGAAATACCAAACTTCACCATGTCGGTATCAACAAACGAGGGGCAAATGCAATTCAAACGAACGCCAGACATGATAGCATTCTATGCATTTAAATACCCAATATTAATACGCGATGTTTACACTTTACATTAAATATTTGTTTATCTCCGAGAAGACAAGTTCAAGAGTGGAAAAAACATACTTTTGCAAAAGCCCTTGTATAACCAACTACGCCATGTTTGGATGCTGTATAGGCGCCATTTGAAACTGTAAGATTGGTCCGGTAAACTAGTCCTTCAAAATAAAATATTAATTGAATCATCAAACAATACAGTCATGCACGAACTACAAATTATGGTATCATAGAGACAGTCTTTGGTATATCAATTAAACATTTTGTTAGGGCTTGCATACACTAATATAAACATTTTGGGAATTTCAATTACAGACTCCCACAATTGAATTTATCCTAAATTAGATTTTTTGCATTTTTTAGCAATAATCTAACTCGTATCAAAGTAATCTTTTTGTCAGAACAATTTTTGAAAAAAACTCGGGAGAGGGAAATGAGAAATACTTCCATGCATTTATACTCTCTATACAGTATTCAGAAGTCTGAAAAACCTCGCCTCCAAAACGCAATTTCACGATTTTCTTGGGCACGAGTATGCCTCCAACCCTTGGCACATCCTCGTCCCCAGGGCCTAGCTCCGTTGCCCCCGGAAATGAAGACCCTGGCTACTCCCCCTGTTCGTAAGATCAATAATTTTCTTAGAGACTCAGATGAATGTCAAATACCTGCTTCGGATGCCATGTTCACAATACATCCACCTTTACCACCATTATTTTTATCCATATACTTAACTCCAAGCAGAGTACAATGAATGACAGATGTCTAATAAAGGAATGTGAACCATCAAACTGGTAAACAGGACCTTAACTCGGGTGGTCTAAGTTATGCCGCCTCTGCCTAAACCTGAATTCAATGTCCTAGCTTGATTTATAACTATTTGAACACTTTAACTGTGTATTGTGTTGAAGATTTGAAACAAACAATATAGTCTTGTGTAGTTTTAACTTATTCAGCTGTGTAGCCACCTACCAGGTTTATACTGATCAGTTTATCTATATTCGTCCCGTCTGCAATACCAGCGTTATTACAAAGTATGTCTAGATGACCATTTTCTTTTACAATATTTGACAAAATTCCTTTTAAGACAAAATTGGTAATTTTCTAAAATCAAAATGTGAAGATTTAAACGAACTCATGAAGTGATAAAGTATATCTTAAGATTCGTAGATCTAAAAAGGAATATATACTGAATTGGTGATATATTTTTAGGGTTTGATTGGGGCCAGTTTAATGGGGACAAACCATACGGTAAAATTTATTCAAGGAACAACCGATACGGTGAAAGTTTATTTGACTGAACAGGTGAGACGGCTAACTTGGCTAGATTGATCTTACGGAATTCAATTCAGTAGGTGTCCCGATAATTCATAACGTGAAAATTGTCATCAGATATCACCATAAATTAAGTAGATGCATATTAACTATGTCAGATATCACCTTCAATCTTATTTGTGTCTGTGACATCACATTCTAGAAATGTCGCTTTTCCTTTGCCAAATTCATCTTCAAAGTTTTTCTGAACAATTTTTCCTTCAGTTACATCGAGGTCAAGGAAATACACCTGCAGAGATATCATAGGAAAAGATTACCAAATCATCAGTATGATTATGCATGGAAAGATACAGTGCGGGGGTAGTATAGTATCGATACAGGAACGATGTATTTAAGGCTGGAACAAGAGCAAAGTGGAGTTCGAAAAATTGAAGAGTGATTATCAATAATGATAACAATGCGCTGATCAGTTATACATCAATCATGCACGAGATGAGGCCATTCAGTATACTGAATAAAACCGGCCAGGCATCGTTGGTGGTGGTACCAAAGCTTCGAAATGTAAGTACTTGAAAATGCAATTTATTTACATAATGGTTTTTTAAATTAGAAGTTTAATCAGCATGTGGAAGGCAAGATATTTTCTTGTCCTCTAAATGTGATTCTAGTGAAGCAGGCGTAGGGTGGTTCCGTAGATGGATTAGGGGAACGGGGAAGTTTACGATCTATATGACGCGGTTAGCTCGACTACGCTTGTCAATTATTTTGCTAGAAATAAGCTACGGGAAATGAATTATTCTACCAGGACTTTGAAATAATCATACAAACGTTTCAATTGTGCTAAAAACCTCCGATATCTAGCTGATATTATAGTTTCATATAAGCTATCAAACAGCTATCACGTTGCAGATGCATGCTTTCATATCATCGAGAGGCCGTAAAAATGCCTGATTTGAAGGCGTATTTAGAATGACAAAGCTGTCATGGGACCACAAGCTATGCATCTCCATTGCCTCGCGTCTCTACTGTCAGAAACAGGACTCAGCTAGACATATAACTAAAATATTGTTCAGGCCATCACTTGTTGTTAAAACACATACATAATACATGCGACTCGTATTCATTACGGCAAGACCGCTCTATAGTACAGTGACTATGATAAATCATAAATGATCATTTGTCATAATTTCCTGCGACAGGGTGAGATTTAAGACCTCGTTTAAGGCTAGTTTCCACTCAGGAAAATTCTCCTTTGGATCGGACAGGACAGGAAAGTTTCCTTTGTATAAACGCCGCCTGAGAACTCATCGACAAAGGAAATTTTCCTGTCCGTTCCGATCCAAAGATTTTTCCTGAGAGGAAACTAGCCTTTACACTATACCGGATTCGCATGGTCACGAAAGAGTTTTAAGTTGTTTTACCGGTATTTATTACATTTACCACATTTTTATCATTCTGCAGATCATGTTAAAGCAATCATGCTATTATACCTGGGGCCGGTTGTATCAAGCCCGTTTAGCTTAAACGGTGGTTAAGTTCAAAATAGAAATCAAGTCTATCGTTTTATTCAACAAGCAAACTAAATGTTTTTAACTTTAATACAAAGATATTGTTTTCAACTACATATTCAGTACATAAAATTCAAGTTGACTCATTCAAGAGAGTTGTAAGAGTGCTAAATGGCCTTGATACAACCGGCCCCTGGCGTCTGGGAGTTAACGCTCGCTCTGACATGATCTGACAAATCCGGTATAGTGTAAACCATTGAAAATAGGGATTGATATATAACACCGTGAAATATTAGATATTTCACAAAATAAATACATTTACTGATTTAATACTCCCGTTCAAATGTGGTCTAGTAACTATAAGAGAAGTCGAGCTTTATTTATAGTGAGACCATAATGTGATAAAACCTAGACGACGGTCGAAGATGAATACATTGTAGTTATTCTGATTATGATATTCGCTGGGAATATAAATGTAGTCTACCTTAGCTCTGTTTTGTAACAAGGATTTTGTTATCGCTTTACCAATTCCTCGTGCCCCGCCAGTGATAACTGCTACAGAATTCGCTAACTTCATTTTACCGTAGTGATGTTACTGATCAGTCAAGTGCCACAAACCATCGAGTTCGGCAATTAACGCAATATTACGCCGTGAACTCGTATCGTGTTTCAACTATCAAGACTTTGTTTCTCTTTTTGAGATATGTGAATGTGTAATATCCTTTCTATTTTTAATGACATTCAGATTTGAATAAACGAATAAAATTTCACTTATGAGTGAATTTATTTGCATTTGGGCCAGTTGTTCAAAGCTAGGTTAGCGCTAACCCGGGTTGCGTTGATGCGTTCCGTCTTTTGATCAAGAATATATTCTTCACAAAGTTTACAATCTAGAGAGGTTGCTTTCCACTTAAGGTTGCTTTTCTTAATATGCAGGTGATTCACTCATGAACAACATAAAAAAGTTTAATCGTTTAATTAATGATTAATATATTATCACACTTTTAACTTCATGACCAACTGAACAACTCTTCTCAATACATCACGAATAAAGTTCCCAAGGATTAATTTAGGAAATAATCAGCATGTACACTTCGGCGTAGCTGCAACGTGATTTTTAACAAAATTCTGTTTGTTGCGACCTATTTTTTCAATTTATCTTCAAAGATTGAAATCAATTAGCTGGTATAATTTTCATAAATTTCAGACGAGGTTCATACAGTTTACACTCGCTATTGAAACATCGTGAATTAAACAGTAAACATCGTTACAAACAAATTAGCTCATAAATAAATTAATTATATATTATGGTAATAATTTGACGTCATCTAAATTTGGCGTTGTTCTGAAAGATGCTTTTCTAACGACCAGGCTGGATGACAACATATTCATTGCTGAAATCTAGAAGGAGCATCGTCGTAGTTCTCACCTCAATCATTGTCTGAAAATAATAATGTTTAATATCATCTTAACTAGATAAATCTGAGAAAATGTTCAAAATTTACAGCTCGTCTAATTTCTATAAACAAAAGTCTTCTATCACCAAGTTTACATATAAAAAAATTCAGAAAAAAGACCTTCACAGTAAGCAGAATCTGCCATGACCAGATAAAGTATTTTTGGATAGAGATGTTCGTATTCTGCACCTAGCAGATCAGAGATCTCCGGTGCTGGACCAACATCAACATCTACATCATCTTCATTCTCTTGAATACTCTGAACAAACAAAAAAATGAAATATTAAAAAAGTGAGTGAACACTTGCAAAACTATAACGAGGAGGCATTCTGAAAATACAAATCTTTTCTCAGACTTAGTCTTCATGTTTTGTTGTGTACCATGTAGATAGCCAGAGAGCTGGAAACATCCTCTTCCGTAACAAACGCGCGATTGAATGATAGATATACAAAAAGTCTGCATGCTTCGCATACATAATTACTAGTATCCAATATGAAGAACAAAGTTCCTGTTATCGAGGGATGGGAAACTAGTTATTTTGTAATAATACTAAATATCTGATCCTGGTAGAGTGTGGATGCGTGGTACCTCCGAATCAATAGCCCACGCTACCTGGATATATTTATAAACTTTCATAAAGCGACTAAAACCAAGTTCATCCTCTAAAACTTTTCTTGACTCTTCTAAACGTGCAAACACGCTTTCTTCGTCTTCCTTTTGTTTGCTTTTATCGTGCGATTCTTCGTCTTCGCTGTCACCTTTAAATCAAAGCATTTTAAAAATGAACAAATGCTAAATTTATGAATTAAGAGCAGAACTGATGAACTTTCACGCAAGAACACAATATATATTATAGCGAAACCTTTAGGGTATTCATATTAGGATAGTTATGGTTTGATCATGGGAAGCCTAACAAGTCGGTGACCTAATGGGATAGTTGTGGTATGATCGATCTTTAACTCGACACACGCAAAATAGGTCGTTTTTAAAAGATCCATGCAAAAGTAATGAATTAACAGGATAGAAAACCATGTAATTGATGTTTTTAGGAAAGACTGTTCATACGACGGTATAAAGTACATACCTGAATCCCAGCCCTCATTTAAAGGTAACGGAGTTGATGACTGGCTGTCGATATCGTCATTTGTGTCAGAGTCATCTGAAAAAACAAAACAAAATAATCGTTAATTACGTGATACATATATTCCCAATTCTCACCAAAACATTGATAGCCAATATTAACCATCACTATCACTGTTACAGGTAGCTTCAAGATTCCGGACGGTTTTGATTGGTGACGGTGAACGAGCTGAAAGAAAAAAAATTATAATTACGTTTAAAGGGAATTCACGATGTATCTACATTACCTAGCTTCTTAAGGAGGAGGCTCCGTGCAGTTAGATTGGTAGTATTTTCCGGATCTCTTAAACAAAAAGCTATCGTTCCGATCTAAGTTTTTTCCAGCAAAGAATGATTCAGCGATCTCTAACACCACGAAACAAGAATACAAACTTACCATCACTAACTAATACGTCTTCCATGGAAGCTAACATGCTTATATAATCTTCACTTTCCTCGTCACTAAAAAACAACAGTTTTCCATTAAAACGAGGTCTCATCAAACGAGGTCTATATTGTGACCTGATATACCTTATCAAAGCAGATGTCATTCTTGGCTTCCACCTGAATGATAATTGATAAATATCTTCACACTTGCCTTTCATCACATGCAATGTCTATATCAACTTCTTGTTCAGGATCATCATCGTCCTCGCAATTCACCTCTTCCTTGTCTTCATCGGTTGATGGTTTCACATTTTCACAATCGACCAAACATTCATCGCCTTCTTCATTGAAACCCTTGTCTTCCTCGACTGTCTCGAATAACAAACGAAGATCGGGCAGAGAACACGTCCGTAAGCGCTGGATGAAAACAAGAAAATAATTCAGATGACGAAGTATACTCTTAAAGTTAGCTATAACGCGGCATTTCAAGGCGTGCAAGACAACACGGTGAAAGCTTCTCAATACCGTTGTACAATACACAACCAATAAACGCTTTGATGTACCTTAACATCTGTGTCGTATCTGCCAGTATTTAGAGCTATTGGTGAAACATCTGTTAATTCAGCTGTCTGATAAAAGGATCTAAAATATTACCAGAATTGTAAAAAAAGATCTAAGAATTTATTTTATGGTGTCCATAAGCAAACCAATAAAGTTGGCGTTCAAAATCTTCCATAAAATGAAAATACAATTCCCCGATAGTAAAACACTTGGCTCGACTTTATGCATAATGACATTTTTTTACTCTCTCGCGATTAAACAAAAGATGGACCATCCACAGTCTAACCCTTTCCAAGTTGAGACCAATTATCAATGATAGTGACTATCCAACTGTCAATCAAGAAACACCACGTGACGTTTGTTGCGTCATACTTACTTCTCCTCATCACTGGAAATATCTTGAATTTTCAAATCATCTTTCTTCGTTGCTGCTTCTTTTTTAACGTCGATCTTTTCAAACAGTGGTTCTTGTTCTTTTTCGTCAGGAGATTTCGAGTTGCTTCGTCGTGAATTTAGAAATTCTTGATAGGATTTCCTTGCCTCAGGAAATTCCCTCTTACTTGAGGTGCCTAACACGAAAGATTGAAAAAATTGCAACCTGGTTGTATTCAAGACTAACAGCCGTGAATCCTGCGTAAGTTTATGTTAACAATTTGGAATTGCAATCAACACGTAAAGAACTCGGGGCATGTCAACTACAGCGAAATACAGGCGCGACAAAAAGAGCGGTTGCTAGATAGACAAACCTTGAAGATGAAAAAAAAACGAGATGCATACCTGATTGTGGGGTTTCTTCCCAAGCCTTAACAGGAGCAGATGGTTTGTTCTGGTCAGGCGACGTTTGTTTTTGTTTATCAATGTTTTCAACCTTAACACTTTTCTCCTGTTTCTCTTTGGCTTCAGCGAGAGTGGGTAATGGCCGTGTTGATCCAGGTTTCGTTACTGGTGGGGGTGGAAGAGGTCGACCGACGTTGCTTGGCGGTACATCAACCACACTTGATGAGAAAAATTTCAAGTAAATAAATTTCCAACACATAGGGAAGAAATTCATAATACAGGATCTGGTTTGTGAGGTACACCGTATGCACATTGGAGCAAAAGGGCAGAGGCTATATGAAGGCACTCTGACAATCACGGCAGTTGGGATTCATAAGCCAATCCATTGCTAGTCATATCAGGCCTCACCTTTTCTTGGTTAGATCAACAGATGATTTCACCACAGTCACACCAAGGTTTGTGGAAGTGCCTGAGGAAGTTGGCGGCTCCTTGGAAACAGAAACAGTGACACCCATGTTTTGTTTATTCGATCCTCCAGCTACCCAAGCCACCTAGAAATAGCCAAAGCAAATAATGGGATTACAGTAACGTTCCATTTGGTCGCAGCTAGCTGTTGCAAGTATATTCGACAAGTTGCTAAATTTCTTTGGACGTTTAGAATAACAAATGTTCACTCGTCTCTCTCCTCTGCATTGGCTCCAAAAACTCCTAATTGAAACTTACAGATAATAATTTTACCAACATCCACCAGATTTTTGAACAAACGTCAGCATGCAAGACTGCATGCAGAAACAAATTATTTACCGGTTCTCGTTTCTCCTTAGCAACAACATCTTTGTTCACAGCACTTTCATCAACTTTACTTTCACCAGCAGGCATTCCAAGAGTTCCTGGCTGAATATCAACTTTTTGTAACGCTGACACGAGCTGTGTCTTTCCGCCATGGTCCCACTTCGACCTGGCGTTGTTTGCAGCTAGTTTTGGAGCCGGTTTAATGACAATGTCATCTGCGGACGTGGCTAAAATACATGGTTTTGTATTACATATTTCCATGTTTACACCAAAAAAACCAAGAGGAAAATCTCATTATCCATCCAGGTTTAAGGTCTTACCTTCCATTGCTGACGCTGTGGCTTCAAGTGGAAACATCAAAGGTCTGAAAGGTTTCGCTGCCCATTGCTTGCGTTGTATTTCATCTTCTTCAGAGTTTTCATCGCAACTTTCCTTAATGGCGTTCGATAAATCACCCTATAAAGTACGACATCAAGACTATTTGTTGCATATTTTTTCACAGTGTCTGAAAAAATAGTTGACTGAGCATCTGTCTTAGATGAACATATCTGATTGGTCCATAGGTTTCTATATTTCATTATTTTCGTATTGGATAACTGATGTATGATCGTTATAAATGCTCTATAACAGAAATCCAGGCTGCATGCTCACCTCAGAGTGTGATCTGAATAATCGCGTGGCTCCAACTTGTTTCAAAGCTGTTTCCAGACCAACTGCGGGTACTGCTGGTCGTTCTGTCAAAAATATCCAGAATAGCATGACACGAGGTTCGCCATTACATATAATATGCTTGGAATAGTTGACTCACGATGGTCAAAAGCCATTGAAAAATTGTTGAGCCGAAAGTCTTGGCAAAAATGTGTTGACAGAGTAGAAAAATAAATTACGTACCTTCAGGCTTCTTCTCAACGGCAGATATTGGCCTGTGGGCGAAGGAGAATAATTGCATGTTATTTTTGTCGTTTTTAACCAAGTTTCATAAAAAATATTGAATATAGCATATTTCAATCAAGAACAAAAGACCATCAACAACAATTTTGATAAAAGTAAGTCATTGCATGCATTCATCCATTCCTGGTTCGATTGTATAGTGCTGAAAATGGTATACCAAATCTTTTTACGATCCTCACCTTTGGTAGACATGTTTTACTTCTTTTTCCTGAACAGAATTAAATAAAATTGTACAAACATTTTTAGAAATAAACAGAAAAGACATTAACTGTATGCGTGCTCTTCAGTTATCGAGATCGACACTTGGATCGATTTGGTTCGTGTAGGTCCCGCTTTGTGGTATTTTTGTGTGAAAATAGTGGGGCAAAAGGTTGGATGAAACAATATCAAACCTCGTTTTGCTTGGCTTCTGCCTTAGCCTCACGTTGTACTCTGTCAAATACAGCTTCCCTTCGCACCTCCAGCTGCTTTTTCAACATGGCTGCTCTTTCATCTGCTTGAGCCTGTTGTTTAAATGCAGATAAACTGCTGTACTTGTCGATGCATGGAATACATTAATATAAAGACAATTCATGCAGATGCAATTCAGCAAATATTCAGCAGAAACTCCCAATTATTATTCAAGTGTATATACCACGATTTCTGGCAATGCACTCATACCTTCAAAGCGGCAATCTTCTTCCTTCTGGCCTCAGGATCAACTCTTGGATCGCCATTTTCACCTCCTGACGAGGGCTGAAACATAACAAACACGAAATAACAATTGAAATTTTGAGTTTGACCGGTTAACAAGGAAGCTTTCAATTCAATTTTGAAAACCTCCTCTGACCCATTAACTAGGAAAACTCGGTATCAATTTTTAACATTCATAACATATTATTTTTCACTACCAATAACTAAGTAAATTTTGTTGAAATACACTTACCTTGGCAACAGGGCCACGAACTTTAGCCATTCGTTGCTGTATCGCTATTCGTTCTTTGTAATTTTGTTTTCTTATTGCTTCCAACCTCGCGAGATAGTTCTGAATTGCACAAAAAACCACGTGTGCTTACGAATGAATTGATTGCGCTGTTAGGATTGTAACGAGAATCAATTGGGTTGGAAGTTCGCTAGATCACGTGGAAAATGGCCGTGTATCTTGTTATAAAATTTCAATAAAGAACAAGCGCTACAAGGGGGGGGAGGTTTGTTAGGGTTGTAAAACAAACCTGCTCTCCTGGATTCCTAGATTTCACTTCGCCAACGTGAAAAGCTACAAATGAAGGACAAAGTGTCACTCGTTGGAGTTACTAGTACAATTTTCATGAATCTTCATTCATAATTCCAGAAGAGTAATGGACTGTACCTGCTATTTGCGGAGCTGGTGCTGGGACTGGAGCCAGATTATTTGCCTTCTGAAAACGATTGAACAGAACAAAGCTAACCAATCATTGCAATACAATACACCACATTGTTGCTGACTCGTGTACTTACAGTAAATATTTAGCGTCAACAAAGTCCCTAGTTTTGCTAAAATAAGCTTTTAGGCCCATTCTAAGCTGACGACATACGTGTATCGTGTAAGGTCCTGCAATAAATTATTGGCTTACAACTGAAGGGCCTCCAACTGGTTTTCCACCTCTATTCTTATTCGCAAGTGCTTCACGCTTTCGCTGCCAAAATTCCTCGAGAACTCTCGCTCTGTCACCAGCCTCAGCAGCACGAACTCTGGAATAACATTAGTTCATATCACATCCTGTACGCTTACCACTATACCTTCGATTGACCTATTGCGCTTGAGATAATCTGATAGACGTGATTGTTCCATGCTTCCTCAAAGGTAGTATAGAATTTAAATCGTAAATCCAAAATTGTATTGGTTATTACAATATTTATTTTGGTTATATTCATTGGATATTGCATATATAGCCTTTTCACATTCCATGGTGTTTTGTGGGGGCGTCCCTCTTGTCCCTTCTCAAAACTTGATAAGATGAAACTTAATAATATTCTTGTAAGTTTGCATGGTGACATCAGCAAGTAAATTAGCTTGTAGGTGCATCACGTAAGTATTTAATACTGCAAAGCTTTCGGTTCGTTAACCCTGGCCTTCATCTGTGTAATGTACTGATGAAGGCCCGGGTTAACGGACCGAAAGCTTTGCAGTATTAAATACTTACGTGGTGTGCCTACAAGCTAATGTATACTTAAGATGAAACTTGCCGATTTTCTTGTCCTTGTTTCACGGCCTGCCAAGCGGGGGCAGGTGCTGGACGATGTCCTGCATCGTACGCAGAATGTGGCCTGTTTTCTTTTCCTGCGTTCTGGTATTTTCTCATTGGCGCAGCTTGCTTCTGAAAACATACGAAAGCACATATGCCTCCCTCCAGTCGCTTTTTGTAATGTTCGGAAAGTTACCATTCTCATTAAGATGAGAACTGTACTGCATATCGTAAAATGTACTGTATATCAATGCTTCATTATTAACAAATATAGTAGAAACTGCACACCTATTATCCTTTAAGATAGGAGACAGCGCAGTTAGATTAACATGCAGTTGCAGTGGAAAGAAAAGATGCAGGGGTGTGCGCACCCCTCCCTAGCCTAGCCTAGGCTAGAAAAGGTAAAAATTTGGATATCAGCACAAATATGGGGGATTTCAAATATTTAGGGTATTCATTAAAATCTTGGGAGTCTTATTTAGAATCGCATATAAGCAGCCCGGTTTTGATAAATGCATATCGTATACGGTAGAGCGGTATTGCACTTACTGCAATGCCATGTTTATCATCATCACTAGACTTCTTTACCTCTTTCTATAAAATATATACATCAGTACCTGATCTTTATAGGTACTGCATGCTATTGGAGTAGCAGTAGAAGTTTTCTTATGTTATCATCACAAATATCTTATTTAATTTTCATACCTCAGGACTTAAAATATTTCCAGAGTTTCGCCAGTTTTGTTCTTTCGCCCTATTAATCTTTTCCATCTAAAAATGATTTTCGCCAAAAGCTACTGTCTAGTAATTGTCTTTCGATTTTTCCAAAATGCGACGTATAACCTAGGCTCAAGTTATGGCATCAGAAAAATACAACACTAGATCATGAGGTATAGAATTACTTGGTGCGCATCCCAGTCTAGGCTAGAGGGGTGCAGGGGGAGGTGCAAGTTTATATATAACGGTTTCAGTTTTGAGGAAATTGTGTAAAGAACTGTCCAATTACAAACATTTTAACGTATTTGCGATTATACAGTCTTATATAGACCATGATTGCTGGTCGTACAGCCACATGACCAGCAACTAGCCTGCAACCATCTCCCACTCCACACAATCACTCTTGAATTCATCTCTGAGGCCGCGTCTATGTCTACCCTAGTGGTCTAACCTTCTATGTCTAACCCAGTGATCTAACCTGTTGTTTCTGCCATCTTTGTTTTTGGATATTGTCCATCATCTTGTTATATGCTTCCTCCTATACCACAAAACAGATCATTCGTCTTAGCTAGTATAAACACACGACGAACAACTATGTAGACGAGTATGCGTTTAGAAAGTGCATGGGAATTGGGAAATTATTTATGTGGTAAAAAGAGTTCACAAGGGCCGTTTTATGATTTTATTTATGTGGTAAAAAGAGTTCACAAGGGCCGTTTTATGATTTTTTTTTTGTAGTTCGTACCCACTCACCCACCTTTCGCCTACCCATGTTCGTTCAGACGGATGATCCGTCTCTAGTATAAATCAGACCATTTGTAAAATTGCCACATGCCGCGGCGTATAATCTAGAGCTGACCTGTTCTTTTTGTAACTGTTGCCTTCTCTTTTCCCGCGCATCGATTTCCCTGGCTCTTTCCTACGAAAAAGAGATATCGTATATCAACATATTCTTTTGCATTCTACATGTCTCACTGAACTATATATATACCGAGCAGTGATCTAGCCAACCCAGTTCACTGAACCAACCAAAGCAGTGATATAAGGGCATGCAGATATCAGTTTAATCTATGATTCAGCCAGCATTGACGCTAAAAATAGTGTATTTAATTACTACAAAATAACAAAATACTTACAGCTTCACGTTCACCTGCAGCTTTGTATGGTTTTCGTGCATTATACGGGTCATTAGGAGGTTTTCTGTGAAACAAGGACGGAAAAGCGTAATTATAGTGTAGCGATTTGTATAGCAATTTATTGACAGGTTATCTGAGAATTTGATAAACTATCTGAGAATTTGACAAGTTGTTTATCGACATTCTTGGCAAAGGTAGTCAGTAGAAGCTTAACCAAGAATACACAGTTCACTTAAGCATCTTACTTAATAATCTTTTTGGCAACTGAAACTCCATATTTGGCGGCTGGTTTACTGATCTTCTTCGGTGCTCCAAATTTTTCTACGATAGTTGAAGAATTAAGCCCCGTTTACACAACATTCAATTATCAGCACGGCACGGCAAAAAAAAATTCATTTTAGCCCTCTTTCGCAAAAAGGATGTGGGTCCGACATCGAGGCTGAACATTCGGTAATCTATTCATCCTATTATAAAGATATTATATATACCTGCCGCTGCTTTACCAACTCTTCCTGGGACAGGCTTTTGCGCAGGCACACCAAACGCCTGACGTTGCAGTACAGCATGGCTAACTTCATCAGCTACAACCTGAGAATTTAACTAACTTTACAGTAAGAACGCCATGACGCGATGACGCATTTTCCCCTGTTGTGGGCGGTGCATGGATGCCTTAACTACACCTTCATGTAAATGGGTGGGTTTCATTAATCAGTGTTTCAGAGATCTGATGAGTATCCATTAAAGTATACAGTCCATGCATGGTATATTTATTCAAAGAATAAAACTGAACCCCTTACCTCATCAATTGAAAATTTCCTATATCTATTAAGAATAATTGGCTGTCTCAAAACTGTTTTGATCGAAGGTCTTTCTCTTAAAGAAAAAAAACCCACCAGTGAGCATGGCTTTTTACAACTAGAAACATCAACCAAGAACCAAACTAATTCTTCTGAATGTCACCGGTTAGAAATATCTGTTATCCGGTGAACTATGCCTTTTATCCAGCATGCATGCAGTATATTATACCATATCGAGATTCAGTATGAATATGTAAATAACTTACTCCGGGCGCCGTTTTAATAATCGAGAAACTAGAACTCTAACATCGGCGCTGTATCTCGGAGGGACAGGAGGATATGAACCTCTAGAAATGATATTAGGAGTGTTAAAAAAGTAGCAATCCTGTTTACAATAGTCGATGTAGCTGCCATTTATGCATTGATGTAGAAGCATTCCAACACATCAATGTTCAGGGATTGTTAAGTATGATGAACTAAGCCACTTTCAATGGAAATGTTGCTACCATGCAGGTCGTTTTTTGATGACGATTTTCATTCCTGGTGAATGCCATTGAGTGAATTCAACGGAGTACATTACTGCACTTCACTCAATAACATACGCTAGGAAGAGAAAATTGCCGACTATAAAGCTTACTTGACTATCTTTAAAACAAGATTTTTCATATTGCCACCTTCGAACTAGAAAAATATGTATTTAGGTATGATGATATCGATTATCTTACATGTGCATGTAAATAAATTTAACATGAAATTATCAAAAACAAATACCGCATGTTTTAAAGTGAGCATTTCATACAGAACACAGCCCAAAGACCAGACATCACTAACAAAGAAAAACACGTCATAAAATCTGTTAAATCTTCATGAACGATGCAGAAAGGAAAAAATCACAGGAGGGGAAAAGGAATTTTTCTATCGAATAAAAGCACTAAAAGGGGAGAGAGTTTTTTACCGATACGGCACGGGCGAAGAATATAGAAAAGAATATAGGAGAAAATAAGTGGATGTTTTCTTCATATAAGTGTTGGTTTGATTACCTTTTATTATTATATGGTCTGCCTTCACAAATTTCTGGGGATAAATAATACGGAGTTCCTATACACGTCCGAGCAAGTTCCATCGTGCTAAAAAAGATGCGATGAATGAAAAACACAAAAAACAGGAGACGAAATCTCGTGCATCGTCTCTATATCCGACCGGCCATATCAAATCACCAGGTAAGCACACAATTCTGATTGGACTTGCACTAATATAACATATTTTAAACAATAATTCAATTTTAATACCAATGAGCTCAGCAAAACATAATGCATGTATGACTTACTTCTTTAACACACGGGCAATACCGAAATCACCTAATTTAATGGTGCCACTTCGTGTAAGAAAAATATTCTAAATTGAATGTATAAATTTGGTTAGTCACATAGTGTATGGTCTTCTTTATAAAAAGTTATTCATTTTATTTCTTTTTCAAAAATTATACTTGAATATCGTTATGTGCATAACATAATCAACCTGCGTTTTAATATCCCTGTGCAAAATCTTGCGATCATGTACATGTTTGAGAGCTGAGGCGATCTGTACGAACCAATCAAGAACCTACATGGAACAGTACAATGAAATGATGATTCCAGTTAATGTATATAAATCAAGCAAGAAAATTAAAACTCCATATTTTTAACTGTAAGAACGTCTTAGAATGTGTACAAGTGGAAGTTCAGTCCAATTGTAAAAATGGCGTTGCAAGTTAGTTAGTTCATATTTGCATCATTGAAAAGCAGCTGCGTTTCGACTCCCTAGCCTATATAGCGACCTCTCTAAGATTTAGTTTCCGCAGTCCGATACCTGATCCTCTGTAAAATATTCTCCACGTCGATTATTAATTTTCTTATACAGATCACCTAAAAATATCAATGTTTTAATAAATAATTATGCAGTATCTGCAATCCTACGTTTAAAGTAGTCGTTCTTTTTAATGTAGTTTTCCACGAGGTGGAATTTTTCGCTCGATTGACTACTTATCAATTGTGAGGGGTCGCGCAAGTCTGATATCACAATTGACGAAAAAGCTGGAGAAAAATTTCGTTTGATCGTGAAATTCTCGTGGAACTACTGAACCGACTTTTACTATATAAAAACAAAAGTATGTACAAACCTCCATCGCAATAGTCCATGACGATGTAGAGGTTACCCCTTTCTAGTGTGGAAGAGTATAGAAGACATGTGAACATTCTTATGAAATAAATTACAAGTGTTTAGACACCAATTCCGTGTTTACTCGAGGCCCCGAGTTTCTACCTAAAAAATTCGTCGGGAATCATGAAAAAAAATTGTTGATCCGGTAAAGAGATTTCCGCAATGACGAATCTGCCGAAAACAATTTCGTGCGGACAAGAACAAAAATATTTCTTTAATGACCCCCTTTAAGCCTAATGCCTGGCAGTGTACGAGTTTGGTAGTTCGCGGCTTCAGTCATATCGTAGCGAAGCGTACAGTATATAACTTTATTGATAATAAGGTCCTAAAAACAAGCCCCTATAATGGCCTAAAATTTTTATTTGCGCCTGCCGATTGTCGTTTGACGTACAACGGGAAGCTTACATTCTCTATTTCTTCCTGTGCACCAATGGCAATGACTTTAAAACAAAGCAATACGGAACGTTTGCTACGGTACCTACGTACGATACGGTTGAAGACTTGAAGTGGAAAACAGGACTGAGTTCAGGATTTTCCATGCGACCCGTGCAGCAATATTGAATGGTGTAAATTGTTTCTCAATATTTTTTTATGTACCTTGAAATGATTCTAAAAACGAGACAATATTCGGGTGTTCCATAGTCGATAGAAGTTTCACCTGTAAAGCAAAGAAGTGATACTTTAACATCCAATTCCTGGCTGGAGATAAATTTGCTGCGTTTGACTGAAACGAACTTTCGAAGTTTCACTAGTCTATCCTGGTACTTTTCAAGGTTGTGTCTCAATTATTAAACAAAACAGGAGAACCTGGTCCTTATGTTCTACGTTAAAATAGACCGTGAATAGACTTTTAACAATTTCTTGCTTCACACATGTAATCTATTATTTTTTAAATTGTATTTCGATGATAGATTAAAGAATGAAGAATAATAAAGGGAGAATTTTGATTTGAAAAACAAACTAGAAACATCATTAACAAATAATGCAACTCTCAAGTGAGTATTCTAGAAGAAGCACTATAACTTACTTTGGTGTAAAGAGAATTATACTGCATAATAGTAGCTGAGATTTGATGGGAAAACAATAGCATAAAGGTAACTTGCTATTATAAGTGCTATTGTAAGTGGCACCTCACCTAGCACTAAGCTATGAACACTAGCTCTCTTAGGGCCTGTTTTCATAGAGTGAGTTATCCCGGTTACAGGAGGTTAAAACTGCATACAATAGAAAACTAATCAGGTTAAGCCTTTGATGTGATGCAAGAGCAGCAGAAAAGAATATTAAAATATTTTAGATCACCAATATTGCAAAAATGCAACTTAGGTCCTCCAGCAGTAGATGTATTATATGAATTCGCATGTTTTCAATATAGTTATTACCTGTCTAGCAGGAACCTTATACTAGCTGGATAGCACATAGGTGGATTATCTGATGAATTATGAATATCACCATTGATATGTACTTCTCCGGCAGAGGGATAGTGGATTGCATGTATTGAATATCACTTCGCAATACACCCCTCAGACAGAGGGATGAGTGTATTATTTGTGCTCAATACAATTATTCGGTTATTCCTTTCTAGCAGGACTGCCAGCCAAGTGCCAGGCCAGTACCGATACAAAAGATAGACCTTGCTGTTAAATATTCTAGAGGTTTAAAGGGTCTTAATTTCGAGTGGTATTGTACACACTTCAAATTCAAGCCAGGAACAGTTGATGGAAAAATGAGCCAACTATAGGTCCTCTGGCAGGGATCGAACCTATGCTTTTGCGATGCTGGTGCTCTTGCCACTGAGCTACAAAGGTAGCTGACAAGAGCAAGCGTGGTTAATGTGTATATGATGGTAATGCTGGGAATAGGTGAGGGTAAATCAATTATGATTTTTGGACGCGATGCCGCTGCAATTGCAAAAGCGTAGGTTCGATTCCTGCCGGAGGACCTATAGTTCACTCATTTTTTGGACCTATAGTTGACACATTTTCCTGCCTTGAATTCGAAGTGTGTATAATACCACTAGAAATTAAGATCGACCCTTTAAACCTCTAGAATATTCCTGCATCGAGTGAAGTACCAAAAATCATAATTGATTTACCCTCACCTATTCCCGACATAACCGTCATATACACATTAACCACGCTTGCTCTTGTCAGCTACCTCTGTAGCTCAGTGGCAAGAGCATTGCACCGGCATCGCAATAGCGTAGGTTCGATTCCTGCCGGAGGACCTATAGTTGGCTCATTTTCCCATCAACTGTTCCTGGCTTGAATTTGAAGTGTGTATAATACCGCTCGAAATTAAGACCCTTTAAACCCCCAGAACATTCCTGCATCGAGTGAAGTGCCAAAAATCATAATTGATTTACCCTTGCTGTTAAATATCATTTTTTAAAATACCTCTTGTAGTGATTCTTTCCTTTCTTTTGCTGCCATCTGCAACAAAAATTTGGTCTTAAAATACTTGTCCCGAAGCTGTGCATAAATAGATTAGTAAGTATTGTACAACCTTTGAAATATTGATTTCCTTGATAACATAATGTTTGCCATCTTTCTTCGACCTGACAAGCAAGGCCTTCCCAAACGCTCCTTCTCCTATTTTCCTTACGCGATCAAAATCGTCCAACATTGGAGAACTAAAACTAAATAATAGTTTCAAACCTTCGCAGATATGCTTTCTCTTCTGAATATAACAAATTCAAACTCGGGATGACCTGCCAACGAACGTTTGAAACCAAAACCAAAACAATGAAGAGGCGCTAAAAATTCAATTGTGCGCCAGCATTCCGTTCTGTTTAGAATCAGCGGTATGACGATCGTGAACATGCCAATACTTGATGGCACAACAAGACGTTGTAATTTCAAAAGTCAAGATGGCGGTTGATGTAGCGCGTGTTTTAGAAGAAGTTATTAGTGTTTTCCGCGGATTTTCTCTCTCTGATAATTGAGGTGTATTATTTGAGTGCATAAAGGAATGTTTCATCAGACGTCGTAAGTAGTTGGCTGGATAATAGGGAAGTTGTAGTATCTGTAGTCGATGAGGACTGACGTCTGAATATAAATTATATAAAGAGTACAACTGTACAAGTACTCACTCATTGGGATTTGGGGAGAAAACGCGTGTAATAAATAAGGCCTCCATTTAACATTTTAAACTATTCATAATTATGAATAGAAGCTAGGGAAAATGCAGGTGCATTTACCTCCTTAAGTAGGCTATCAGTCCCCACAATAGATAAGCCTCAACCTCTGGCTTCTGATTATGTTTAAGTAACTCGAATATTCCGTAAGATCAAATTAATTTTCTTCAGAGGCAATCCCTTTGAAGAGGAATCACTCCCAAAAGCCCATTACTTCCCATCATTGGAAAGGGACATTTCTGCCAACCAAAGAAAGGTAAGACTAAGAAGTATAAGAGCTGTTTTTTCTGTATCATAGCAAAACATAGCTTTTTCTTTGCTTTGAAGTTGTTAGTTCTAGCCAAGCCCAGAAAACAATTATATACACAATGCTATGATACATTTGAAGTGGAAACAATAACTTTAAGATTTATTTTCCAGTAAATTATGCTTAAAGTGGGTTATTCGATTGTTTCCTCCTCAACTTAATCAAATGAAAATGGCTATGTATGTTAAACAGAATGAGACTGACAATGCATGTTTGGCAGAAATACCAGTTATTATTTTTTTATTAGCACCTGATTAACTCTCATTATTACAAACAATTTCTTATACAAGTATATTTAATTTATCATTTCTGTTTCAAGTGCATTGCCCCAATGTTTTGGCAACTGACAGACAAATTGGCATGAATTCTGAGTCCATTTTGAATTCATAAAAAATTTGTTCACTTATCGATGAGTGTCATATAGTCTTTTCAATGTCTCTTTGATGCCTCTTTGCTATTATATCAGACTTGCTTGAGCCCAAAGAAGGAAAATGCTGACTCAAAGAAAACATCCAAAGCTGATGCAAAGTTCTTACGTGAATCAAACAAGCTTGAGGTCCCGACTCGAGAGGATGGTACTGTCAAACATGAAGTATCATCCGGCTCTCAGTTTGACGAGTCCTGGCCAAGCACTGATAGAAATGTATCGAGTTTATCCCAACCATCATCATCCAGTACACCTGCTGAAAAAGAAAATTCAGATAAAGATCTTTCTCACGATAAGCTGTCATGTCCCTCTACGTTATCCAAGTATGTACTGACTAGCATCTTGTTTAAAAGATCGTGTAGCAAGCGAATATTTCCATGAAAAAGGTGAAATACCGTTATATTAGGTTTCTGGGAGCATTAAAACTTAGACTACAAATATTTACTGAAAGGGACAGGTGCGCTTATGTCGTCAAACACCAAGGAGGTATTTTCATTTATCAGATTTGCCTCGTAATCTTCACAGCGGTGCTGAGAAATTTTGGCCACGCCATATAGGCCCATATTAACTAGTCTTGAAGTTAGGCAGGCATTTAAAAACTGTAATGTGTAATAGACTTTTTATAATTTGTATTGTAAATTTATCGTTGTTATTCAACGTTTTCCTGCATGTGGACTGTCCTAAGAGGGTATTAAAACTGTGCATTTGCACACGCTGGGAAAGAAACATCTACAATCAGCAAAAATCTACAGTCGGCTGGGAACATCTACAGTCAGCGCCAATAGACTTTTTTTGTCAAGGTAGATACAGTAGACCATTAAATTTTCCAATTTTATTTATTCCCCCACGCTAGGTACATTCAAAGATTCCGCCACAGCGCTCCAACCAGTCGCGAGGATCGCACGCCCTCTGGTCAAGATTTTTGGTGGTTGTCACCACCGAGTAATACTTCAACTCCAAAAGAATCCTCGGATACCTCAAAGTTTTCCAACGAAGGTTCTTCCAAGATGACACGAAATACAACTTCGGTATCGCCTCCACGTCAGGTATAGAATGTATTCAACTTCTTTTTCTGATCTGATCATTACAACTCCGAATGATACAAACAAGGTGTCATTCAACAGCAACAGTACAAACCTAAGTGATCGATTATCTTTTTTGAGATATCGCGCAATTTTTTTGCATGTTTCAATATATTTCTAAACTATTCTTTGTAGAAATACGAATTCAAACGTCATCCGTTTTCTCGCCCTGTGAGAGAGACTGTGACCGCTATGGACTCTACGTCTACGGACCTTCTAGCACGGACCAATCTTCTTTTAGAAAAAAGGTAAACATGAACGGGTTTCAGAAGTGAGTACTCAATACATGCCTTCAGATTAACTATGAATTTGCAAAAGTACAAAATATTTCCTTCCCTTGCTCCAAAATCTAACATCTCTGTATTTTCAGTGATAATACATTGAGTGAAGTTTCTTCTGAGTCCATTCCGAAACCCCCGTCATCATGGATGATAGAAAAACAAAAAAGACTGGACGACGCTATGGAATCTAAGAAAACCGTCGTTAGGCCACGTCTAGCTCCGGAAGATGACATTCTTTATCAATGGAGGCTGGCAAGACGATTGGAGAATGCTCAAAAAGAGGCTAAAGATGGTGAAGGAAAACGTTTTTCAAATATTGCGACTCATCGTTATGCTGCTATAACTCGTGGTCGATATGGTGCTGCTTTGCCTCTTGGCCGACATGATGCGTATTTACCAGAGCAAGATCATTCAAGACACCTCACGGATACCAGAGACAGATTGTCTCCTAAACATGTGTCAAGAAAGCTTGAAGAAAGGAAGGAAGACAAAGGGATGGATCATGCAACAGATGATATAGCGTGCAGGGACAAACGTGGCGTTTCCGCTTCGAATGAGAGAGAACTTTCTGAGCAAGGTTCTAAAGAAGCATCTGCTTTGGAGAGAAATGTACCAGCTGTTTGTTTTATTGACGAGGAGAAAATACCATCACATGTTCACATGATGTGTGATATTGTGCCTTGCTCCAAACAAACGGGGCAACAAAGTCGTGATGTAAATGTTAGCAATCACGATCCTCGTGATTCTGACTGTAGAATACACAGGAATGAACGAAGCCCAAAAGCACGCCCAGGTTCGCCTGATATACTGGATAAAGATTCAGGATCAAATATCCGTGTTGAAGGTGAGACTGATGGATTAGCAAATGCTGTTTCAGGAAGGACGAAAAAAGATAATGAAAACAAAGAATCAGACCCTCGAATGATCACATCGAAAAATTCTTCAGAAACAGCTGAAGCAAGAAGTGAGAGGGAAATAATAGACGACTCAGAAAAGCCCCAAAATGACCGTAACGAGTTAGAGATTGAAGAAAAGACAGATTTTAGTCATTTGACTATGCCTAGAGAGGATTTTTCTACAGATAAGCATTCTATGAAGTCAGACGAAAATGAAACTAAATTGGAAATAAGTATGAAAGGCAATGATACTCCTGCTCCGGTTCCTCGTCCTTTACCTCGAACAGAAGATGTTCAGAATCCTGGAATTCAGTTAACAGATGTGAAAAATAATGATGTCATTGGCTCGGTAATCGGGCAGGTATGTGTCTCTCAACCTCCCTCCCCGTCCCTGTACTCGACAGTCGCTCCATCCAGTGTAACGATTTATCTAATAATCTGATATAATAGAATCAATTCAACCTATCGACGGTATTGCTCACATGTGATTATTACTTTAATATGTTACACTTAGAAAATATCCTAGAAGCAGTTCTTTGTAAATCTGAATTTCGATCAAATGTTCTTGTGTGCATATCATTGTATTTATATTACTGCTTGCATCATCACTACTAAAAGATTATCGCATCCGTCAAAACTGCGTAATATATAATATATATTAAACGTCGTATGATTTCAGGTAATATCCGAACGTCTTTTTTCTCCCACATCATCTCGGCGTAGTAGTCTAAGTAGCAGTTGCAGTGAATATGGGGATGTTGAAGGTAAAAAAGAAACTAATGTGGCGTCAACCTCCTACGAATATGAAAACCAAGCTGAACAGGAATCAAAATCAGGTGAGTCGAAGCCTTTCGTTGATTCGACGTAAAGGATCGTGAGCACGCGTATATGGCTAATTCGAAGCAGGGTGTTATTATTAGAGGTACTTGGTTGGGGGAACTGAGTAGATGTCATGTTTGGGGAAGAGATTTATAATATCAATGTTTGTATTTGGCCATTTTCAAAAACCCTCAAACTGTAATTCTGTAATTGTCCTGATTCTAACCGATCTGCTTCCAGATCGAGCCATAGTTGTCCAGCTTAGTTGAAGTTCAATTATAATGATTATTGCTTTATTTCCTAACTACAGTTACACCTGAGATCCTTTTTCCTGATGATGATATATTACACAGACTAAGGGAACAAGCTAATTTTTACAAAGAACATTTGAGGTATAGTTTTCCAAACTTTACTGCATGTATAAAAAATTCATATACAGGAGTGAATTTTCCAAAATGAAAAGGGAATGAATATTTCAAAATTAGTTTCAAAATGGTAAATGTACTTCCTTTCATAGAAGCAGTACATTTAAAGTGATAGAATCATGTTTTGGAACTTTGAAATTTTCGAACAACGTTAAAGGAGGACCAAAAAGAAATTTTTTAATTATTTTTTAGCGAACCACGAAATATGGCTCGAAGCCTCGAATAAGTACATTACTTTACTTACCCTTTTAAAAATAATACAGTTCATATCAGTTCAAGTAATAAAATTACTATGATAAAACTACAATTGGTAATAAGATTAAAATGTTTTAAAGTTCTTCAAACTTCATGATTTTATCTAAATTTTGTAAAACATTCTTATCTTATGAATCGTTTAGTTCTTATTGTATCTTAAACATTTTCTAATATTCTTTTTGATTTTCAGAAATATCGACAGGATTCTTCAACATTTGACAGAATAGTTATGAATGAGCGTAGTATATGGTGGTGATATTGCAGTACATTGCTATTAATATAGGTATAGCTTTAAAATTGTATAGTATATTTATTGATGTAAATAATTCGGTTGACAGATGTTCATATAAGTTATGATTATTAACGTATAATTTACAGTACAATTAAAAAAAACCTGAAAAAATGTACGGCTGAAAATATACGTGCAGTATCAAGAATTTAAATGGTGGTTGGAGGAACAGAGTTATGGTATGGTATTACAGTAAATCAGTAATTACACCACTATTCACTACTAGTGCCGACTGTGCCGTAGTGGTGAAAAGTCGAAGGAAAGTCCCAGAGCAGGCTGAGCCAATGCAAGTGTACTGGAAACTAATAAAAGAACTGAAAACAAGATGGCGTCCAAAAGTGGGAACAACGGCACGAAAATTGTGAATAAAGGAAGCAAGGGAAGCTTAACACAAGAACAGATAATTTTTAATTTTAATCAACTAAGACAGGAACAAAGAAACCTTATCTCTAAAATGAACGAGCTAGAAATGGATCAGTCGGAACATAGGTAAATGAAGTTTCATTATCTTGTAGGTATGGTAATAAAGTATGGTTCTTGACTTCTTGTTAGGTTGTATTCGAATTTGATTCACTTTCTAGGATTAAATCTATCTTTCACACGATACTTTTTCAACAATCTACTTACATTAGCACTCAACAAATTCGTATATAAAGTGTATCAGAATAAATACAATAAATAGTTAGTCTACCACTGTAAATCTATAATTAACATCTTATCCCAGCTATTCTTGAAATGAGGCTTTATGTAATACTGTAGATACAAACTATTTTAGGTTTCACTTATGTTTTATGCATGGAAAGAAAATTCTCAATATATAAGAAAATAATAAGATAAAATGAAAAACCCTTACACAGCAAGCTTTGACAAGAGGCACAATAATGTCAATCTGTCCACCCCATAATGCAAACAAGCTGCAAAGTTTATCAACACACTGGAATTAAACTAAATTGTAAGCACATATTTCATTACATAAGACTTCATTAAGATGGCCTTTTAATTCCACACAGTTTATTGCATAGATTGCATAGTCAGTAGTTTAATTGTAGTTTAATTGGTTTCATGGAATATTTCTACTAGTATGGTGATAGAGAACTTAAAGGATATTGCTCCGGAACGAAAATGTTTTCGCATGATTGGAGGAGTTTTGGTTGAAAGGACTGTAAAAGATGTGCTACCAGCATTAACCAGTAACAGAGATCAGGTAAGAAATAAACAGGGCTGCCAAGAGAAGGGGAGCAGGGGAGGCATTTTGCCCCAGGCCCCACAATTTAAGAAAGAACCTAAAATTAAAGCACCTTAAAAAAATGCCCCAGGCCCCACAATTTCTCTTGGCAGCTCTTTATTTTGTGTCCATACAATAGAGTGATAAGCCTCTAATCTTTTCTGCATTATTTTGTAGATCAAAGGTCTTATAGAGAAATTAAAAAGTCAGCTACAAGCTAAATCTGAAGAGCTTAATAATTTTAAGGAAACACATAACATCAGATCTCAGGGAGAAAAGCAACAAACTGAACAGCAAAAAGAAGAGAAAACTAGTGGGGTACTTGTGCCAGAAACAGACAAATAGTGGTTTGATTGTTAGTCCCTAGGACATTTAAAATGTGTAAAAATGCCTACCAGTTATCTTTGAATAGATATAGTTAACTATATAAAATAAGTTTGTTCAGCAATTTCGCGCGAGCAATTTCGGTAATCGCACAAGACAACTATCATCGTATATAGATGCGAAAATCTCTCCATGCCAAGTGAAGGGTGCATTACAGCGCAATTTAATATGTAATTGCACTCCTCTTATCCAATCAGCACAATAGCGATGCTGATGACAATCATGGCCAGATAAATTAGCGGCATCTGAATGTTCATATGGCGCCAAGTCTACTCAATCGTTTGCACGTGGATGAGACACGGAAAAGGTGACTCCTTTGGCTGTAAATTCTACAGCCATTGGCCCCTGCTTATCAATATTCCGTCAGGGTTTATTTCCAATCAGGAAATCAGCCGTATTATTGGATAAACGGGGTAGGTTTTTTTTGTTTTTGAGCCAATTGGTTTTGGTGTAAGACACTTACCAAAAACTCCTACCGGCGTTTTCCCAGTGGAAACCAGCATTTACTGGTTTATGCTCGTTTTACTCGGAGAAATGCTACTCAGGCGTATTTATCCGCAATTATTCTGGAGAATCGGTTCAGAAAATTCCATCGATGCAATTATAGCTATTTCAACGAAGGAACAAAATTCAAGATGATGAATTGTGGCATTCCGCAAAATGCATAGATCTGATTCTCTTTGCTCCCATATGCTGCCAGCGTCTCCCGAAAATACATTACGTAATAGAAACAACAGAACGTATGGAAACATATTTGATAGATCGACTTATACGACTTTTTTGTGTTTACAAGTTTGCATTTCATTTACCGTATATGTTTTTAGTACAAGCTACTGTATAGCTTTGTAACTTGCGCAGGCCTGATATTATTGGATTATTGTATAAACTGCAGGGAATATCGGTTATTATGATTGATATACAAGTTCAATAGATACACTGATACAGTACACGTACGTATAAAATTAGGTATACACAAGTTTATTATTAATAACGGAAAATGCTCGCCAAGATAAAACAATGGAGACCATATGCATCGTACAAAACATTTGCAACCCTACTGAATAGCTCGTGATAAATGGAATGAACTTTTCATTGCTTACTGGTTCCCACCTGTCTAAATTTGGCGAGATCCTCGTTGGTACTGCCTATGGTCTATTTGTAGTGTATAAATGTTTTATATGGAATGAATGATACAACGGATTCCTGGTTTGTATGGAATGAATGATACAACGGATTCCTGACTCTTGGAACGTATAGTCATATGGTGAATTGAGCTTAATAATAAACTGACAATGGATTATTCTGGTGTTAGTTACAGGCCTTATACTTACAATCATATAAACTAGGATGTATTAACAAAACGTAACTGGGTATTGATATAAATTGACAACATGGAAGTATTTTGTATCCAATTTCATAACGCTGGCCGTGACGCATGCATACAGTATATAATTATTGTAGTAAACTTTAAATTGAATTTAAGCTTGCAAAAGATTGTAATTTGAAATTGGACACATATACTTCCAGGCTACCTAGGATTACATTAAGATAAGAAATCATAACCGAAACATTGCCATGAGATCTGCAAGGTGTTTCACAAATTTACATGTTGATCAGGATATATTCTTCACCCAATTAGTGCAATCTGTGCAGACATCATTAACACTGCATTACTTCTACTGTAGTAATCATTTCAATCAGAGCAATGGGATCACTCTATACGAATGTTGTGTTGGTAGACCTCAATGTGCTTGGGGCGTGGCTGTTGACATGGGTTCAAGACCATGTTGTTGTAATTGAGTTCGTAAAATAGTATTCTCTTTTGTTGCTTCATCATATTGCTGTCTTAATAATTCAAGATCAATTATTAAACGTTCATTTTCTTTCATTACATCTGCCATTCTTGCACTTGCTGCCCTCAAATCATGAATATAATCAACAGTTTTGCCAAGGACACCACCTTTACTCTGGATAGATTGGAACAATGCAAATTGGTTAAATAAGAATACTTAGTTGACTTTTTGAATTTAGGAAATTACAACAGGCTATAACTAAATATCCTACCTGCCCCTGCTTTGTGTGATCCTGTTCACCGTCTGGTAACATTTTGGCCAATTTATCTATCCAATTATTTATTTTGTCACGTCTTCGTCTTTCAACTTCATTATGAGTTGCCCTCCTCTTTTCATCACGTGGTGTTCTCTGGCCTTCAATTTTCCTATGACAGTTCACACAGTCAGTCCGAGCAAGCAAGAAAATTTAATCTGCAGAAATGTATGATATTACTAGTCCACATAGTAAAATAATAAGAATTTTTTTCTAAATCAAATCTTTTGCGCTATTTAATTGTTACAAGCATTTTTTTGTACACTGTCTAAATAATTGGGTCTTACAGACTAGGCTATAGGTTATAGTATTGAAAAAATATTAATATTCTAGTGATGCTACTGTTAAGAGGTGCCTTAAAATCTAATGCCATTCTCAATTTTTTTCTATCCTGAATTAATGAACAAGATAACTTAATGCCAGTGTGACATGTAAAAACTAAACACATCAAAATTTCCTTTGCAATCTTTTTTACAATCATAAACAGAAATATTGATATGTTTACTAGAAAACTAAATGTTCACTAGTTACATCCCACAAGCAAGTTCTTTTCTCATCATGCTATTCTCATTCCATCTATACAAATTACTCAAGGACCACTTACAGAATGCACTACTCATACAGAAAGGACAAATTATAGCCATAGTAATGAAGCTATCTATTTTTGGCTGGTTGCTGTCCTGCCATTTATACTTACTGGCTAGTGGGATGTGATCTTGGAGCTATGTTACGTTGATTTCCACTTTGCAGAACATCTTGTGGCATCATAACATAAAATTGCCCTGCAAATGTATGTATACAGTAGCATGAGAATGTGTAAAAATAACAAGACAATTCTTAAAAGCCCACTCACATGTAGAGTTGTCTGTGGTTCTTCACAGCAAACATGTGTTGACGATATATAGACCTAATTCCTGCTTACATATTCCTACTGTAAATAGTATTAATACTGCAATGTACAATGCTGATAAAACAGTGATATGTAGTACCAAATGGATAATTTTGCATTCAGCATTGGTAAGAACCTACAATACCAAGCACTTAGTTTGGGACTATTTGAGAGAATTGATCTAGTTTAAGGAAGTAAAATTTTAGATTTACAAAGCAATTTAAATTCCTATTGTGGCTTTTGCCATACCATCAATAGCTTATTGACTGAGCTTTTTCAGACTGTTCAGTACTTAAAAATTGCTAGTCTTATCCTTATTCCTTTTGTTTAAACTGGTTTCCATTTTCTTGTAATCATCATGAACAAGTCATTTTCACCATTGAGAAATACAATGAAGTAGGATGTAAATTTGTCTTTATTTCCTGTATTCAAATCTGTTATATCAGCATTTTTACAAAATGGTAACCAGGCTTTAAGGACTAAGCTATAGGCATAAGAACATGCCTGTAACCTCTTGTGCAGGCCTCTAGCTCTGTCAATAGCATATGTTTCATTTAATATGTCAGAACCATTTAATGCTACAGTAATGGTGCATGCTGAACCAAGCTATGATACCCCCTCCCCCAACCTTTTTGTTTTGAGGACTTAATAACAAACACCCAGTCAACCCTATCATGTTGGCTTGTCAGAAAATATCTGATGTCTGGACATACTACAAAATACATTTGTGCATACCTTGAGCTCCCTGGGTCACTGGGATTACATTTCCTGCAGGTATAGGGGATGAAGGCTGACTGAGACCACTGACTGGTACTGTTCGTACAATATAAGCTGTGTTAGAATCAATGTTTTCTCCTTGGGCAGCATTTCCTTGTTCACTACCTCCAGATGAATAATACGTAAAACGTGCTGATTCATTGTCTACTTGAGTTGGTGGAGACTCGGGGAATGGACTTTGTATGACGGTCTGTTGAGCAACATGAGACGACGAAACAAAGTTGTTTGCCGATCCGGCTACATCAACTCGATCAACCGTAGGGTCGCTTTCATCGCCATGAACTTGTACAACACGTATATGGGGGCCACCGTCATAAGTTGGGGAAGTATGAACATGGTTGTTGTCTAGGTTGTTGTCAGTTCGATACTGAAACTGGATAGCGTTTGGATCAGCGAAACTTTGTGTGTGGTTCGATTGTGAACCAAGACAACTTGATCCAGCGACTGAAGGGTCATCTCGAACTGTCGAAACAGTCACAGTGACGCTCTCTGGCTCAGGGCTTGCATGAGTTGAACTGCTTGCTTTCCGTTCTCGCAAATCACTTGTTTTATCAGACTCCAGAGCTCCTTCGAGCATATCAAGCGCTGGAGAACTTGAACTGGTCATGGGATCAAACAAACTGGTCATGTGAGCAATCTGAGGAACGAAGAAGAACGAAATAAACCACGGGAACAACACTTTCAAATCACATGATGCGATACGAAGACCAGCTCTTTTTAAGACAGCCTCGCTTTCGACCAAACACGTGGCTGGATGCTCGGCGTTCATTCGCTGGAACCCGGGTCACGTGATGCTAGGAGAAAAATTATACCACCTGTAAAATTTAGTAATTTACCGGTCTAATATTGTGCTGTGTTTAATAAAACTTTAATAGAGATTTAGCGTCTTCAAGTGACAGTAGCAATTATTGATGCATTCATATGATCCAATTAATCGAACGTTGTTATCTTTGTTTCATTAGTAATAAAATCTTTTCGGTAATTACGTCACCATATTTTAACATCACAACGTTGTAAATTTAGAACCACCTTACGTAATAACCGTTACATCCTCATAACGAATCAATATCATTGGTCAAACCATAGGCAGCCCAATGGCGACTTGCGTGTTCAGGCAATGTAGGCATTATATAGTATATATATATCCTAAGGTAGGCAACTTCAATCCCGATATCGACATGGACACATGCAAACAATCCGAAAATACTTCAATTTATCCCTAAAACTAAGCTAAAATAACAGCAGAAATGAAATCTACGATGATTTTTACCACATACTGGCTATATTTTAATATTGAAAAGAAGTTATAGAAGCAAGAAAAATGCGAAAAGCTTTTGATATTTTACTCATTTTTTGAATGGGCCGATGCTGGACCCGCGCTGTTGACTTTTGAGAACGTTGAAAATGACGAGTTTGTAATCTGATTGGCTGTCACAACAGCGAGAACAAAAAGCAGCCAATCAGATTACAAACTCGTCATTTTCAACGTTCTCAAAAGTCAACAGCGCGGGTCCAGCATCGGCCCATTCAAAAAATGAGTAAAATATCAAAAGCTTTTCGCATTTTTCTTGCTTCTATAACTTCTTTTCAATATTAAAATATAGCCAGTATGTGGTAAAAATTATCGTAGATTTCATTTCTGCTGTTATTTTAGCTTAGTTTTAGGGATAAATTGAAGTATTTTCGGATTGTTTGCATGTGTCCATGTCGATATCGGGATTGAAGTTGCCTACCTTAGGATATATATATACTATATAATGCCTACATTGCCTGAACACGCGAGTCGCCATTGGGCTGCCTATGGTCAAACGTGTCTAGTTACTCCCGAAACGTTGCGTTTAAACAAACGCGAAATATTTTGCACCCCCCACCCCGCGCTTCAAGCTTGAACGCAAATGGGAGTAATGAGGCCTAATGAAAAAGAATCAAATAGAATTCAAATTTTTTTTGTATTACGAATTTCAGCGCCTGACCTCTTACATGTTCCTTACGATGAATCATAAATGGTCTTCCTCCAACTTCCTTTCTCGATCTTCTATAATCAATTTGCGCACAGTTGAACATAGCACATATTCCCGGTAAGAACCGTGTTGAACAACACTGTTAGCAGTTTTCATTCTACGATACAGAAATGGACACACGTTTCTTATATCTGTAAATATTGTAATATAGCTTAAAAAACTCTCGATGAAACTCAACCCGTTCTTGGGTGAGGCTGCACTGATACAGAGGTCGTTGAATATAAGCTGCAATTTCAGCATAGTTCATAGAGGCTAGAAACTATGACTATGTTTTTGTCCTCAAATTTTTGTACATTCACAGTATTGTACACGTATATAATGTACACTGGCAGTCAGCAAAAAGAACTGCTCAAAACAAGTTAACATGCTCTCAAATAAACGTAACTGTCCCTCTAACATTATATACGAGCAAATATAGACTAGATTACATGCTAAGCTATATGAAATATTAATATTTTCTTTACCCTCCTTTGGCCTTATAATTGATGACGGATTTACACCGGCGTGGCATACTTTCTGTTAAGGTGGTAATCTTCACGGTCAAAAGAAATTCATCCTATGGACAGTCTTTACAGCAACGCATAGATCATCATGGACGCTTTATGAATGAATTCCTTTCTTGCACTATCCTCTTGAGATTGTCCCACAGATTTTCAATAGGGTTAAGGTCTTTTGACTTTGCAGGCCAATCCATTTCTGTCACTCCCTCTTCCTGAAACCATTGTTTGACAATATCTTGGAAGTGTGGTAGGTTGCATTACATTATTGAAATATTGTTTGGAATAAGAGAATTATACAAAATGCCTATGAAGCTCTCTCCAATATTTCCTTCTTTTTTATGAATTTGTATCTAAACAGTTCTTTTTGACCGCAGTGTACAATAAAAGATAGATTGTTACGATTCCTGTTACATGCGATAATAGCAACATTTAAGCAGTTCTTTTTGACCGCCAGTGTATATAATGAATCATTCATCTAATAGAGAGTGATACTATGTCCTCGGTCGTTTCACCATGCCGTCTTCTTTGAATTTAGACTATATGCACACAGTAACGTTTTCCGAGCTTTTTCATTTTCCTTTTCATGCAAAAACGGTTTCAAACACTGTTAATTTACAATAAAAGTTGAAGCTAATTTAACATATTGAGCAGATTCTTCCTTGGATCGTATTGACAAGACGACAAAGCGATAAACTAGAGAAAAAAATTTTGAAAACGCTTGAAAACGATGCATATAGCCTTAGTCGTAGACAGGGCCCGCACTGCCGCCGCAGGGGACGTAGTTAAGAGTCGATCAAGAGGTGCCATCATGACTAGCGCCAAGATGAAAATCTTTTTGAAGTTTAGAGATTACCGTAGGCAGCCTTATGCCCCTGGAGGTAACTACACTGGCTATCCCTCTTCTCCTAGCCAATACTCTAAATTTTCCATATAGGCTACTTCTCCCTCCTATTTTTCTCGACCTGCGTTAAACCTCCACCCAACTTGTCGTCCTTGTTTTTTTTCTGGGGGCATCCGCGCTTCTTGGTGCATCAACCCGCCTATGATTGATCGGTAAAAGCTACAAAGTTGAACACTGATCTACTTGACTTGAACACTAAGGTTCTATGGTGGAAATTCGGTAACCGATTTTATCATCAACTTACGTCGTTACTTGTTTTATCTGCTAACGTTGATAAACACAACTTAGTTAGTACAAAAAACAACACATTGTGATTAAAACATTTTTTTCGTTGCCTTAGATTTCAGTCTTGATACATACTATATTGTTTAGACATCTTCTTAATTCTAAAAATATCAAAACTATGCAATTAATTTGCACTGTTTTTCCACTTCTGTCAGAGAGTGCTAGTTAAGTTGACATATTCATGTTACAAACGTTCAGTCATGATGAGTCATCAGTTTACTTAGCCCGGCACATTTTCATTATTTCTAGCGTTACACGTATGGATCAGTCAACGATGTTGTGCAGAGCCTCTCAAGAGCGATTGTTAGCAACCAGCTTTGGTAAAGCGACCAGCCCCGACTGAGATGAGTTTTGCTCGGGCCCCTAAAATTCCTAGGAGCCTCGTCATGTGCCGAAATAAATTTTCAGTTTACAAGTTATAGCAATTTTGTACAGCTTAACCTTTAAGGTTCGGTTCACGTTGGCTCCTAAGAATCGGGGATCCATGTTGTGTAATATTCTTAGAACCTGGGATTCCCTTTGTCTGAGGTCACTATAGTGCGCAAAAGTTTTGTCTATCGAAAAATAGTACAATTGATCCCTGATTCTAGGGGCTAGTGTGAACAAGGCCTAAGGCACATGCATGAACTATACAAGCCAAACCGAAGCAAAACAAAACAAAAACAAACAAAACGTTTTCAAGTATCTCAAATATCAACCGACCACAAATGTTCTCATATATCAACCGACCGCGAATGAAAACAAACACATTAGTTTGAATGAAAGAGAGAAAAAGTAATGTTAGTCTACGATAAGTGATTCTTCTTCAACATCAGCACATGAATCTGATTTTGGCGGTCGACCCTTCGTCCGAATTGGTTGGAATCCAGGATCTTTTTTTCGCATCTCTTTTTTCCATCTCCCGCGCCTGTTTTGAAACCAAGTTTTAACCGTAACGGGATTAAGCCCAAGCCTCTGCGCTATCTCAAACCTCTCTGCCGTCTCCAAGTATTTCTTCTTTTTAAAGTTGGCTTCGAGCTCATTCACTTGTTCTTGGGTAAAAATTGTTCGACTTCTCGCGCAGTGATGATACCTCTCATAGAAGCGTTCCTTCTGCGTAGGCAGAACAAAAAACGAGAGCATTTTTGGCGGTATGGTTCGCAGCCCTTTTTCGGACGATTTAGACTCGTCGATATTGCCTGGAAAATAAGAGTGTGACATTTCAAACCTGTTGAACTGATAGAGGTGATATGCCCGTGAGGTGACGCGGTAGGTTTTTTTCTTGACTGAGGTCTGGTCTGCAGCTCTGCGCATACTCAAGGCCGTAGCCTGCCTGTCAATTCAACCGCGGTATGCAAACTTTTTTTTCAATCATTCGCTGAAAGGGAGTGAAATTTACTGCCTTAGAAATTCATTGATTTCACAGTCAATGAACACCAAAAGATTAGCATAGTGTGCGCTACTGCGCATACGTGATGACAGCTCTGAGATTCTCGGAATTTTAAAACAAAGGTTTACAGAAATAGCATGAAAGATTCTTCAAGTAGATTTTATGTTGCAAATCAAACTATTATAGGACATTGTCTCGTAACTCACTGCTTTTTGCGTGACTCTGTGGCAGGCTATGATTGGTGCTTACGGGCAACACAATTTCAAATCGCTCACTGATGTAATATGGTGTAATCACCGGAAACTAGAAATTATGAGCAATGTCTGGCTACTTCAAACAGCTAAATCCCGAACTTGACTTTATTATCTTGTCAAAACAATATTTAGCTGATTATGTCTTCGTTCTCCTTGACTCGTATTGTGTAACAGCTAGGCTAACAACACATTTGAGTAAAAAAATGCAACTTAATGAAAACAGTCTTTACATTCACGGCATTGGAAAATCTTGGATATTTCAAACACGTATAAAGTTACAGGGCGGTATTACAATACGTTACAATACCGTACTATCGTGACGGGAAAAATATCGTCGGTAGAAGCAGGTGAATTTTTTTATATTTCT